CCATTGAATAAGCAGGAGAGTGCACAGACCATGAACCCCATCGAATAAGCAGGAGAGTGCACAGACCATGAACCCCATCGAATAAGCAGGAGAGTGCACAGACCATGAACCCCATCGAACAAGCAGGAGAGTGCACAGACCATGAACCCCATCGAACAAGCAGGAGAGTGCACAGACCATGAACCCCATCGAACAAGCAGGAGAGTGCACAGACCATGAACCCCATCGAACAAGCAGGAGAGTGCACAGACCATGAACCCCATCGAACAAGCAGGAGAGTGCACAGACCATGGATCCCATCGAACAAGAAGGAGAGTGCACAGACCATAAACCCCATCACACTAGCAGGAGGCTGTACAGACCATGGACACCCCCTACTCCCTACCCCCCGACCCCGACCCTCCATATATGTACTTAATATTTCATATGAGTGTTCGGAAGGTCTGTTGTAAATTTTTCCCTTGACTTATCTAAAATGATAGAACTTAAGAGCATCCAAACAGATAAAATTAGTATTACTATGTAAATAAAATACGCTTGAATAGAGACTATAGTAAAATGTGATGAGCTTAAAAAATTGTATTTATTGTGTAATTTCAGTGTAGTTGCTGGTGGGCTGGTTACTATGGTGATAAGTGAAGCCCGGTATTTTTACGCCGACAAGCGTGTGCATCCGCGTAACATGAATGAGGTACCACCGAAGTCATTTATAAGATGCGAATAAAAGAAGTGTATATATTCATGATAGACATAATTAGCGATCGCCCGGTGTCTTTAAAGTCTAAGGAAAATAAGATCAGGGAACATGCATTGGATTCTAGAAGAAAATGCAGATGTGTTTTGCATTTTGAACACCAGAACGACAAGGAGCATATCCATACGCCTACAAGCGTGGGCTTCCTCATTGCAAAAACAAAATAGTGCCATCGTTTTTTGGTCACCGGGTCACTTTATCTCTTGTAAAGATTGGATCAAGTGATTAGAAATGTGTTATAATTAATTTTGTTAAATCACAATAAAAAATGTGAATTAAATTTGTCGACAGTTTTCAATTTCTGACAAATGACATCCGTGCGCTTCAACAGGGCTGGGTTTCTGAACACGTCTGATACGTCTTGCCAGAGTCGGAATTTGTTGTTGGATTGCGTTTGAATTCAATTTAACATGCCAAAGCCGATCATTTCCCCTGAAGTAAGTAAATTGATATTTCGAAAGGTGTTGACATTGTTTGAATTTGTATTGATGTCCTTACAGCTGTGACATTATTCACGGGAGGGAATGTGCGGCTACACGCTGTATGTGGAACAGCATCCATGAACTGGTCTTTTTGTTACAAAATGTGTCTTTTATTTTGCTTAAACATTCGAGTAAGAAATTGGTTGACATATGTTGGATATGTTTAACACAGTATGGCCAAACAGACATGGAAGGAGGTTGACCTTATTATCCGACCCAACCAATACTGTAACGTCGTTGATTTAGATACAATATACCAAATGTTTTACTCATCAACGCAATAGTTCAGAATATGCTGATTCTTGTTAAGTAATTTTTCTATTCCTGAAGCCCCTGAGAAAACAGTTTACCAAGTTTAAGTATTTAACTCCTATCAAACGCAAGACCCTGGTAAAACAGTTTACTATATTTAAATATTTAACTCCCAACAAACGCAAGACCCTGGTAAAACAGTTTACCATATTTAAGTATGTTCATATAAGACCCTGGTAAAACAGTTTACCATATTTAAGTATGTTCATATAAGACCCTGGTAAAACAGTTTACTATATTTAAATATTTAACTCCCAACAAACGCAAGACCCTGGTAAAACAGTTTACTATATTTAAATATTTAACTCCCAACAAACGCAAGACCCTGGTAAAACAGTTTACTATATTTAAATATTTAACTCCCAACAAACGCAAGACCCTGGTAAAACAGTTTACCATATTTAAGTATGTTCATATAAGACCCTGGTAAAACAGTTCGCCATATTTAAGCATTTAACTCCCAACGAAGGCAATACCCTGTTCAAACAGTTTGCAATGTGTAAGTATTCAACTTCCAACAAACGCAAAACCCTGGTAAAAAGGTTTACCATGTTTTTCGTATTTAACTTCCAACAAACACAATACTCTGCTAAATCTTTAAGTATTCAACGCCAAACAACCATAAAAACCTGTTACAAAAGTTTACTATGTTTTAGTGTTTAACTCCCAACAAACACAAGACCCTGGTTAAAAAGTTTACTATATTTAAATATTTAACTCCAAACAAACACAAGACCCTGGTAAACAGTTTACTATATTTAAATATTTAACTCCCAACAAACACAAGACCCTGGTAAACAGTTTACTATATTTAAATATTTAACTCCCAACAAACACAAGACCCCGGTAAACAGTTTACTATATTTAAATATTTAACTCCCAACGAACACAAGACCCCGGTAAACAGTTTACTATATTTAAATATTTAACTCCCAACAAACGCAAGACCTCGGTAAACAGTATATCCAAACAAATGGAAGACCTTTGTAAAACAGTTGCTCAGGTTTAAGTATTCAATTCCAAGCAAACACAAGACCCCAGTAAAACGGTTTATCACGAATTGGCCAAACATTACAAAGTTGACATCAAATCGGGTATGTTCATGGCTGATGTCAAGAAAAGTTTGATAGCTTACCTTGTTGAGGAAGAAATTTTGGATGATGATGCTTCGGCCTTGCTTGAAGAAAAAACTGATTTAAAGAAATTAGAATTTGAAAGAGAAAAAATGGCTATGGAAATTGAAAAAGAAAAATTGATATTGGAAGCAGAGAAAAGAAGAGAGAGGAATTCGCCTTTGAGGCATAGAAGCAGAAAAAGAAGAAAGATAATTGCGGCTTAAAGAAATTGAAGCTGAGAATGAAAATAGTCTACTATGTATTTAACCCACAACAAGAACATCGGTAGAGCACAGTGGACAGTGATTTTATCAAATGTTTTAACGTTTATAGGGAGATCGACATGATTTCGCGCGGGCGCAGGAAATATTAGTCTGATCATAAGGTCTAAGGGAAGTAACTCGTTTCTGTTTGAAATATACTGTACAAAAGAAGTTAGGGATAATGAAATTGTTCTTGGATATTTTTAAGAAGTTGTATGTTTAGTCTTCTCTGCAAAAAATAACCCCAAAAATATTCATGATCACTTACCTATTTTGTGTGGTATAGTTTACTCTGCCCGTACGGATGCATGCATGGTATTTTGTGTACCTAAATCTACCACTCTTATAACGCTTAAATAAACTTTATATTATATAAAAACATGGTTTGTTTATTCGATGCTTAACACCGCACTCAGCACTATTCCAACTATATGACGGCGATCTGTAAATAGTCGAGCCTGGACCAGACAACCCAGTGATTGACAACATGAGTGTCGATCTATGCAGTTGGGATGTGATGACATACATCAACCAATTCACCGAGCCTGACCGCCCGATCCCCTTAGTCGCCTCTTATGATGTGGGTTGCTGAAGACCAATTTTTACCCGGGACTTTTTTTTATTGAATTGTTTGATAGGCATTACTTAGAAGTTGACTGATGACAAAGTAGACACAATTTATGGATAAACAGTTCTTTATTTTGATGTAATGGCGACGTTTCGGAATAGATCCGTATACCGTTGTCCAGCAAGGCTGAATAATGAACAAGATGCAGAGTAGATATGGTAGGTGGAGGATTAGTAACAACTGCATAGATATGCACCAATGTTTCAATAAAAGCAGTTATTTATTATAATTACTTTATCGAAGTGTTCATAATATACTCCTAAAACACACAGGTTATTCTGATATACATACACGGCCGGGCAAAACAGACTCTACACTTGAACATTGAGTGAGTGAGTGAGTGAGTGAGTGAGTGAGTGAGTGAGTGAGTGAGTTGGGTTTAACGCCACTTTTTACAGTATTCCAGTTATATCACGGCGTGTCAGCTTAATGTGGGAGGAAAGCCCAAAGTGATGCAGGTCTCAGACGTTTACCAGTTCGGTGAAACCCATGTGCTGACAAACCTAGAAACATTATTGGGGCGAATCGGGATTCGAACCAACAATCAAAGGTTTCTGGCGTGCCCAAGGGACGCAACTCTGCACAGCGAATCGCGGCGCCCTAGACGACTGGGATAACTGTGCCCCCCTTGAACATTGGACAGGATCACACAATGACACATACTATCAATGCGTTACTAGGCTAAAAACAGTCGCCGAAACACTGCAAACTTATGGACCAAAGCGCAACTTTGATACCAGTTTTAAATACATCACCATCGACCTACCATTTGGTTTCATTTTAGCCACCAGCGGCAGTTGACGTGAACGACATCAGATCAAGGATGTATATGTCATTTGTTACCCATATTTTTAATGTCTTTGTCCGAATCATCACAACGCAGCCAAGACCAAATACAAGGCTTAAGGAGTGAGTGAGTGGATAACACTTTTAACCGCCGCCTTTAACAGTATTCCAGTTATATCGCGGCGTGTCAGCTTAATGTGGGAGGAAAGCCCGAAGTGATGCAGGTCTTGACGTTTGCCACTTCGGTGAAACCCCCGAGCACGGGTATGGTGCTGACAAACCTAGAAACATAATCGGGGCGAACCGGGATTCGAACCCAACTTAAAGAAGAAATTATTAAAAGGACACTCTAATAGATATTGCCATGAACTGTTACAAAGCATGTTATTGGATAACCGATCTCTGTTGTGTATTCCAATATAGGTAACTTACATTATGAACAAAAGCACATGTGTTTCGACACAAGCAAGATTACACTTAAAGATTTTTTAAAACTTGTTTCCCGTTGGATATTAGTAATAATTCCTTTGTAACCCGGTTGCGATTTAATCACCCCGTTATAAGAACTGTAAACACAGTCAGCGTTGACCAACATGGTGCAATACTTCTGCCCGTATCAACCCTGTATAACATACGTGGGTTAAACCGCCTCTTATCTGAGGACTGCTGGGGCGCCTATCAACGCCGGCCGCAGGTAGACCCCGACAAAATGGACGTGCTGTCCGTCCTACTATATTTAGCGGCCGTCGCTGTAGGTGTAGCATGCCTTATTGCAGCTGGATATATGTGAGTACATGCATTGACTGACACGTGACAGTCTGCCAGGTGTCGGGGGGTGCTTGTGTCACGTCGGTTTTAAATTAGGTCATCGTGTCCTAAATAGCACCGGTTTCAACAGTACACAAGGTAAAATGTTCTCGGTTACAAAGGGTCAGATTTCCTACTGCCTGGGTGTTTAAAGGTGTCCCGTCCCACAATACGACCTTAATTAGTACTAAGACGGTCGTCACATGCTTTTCGATGGATCAGACAAACGACAATTTAATCGTAGCACTAAGATCACTTCGTGGACCGGGGCCAATATTACCGGCCTGTGCTTTGAAAACGAGAACAGGGTCAGTTAGTGAAAGCATGATGATCTTCCTTGGCACACTGTTTCATTCCAATTAATATCGCGTGTTTAACGCCACTTTTAACAGTATTCCAGTTATATCACGGCGTGTCAGCTTAATGTGGGAGGTAAGCCCGAAGTGATGCAGGTCTCAGACGTTTACCACTTCGGCGAAACCTATAAACAACGATATGGTGCTGACAAACCTGGCAACATAATCGGGGCGAAACCGGGATTCGAACCCACAATCCTAGGTTTCTGGCGTGCCCATGTGGATGGTGTTGACAGTGGTCAGTAAGGGATTTATGTTCAGCTTACTCCCCAATGTATGCAATGGGTAGCTTTCGTCTGAGTCGATGGTAGCCCTGATATGTCTACTTGAATGTGTATACGACGACGACGACAGTGACGTTGTAGGTGTTGTTCCCAGATACGCCACATGGACTCACGGGATGTTCAAGAAGATGGGGATCCCCGCCCCGGAACCCGGGCTGCTGGGCGTCATCACCAACTACCAGACTGAGGTACAGTACTCTTCAAAAACAACCTCCTCACTTGTGGTTGTTGGTTACAGGCGTTCTTATATTCAATGAAATATGTAATACAATCAGATACTTTTGACATAATGAATTACAGACAAGAGTGAGTGAGTGAGTGAGTGAGTGAGTGAGTGAGTGAGTTTTTCCGCCGCTTGAGCATTATTCCAGAAAAATCACAGCGGGGGACACCAGAAATGTGGGGAATCGAACACAGGTTTTCGGCGTGACGAGCGAGCGCTTTAACCACTGGGCTACTCTATCATCCTTAAGTATGGGCAAACTAAGTCTTGCGGATATCACCGTTTTTACAGATAATGTTTTTATTCGCAGGGCCTTATCAAGTGCGATCAACGACTTATAAAAGAACATGGACGGGTTGTAGGGTAAGTATCACCATAGTTTATGAAAGTGATATGAGTGTTATTGTCATAATAATAAGTCATTTATACTGCACATATTTCCATACCACACAGAGGCGAACAAAGCGCTATTATTACCCCGGTCACTTGATCAGTGTGCACTCGACAATCATTCTCAGCTCCCTGGGGAGTATACAACCCAAGCTGCCTGTGAGGCGCTACAAGGTTAACAACCACAATGCCATCTCATCCTACCGGGTACCCATTCACAGAGGCACCACATGTGTTACATGTGCGAAGTGTGGGGCAGGACCGACACTCCAGAAACGCTCAGAAGCCGAAAAGCGGTCACCCATCCAAGGAATCTCCGCGACCGACGGTGCTTGACCACAGGACCACGTGCCATATGTCGCTACTTCCAATGAATTACACCAATTAGAACCAGACTATCACTGCAGTTCTTGAAGACAACGATTCCGACAATGGCATATTAAAGATGCAGTACTTTACATGTTGTATGCATCGTTTGTGGGACCACGACTTTACGAGCACGTTGTAAAAATGGAAGTTAGATTTGATGATCAGTGTATTCAGGGTTGATTGTTCGCTTTAATTTGATATTACTTTATGAATCCAACGACACCAAAAAACATAAAAGTGGAAACAAAGTCCAGATAAAAGCAGTCTCCATTTCGGATTTTGCAATATATATATTTCATTATTATTATTATTATTATTGGAAACTTCGTATTGGACTACATGTACTATCCTCTGTTGCAGGATATTCCATGGCCGCATCCCGTCCCTCCTCATCTCAGACCCGACCATGATCAAACAGATTTGTGTGAAAAACTTCTCCAACTTTGTCAACAGATCGGTGAGTGAGCGGACAGAGGACACATTTATTTTCAGGGAAAACGTACATTCTCACCCTCAGCGAATAGCATACACTGATGTAGAGGGCGGCAGTTAATGCATGTACATTGTAGTTGGAACCTACATTGGTACGGGACTGTATGCGTAGAGTTGTGTCCCTTAGTCGGAACAGGATCGAATTTCTGAGATGCTCTGAAACGCTTTTTTTTCTGTCAGCACTATAAATGTTCTCGTAGGTATAACCAACGTTAAATGTTTCTGCGATATGCATCACTTCGTACATCAAGCTAACGCTCATGTATAACTGAAATACTACCCAAAGCGACGTGCAGCCAACTCACTAACTATAAATGGTATCCATTTCACTAGCCTCAGTGCCACTCCGAACCATTCCTCAAGAGTGAGAGAATTCGTTTTGACGCCGTTTAAATCAATATTCAAGCAAAGTCAAGTCGACGGATACCAAAAATTAGTTTGACACACTTTACCCATGTCTGGAATCGAACGCGGCCTTCGGCGTGACATGCGAAACACCAGGCTGCCCCTACCGCCTTTTACGACAAGCGTAGGTTGCTGAAGACCCGTTCTAACCCGGATCTTCACGGGTCGGCGCTATGACAAGCGTGGGTTGCCGAAGACCAGTTCTAACCCGGATCTTCACGGGTCGGCGCTATGACAAGCGTGGGTTGGTGAAGACCAGTTCTAACCCGGATCTTCACGGGTCGGCGCTATGACAAGCGTGGGTTGGTGAAGACCAGTTCTAACCCGGATCTTCACGGGTCGGCGCTATGACAAGCGTGGGTTGCCGAAGACCAGTTTTAACCCGGATCTTCACGGGTCGGCGCTATGACAAGCGTGGGTTGCCGAAGACCAGTTCTAACCCGGATCTTCACGGGGAGTGACAAGCATGGGTTGGTGAAGACCAGTTTTAACCCGGATCTTCACGGGTCGGCGCTATGACAAGCATGGGTTGCCGAAGACCAGTTTTAACCCGGATCTTCACGGGTCGGCGCTATGACAAGCGTGGGTTGGTGAAGACCAGTTCTAACCCGGATCTTCACGGGTCGGCGCTATGACAAGCGTGGGTTGCCGAACACCAGTTTTAACCCCGATCTTCACGGGTCGGCGCTATGACAAGCGTGGGTTGCCGAAGACCAGTTCTAACCCGGATCTTCACGGGGAGTGACAAGCATGGGTTGGTGAAGACCAGTTCTAACCCGGATCTTCACGGGTCGGCGCTATGACAAGCGTGGGTTGCCGAAGACCAGTTCTAACCCGGATCTTCACGGGGAGTGACAAGCATGGGTTGGTGAAGACCAGTTTTAACCCGGATCTTCACGGGTCGGCGCTATGACAAGCATGGGTTGCCGAAGACCAGTTTTAACCCGGATCTTCACGGGTCGGCGCTATGACAAGCGTGGGTTGGTGAAGACCAGTTCTAACCCGGATCTTCACGGGTCGGCGCTATGACAAGCGTGGGTTGCCGAACACCAGTTTTAACCCGGATCTTCACGGGTCGGCGCTATGACAAGCGTGGGTTGCCGAAGACCAGTTCTAACCCGGATCTTCACGGGGAGTGACAAGCATGGGTTGGTGAAGACCAGTTCTAACCCGGATCTTCACGGGTCGGCGCTATGACAAGCGTGGGTTGCCGAAGACCAGTTCTAACCCGGATCTTCACGGGTCGGCGCTATGACAAGCATGGGTTGGTGAAGACCAGTTCTAACCCGGATCTTCACGGGTCGGCGCTTTGACAAGCATGGGTTGCCGAAGACCAGTTCTAACCCGGATCTTCACGGGTCGGCGCTATGACAAGAATGGGTACCCTTCAAAATGCCAATAAAAGTGGTCAGCAGAAAACAATGGGTCAGAGAGATGTTGAATATATTAAGTGTGATATGGTATCATTAGAGAAAAAATTATGAAAGAGTTATAGATACTGGTGAAGTAAAACTGTATGTTCCCGAATGTTAGTGATCTTTCTTCAGACTTTCGGCCCAATGCCCAAGATTGTGATGGACTGTATCGCTGAGATCTACGACGAACACTGGAAGTTCATGCGCTGTGTCCTCAGTCCTACCTTCAGTACAGGTAAACTCAAACAGGTAAATATATACAGGTAAACTCAGACAGGTAAATAGATACAGGTGAACTCAAACTGGTAAATATGTACAGGTAAACACATACAGATGCACATTTGACAACACACAACTATGTACATGTAAAATTAAGTATGCACAGTTGTGTTCACTCAGGACATGCTGAAATGTGTAAATAGATGCAGGTGGACCAAAACAGGTTTATATACAGGTAAACTGAAACATCAGTTCAACTCGGGATGAAACCATCTTCCCGAGGCAAGTGAGTTAACTGACTATAAAAGTCCAGTTTCTGGACTTTTAAAGTCAGTTAACTCTCTTGCCTCGGAAAGAATGGATGAAACGGGATCAGGTAAACAAGAAAACTAAAACAGGTAATAGACTGAGGGCCAAAGAAGGTATACCAATTTTTTTTATGCAATTGAAAGAAACTGAGAGATCTGTTGTTAAATTTGATCATAATCTAAAAGAAACTTTATCAACTGAAGTATAAATTTCAGACAAAGAATAATAAAGTGCGGGTAAGGGTATAAAACGATTGCAACGGCAAGTCAGACATCCACAGTGATAAAAAAAACACAAAAGAAATGCCACGACTCACAGTCGAACAACGTGAACGAGCCTTGGGTATGGACAGATGGGAGCCACCCACGCCCATATTGCACGAACCTTCGGTTGCTCCCGTGTTGCCGTTACAAACTTGATGCAACGTTACAGACAGACAGGGCGGACCGTTGACAGACCAAGAACAGGCAGACCCAGGGTGACCGGTACTTGCGTACCTTGCACCTCCGAAATCGCTTCCTGACAGTGACGTCATCGGCGACAAATGCCTTAGGTCACAGGGTTAGTCGACAGACAGTAACCAGGAGACTCAGGGCTCCTGGAATCAGGGCTTATAGACCATACAGAGGACAGCTATTGACAGTGCAACATCGTCGTCTGCGATTGAGATGGGCCCGGACTGTACGACGTTGGCAACGACGTGACTGGCAGAGGGTTGTCTTCACTGACGAAAGTCGATTCTGTATGTTTAGGGCTGATGGAAGACAACGTGTTTACCGCCGAAGGGGTGAACGAACGGCGGCGTGTTGCGTGGAGGAGGTCGTACCATATGGTGGAGGGAGTGTCATGGTGTGGGGAGGGATCTGTGGGCAGGAGAGGACACTGCTGGTCATCGTTGACGGAAACTTGACAGCTCAGCGTTACATGGATAACATTCTTCGTCCAGTTGTCCTACCATTTCTCCAACAGCAGCCACGTGGTGTCATTTATCAGCATGACAACGCTAGAGTCAATACGGCCAGAATTGTCACTATCTTCCTCGCAGCCAACAACGTCAACGACCTGCCGTGGCCTGCACGCTCACCCGACATGTCCCCGATAGAGCACCTCTGGGATTTGATGGATCGTCGTGTTCGACAACGACCACAATCTCCAGCCAACCGGCAAGAACTGATCTTGGCCCTCCAAGAAGAATGGCGTCAAATCCTACGTGACCTCATCAGACGACTGACTTTTTCTGTGCGTCGAAGAGTTGTTGCGTGTATTGAGGCATTTGGTGGTCACACAAGCTACTAATGACTTGTTATTGAACGTGAGCGATTGTTTATGTACTCTGCCTATTGTCCATGATTCTGAAAGCTCGAGTTTTGAACCACACCTTGGGGGGCTTGACGTCATTCTCGGTCGCGGTATGATTGTCATTTTCAGTGTTGATTATGTTGATATATTGATCTTCTCAATACACTTTACTTCATGCATGTATGTTTTGTTGTTTTTAAACAAGTGTGATTTCAAACTCTGGTAAAGTTTCTTTTGGACGTCAGATTATATGAATGACCTTGTTGTTTTGTCCAGATGATAGTGATATGATTGACCAAGTTGGTTTTTTGTCTAAATGACGGCGATATGATTGACCATGTTGGTTTGTTTAAATCATGGTGATATGATTGGCATTGCTAGTTTGTCTAAATGATGGTGATATGATTGACCTTGTTACTTTGTTGAGATGATGGTGATATGATTAACCTTGTTGGTTTGTAGAGATGATGGTGATATGATTGACCTTGTTGGTTTGTCCAGATGATGGTGATGTGATTGACCTTGTTGGTTTGTCGAGATGATGGTGATATGATTGACCTTGTTGGTTTGTCTAAATGATGGTGATATGATTGACCATGTTAGTTTATCTAAATGATAGTGATATGATTGGCCTTGTTGGTTTGTCCAGATGATGGTGATGTGATTGACCTTGTTGGTTTGTCTAAATGATGGCGATGTGATTGACCTTGTTGTTTGTCGAGATGATGGTGATGTGATTGACCTTGTTCGTTTGTCTACATGATGGTGATGTGATTGACCTTGTTGTTTGTCCAGATGATGGTGATATGATTGACCATGTTGGTTTGTCTAAATGCTGGTGATATGACTGACCTTGCTAGTTTGTTTAAATGATGGTGATGTGATTGACCATGTTGGTTTTTCTAAATGATAGTGGTATGATTGACCTTGTTGGTTTGTCCAGATGATGGTGATGTGATTGACCTTGTTGGTTTGTCGAGATGATGGTGGTATGATTGACCTTGTTGGTTTGTCCAGATGATGGTGATGTGATTGACCTTGTTGGTTTGTCGAGATGATGGTGATATGATTGACCTTGTTGGTTTGTCTAAATGATGGTGATATGATTGACCATGTTGGTTTGTCTAAATGATAGTGGTATGATTGACCTTGTTGGTTTGTCCAGATGATGGTGATATGATTGACCTTGTTGGTTTGTCCAGATGATGGTGATATGATTGACCTTGCTAGTTTGTTTAAATGATGGTGATATGATTGGCATTGCTAGTTTGTCTAAATGATGGTGATATGATTGACCTTTGTTGGTTTGTCCAGATGATGGTGATGTGATTGACCTTGTTGGTTTGACTAAATGATGGCAATATGATTTACCATGTTGGTTTGTTTAAATGATGGTGATATGATTGGCATTGCTAGTTTGTCTAAATGATGGTGATATGATTGACCTTGTTACTTTGTTGAGATGATGGTGATGTGATTAACCTTGTTGGTTTGTAGAGATGATGGTGATATGATTGACCATGTTGGTTTGTCTAAATGATGGTGATATGATTGACCTTGCTAGTTTGTTTAAATGATGGTGATGTGATTGACCATGTTGGTTTGTCTAAATGATAGTGGTATGATTGACCTTGTTGGTTTGTCGAGATGATGGTGATATGATTGACCTTGTTGGTTTGTCTAAATGATGGTGATGTGATTGACCTTGTTGGTTTGTCAAGATGCTGGTGATATGATTGACCTTGTTGGTGTGTCCAGATGATGGTGATGTGATTGACCTTGTTGGTTTGTCCAGATGATGGTGATGTGATTGACCTTGTTGGTTTGTCCAGATGATGGTGATATGATTGACCTTGTTGGTTTGTCCAGATGATTTTGATATGATTGACCTTGTTGGTTTGTCCAGATGATGGTGCTGATTGACCTTGTTGGTTTGTCCAGATGATGGTGCTGATAGAGAGGTGTACCGACCTCCTGGTGGAGAACGTAGATAAACACGTGGAGGAGAAGAAAAACGTCGAGTTGAAACAGTAAGGCTCGATTAGGGTTTGTAACAATAAAAACACAACCCTGAATATGAATAACTTTCCGGAGAGGATGTTTTAAGCTTCGTGTATTATAGACACGTAACAATCCATAGTTTTGTCTGTATTTTGTCCCCATTCATGACGGACAAAAGGAATGTATTTTGTGAATTTTTGTATTTATAAAAGGAATATTTTTGTGGTAGAGTGGGTTTAAGGATGTAAAGCTTGTAATGTGACATCATACAGGAACTGACCGCCTCCGTGGTCTAGTGGTAGAGAGTCCGCCCGGAGAGCGGAAGGTCCGGGGTTCGATTCCCGGCCGCGTCATAGCAAAAGACGTTAAAAGATGGTACTTGTTGTTACCCTGTCTGGCGCTCGGCATTAAGGGGCTAAAACAAGGACTGGTCGGCTCGGAGTCAGTATACTGTGTCTGAGTGGGGTATTCATGTTAAACTGCGGCATGGTATCTCAGTGAGCTAGCACTATAAATCGGCATCAGTCCGGACTAGTACAAGCAGCCACACACACACGCCAACACGTGCATGCACGTCGCTATATAAGTGCAATAATCTTGGACGGGACGTTAAACCCAATTTCACCTCACCTCATACAGGAACTTTAATCTGGAGTCACACTGACATTCTGTAAACCTCTTCACGCAGTATTATATATATTTCCAGCCTAATGGGATGTTACACCATGGACGTTATCGCCAACACCGGCTTCAGCATCGACCTCGACAGCCACCGCTCAGAGAACATCTTCGTCATCTACTGCCGGAAAGCCATGAAGCTCACCTTCCCTATTTTCTTCCTGATCACAGGTGAGTCACATCTCGCTACATCTCGCAAAATCTCGCTACATCTCGCAACATCTCGCTACATCTCGCTACATCTCGCAACATCTCGTCCTTGATTCTGATAAAATCTTAATACTGAAGACGGGCATAGGTCTTTGAATGGCATTTAGAAGTGATACACAAAAGGAAGAGAATTTAATTTAAATTTCAATGTATATACTTACTCCTATCAGGCGAATACATACTATGAACCAGAGAACATATATATGTCTGAAAGAACAACAAAAGTATTAACAGGAAGGGTTCTCCATAAAGGACGGACCCTATGAGGGAAACAGAGGACAGAGAAACCTAATTTAAACTTTCAAACCGATTCAATTTGAAGAAACGACATTCACATTCCCTATGTTTCCAAGTGTACTTCCATTGCTACCTTATCGTTCAGGAGATACTACTGCGTGCCCATGATTTGTTTACATTGCTCTTTCAGTGTTGTTCCCATTCACCAAGTCATTGTTTGAAAAGGTTGACTTTAAACTACTTGACAACGACAAAGATAAGGCCAAATTTCGCTCCATGATAAAACAGGTGATCGAGGACAGGAGGAGGGACCCTACTCCGGTGAGTTCATGAATAGCATGAGGACGGTCGTAAAACTATTTTAGAGTATGGGAGTTTAATCTTCGTAGCGCCGAGATACATTTGTGGAATGACAACATGCAGTTTTACGAAGGAAGCGTACTATTTCAATGATACGGGTACCGTCCGTGTGTAGCAGGTCTCGCTGTATTGGTTGACGAAAGGTCCAGAGTGGCCTAGTTCGTCGATTTGTACCGTCTTGGTGAAATCCACGAGCACAGTATGGTCCTGACGAGTGAAGGATCCGAACACACGAGCACAGTATGAGTGTAGGATCCGAACACACGATGACTGCACGACCAGGTACAAAAGTGATTTTGAAAATAAAACAAAATGGGTTCCTAGTTAATGACCTTGTTAAGTGAGTGAGTGGTACTTGGCTGTAACGCCGGTTTGGACAGGACTTCAGCTAACACGTTTTTTTGTTGATACATTAGTGGATCCTGGCACAGGTAAGATACAGAATTCTCCGCTGCGATTGCGCCATGTATTAGAGGTCCACCCGTATCCCCGGGTCTGTTGTGAAGGCTACAGTACGTTCAACCAGGGAGTCCGGTCATATTTGATGAACGTAGACTTGTGAACCGTAAGAGACTTGATTTGAAGAGGGCGGTGGGGTAGCCTAGTGGTTAAAGCGTTCGCTCGTCACGCCGCATGCCCGGGTTCGATTCCCCACATGGGTATAATGTATAAAACCCATTTCTGGTGTGCTCTGTCGTGATATTTCTGGAATGTTGCTAAAAGCGGCGAGAAACCATACTCACTCACTCACTCACTTGCTTAAGAGAATGACTTGTATGGATGTAAGTTGCATCAGTAAACGTTATGACCTGTTTGGCATGATACAGACGTGTTTGGCACGATACAGACGTGTTTGGCATGATACAGACGTGTTTGGCATGATACAGACGTGTTTGGCATGATACAGACCTGTTTGGCATGATACAGACGTGTTTGGCATGATACAGACGTGTTTGGCATGATACAGACGTGTTTGGCATGATACAGACGTGTTTGGCATGATACAGACGTGTTTGGCATGATACAGACGTGTTTGGCATGATACAGACCTGTTTGGCATGATACAGACGTGTTTGGCATGATACAGACCTGTTTGGCATGATACAGACGTGTTTGGCATGATACAGACGTGTTTGGCATGATACAGACCTGTTTGGCATGATACAGACGTGTTTGGCATGATACAGACGTGTTTGGCATGATACAGACGTGTTTGGCATGATACAGACCTGTTTGGCATGATACAGACGTGTTTGGCATGATACAGACCTGTTTGGCATGATACAGACGTGTTTGGCATGATACAGACGTGTTTGGCATGATACAGACGTGTTTGGCATGATACAGACCTGTTTGGCATGATACAGACGTGTTTGGCATGATACAGACGTGTTTGGCATGATACAGACGGTATAAGGTGCTTCCGACACAGTTTCTCATTGGAAGGCTTAGCGATGAGGTTTGGCTGTGGAGTGCAAATGATGTTCCTATTGACCTAAATGTTTTTTATGCAACACTATTTCATGTCAGGGTCACCGTGACATTCTACAAACGATGTTGGACGCCCATAAAGAGGGGCCTGCAAGAGGCCCGGATGACGAGGACACGGAGACTCTGCTGGACTTCAAGTACTACAAGAAGCGAGGTAGGGGCCTGGAGTGACTTCAGTTTAACACCGATTCGTATGTCAGTTATATCACCAGAGTCTGATTGATGTGGGAGGGAGGCAGGCCTCAGACGTTTGTCACTGAAGTTGAACCCACGGGTCTGGTGCAGACAAACCAAGGATCACAATCAGGGCTAATATGGAATTCGAACCCACGATCATAGGGTCGTACATATAAAGAAAGAGTTGATACCTATACTTATAAGAAGCTGACATTTGATAACGAGTGATAGTATTGGTATTGTTCGCTTAATTTGAATTCTTACTTGTCACTTTATTGGTTGACTATTACATGATACGTCACATGGTGGTTGACTATTAAATGAGACGTCGCTTGATTGGTTGACTTATATGATACGTCGCTTGATTGGTTGACAGATAATTGAATGATGGAATTTTCCTAGGACACATGGTTAATGGTAAATAAAAGCGACAAAACCCTTTCCATATTCAAAAGTTCTGCAAAGATTCTTTTCTTTTTAAGGTCTGACGAACTACGAGATCTTCTGCAACTCCCACATCTTCCTCCTCGCCGGGTACGACACCTCCTCCAACGCTCTGACCTTCACCGCCTACCTCCTCGCCACGCACCCCGAGATCCAAGAGAGGCTATACCAGTCGATAATGACACACATAGGAAATGTAAGTATGGTGACAGCTACGAACGTGATTCAAATGTCACCTATACACATGCCTAATCCTAACATTATGAAAGTAACGTCACAGGACAGACTTGTCAGAAACATTTAAGAGCTGCAATTACAGCGGCACATCGTAATATTCCGACGGTGGTCTTACCAGGAGTTAAAGGCCATGTGTGCCCTCACTGATTTCACGTGTTTCTGTACAGAAGAAGCCTACGTACGCCGAGGTGACGAAGCTGCAGTACCTGGAGAACGTGTTCCTGGAGACTCTGAGACTGTATCCCCCGGCAACCAGGTGAGTAGAGATCCCGGAGACTGAGACTCTATCCCCCGGCAACCAGGTGAGTAGAGATCCTGGAGACTCTGAGACTGTATCCCCCGGCAACCAGGTGAGTAGAGATCCCGGAGACTGAGACTCTATCCCCCGGCAACCAGGTGAGTAGAGATCCCGGAGACTCTGAAACTGTATCCCCCGGCAACCAGGTGAGTAGAGATCCCGGAGACTCTGAGACTGTATCCCCCGGCAACCAGGTGAGTAGAGATCCCGGAGACTCTGAAACTGTATCCCCCGGCAACCAGGTGAGTAGAGATCCCGGAGACTCTGAGACTGTATCCCCCGGCAACCAGGTGAGTAGAGATCCTGGAGACTCTGAGACCGTATCCCCCGGCAACCAGGTGAGTAGAGATCCTGGGGGCTCTGAGACTGTATCCCCCGGCAACCAGGTGAGTAGAGATCCCGGAGACTCTGAGACTGTATCCCCCGGCAACCAGGTGAGTAGAGATCCCGGAGACTCTGAGACTGTATCCCCCGGCAACCAGGTGAGTAGAGATCCTGGAGACTCTGAGACTGTATCCCCCGGCAACCAGGTGTGTAGAGATCCCGGAGACTCTGACACTGTATCCCCCGGCAACCAGGTGAGTAGAGATCCCGGAGACTCTGAGACTGTATCCCCCGGAAACCAGGTGAGTAGAGATCCTGGGGACTCTGAGACCGATACCACTGCATCCCCTCATCTCTGACTAAGGAAGAAGTGTGGCGTGGCTGTACAAAGTTGCGACACTGAAGACATACCAAAATCCGCATTCGAATTCGAATCCTGTTTCGCCAGATTATTGTGATTGGTCTGCCAAAACCCATGGTCACCAAGACAGAGCTTAACAAATTATGGGGAATAGAACTAGGGCCCTCGGCCGTGACAAGCGAACACTTTAATCTCTAGGCTGCACCACTCAAGTATAAAGCTGCAGCTCAGCAGCCCGACTGTCTGTAACGATACCCTCCTGGAACTCATCACATCTGATAGAAGTCTTCACAAATCATCTAACTATTCTTATGCCTTTGTCATTGCCAATACACCATTGTGTTAACAGTGTCGCGGCATCCTGTTAGAAGTATATAAGATGATTCGTATGCTAAGCAGACCGTAACAGGGTTTTGATTTCTTTAAATGATTCTTGTATTCAGAACAAAGCGAGTTGGAGCCAAGGATACCACAATGAACGGCTACCACATCCCCGCCGGACTCGGCATCGTCATCCCCGTCTACGCCATACACCACGACCCCGAGTTCTGGCCGGAACCTGAAAAGTTCGACCCTGACAGGTAAGGAAAGTCTTGTGACTGAGTTGGGTTTAACGTCGCTTTGAACAGTAGTTCAGTTAACTGTTATATATAACGTGAGAGGAGAGATAAAGTGACACATATCGTAGATGAACTCGGACACGTCGCTGGCCAAGAGTCCTAATCGGTGGAATCAAGTATTCGAACCAACGACCAATTGATCCTGGCACTGCAAAGGGAGGCAACTCTGCACAATGAATTTGGCATGTGTAAAAACAATTATACCAGACATCGAAGACTTTTTCATTCTGATTGGACAAAATAAGATTAAAATCAGGTATCTAATTCCATTCGAGACCTCAAAATTAACATGCAAATAAACATCGTTCTATCTATAGCCTTCGCCAAGATGCACATAGCAATGGCTGCCGGTAACCCTTTAGGTTATTGTATACTTTCGATATCAGAACAACAGCTTATCAAAAATGATGAAATATATATCAAATATCAGAACACACACAATTCAGTAAAACACACACTGACCACTGTGTCAGGGCCAAACAATCATCGGTCACAAAAATGAGCAGTCGCACATATTCTTTGTGTCCCAATGCCGACACGTTTGCAGCTTTAAACGGCGGTATTCAACATTACTTCATGGTGGTGCTGGTAATCAGGTTATGCCAGCAGGCTGGTTTCCATCAGTATTTCATCACGTGAAGGTGAACATAACTGCAGATCGGTGTTGTCCCCTGGTTTCATGCCATTTGTAAATAGCACTGTCACCGTGAAACACTACCTTGGCAGCCATGGACAGTGAAGAGTAACTGAAGTAAGTTCGGGACGGAGAGATGGTCATTCTGAACATGTTTTGCTGTTACATAATTAGTTTAGCCTTCTTGTCACTATTTCGATAACCTGTCACCCCTACAATGGAAGATGTCATGCTGATTTCCAAGAAAGGATTTGGTCCAAGCAATTCAAATATGCAATTAAATATATATTTAAAGAAGGTTATTTCATCAAACTTTTTTGAAACACTATGTATACTGTAACCATTATTTTGAACCAAAGAATATTCCGTCAACTAATTAATCTTGAGCTTGAGTAATATGTTTTATGTTTGTTCCTACCTGTGATCCCTTGTCGGTACGTTCTAAGATAGCTTTTTACCGAAGTGGTAAACGTCTGAGACCTTCATCACTTCGGGCTTTCCTCCCACATTAAGCTGACACGTCGTGATATAACTGGAATAATGTTCAAAGCGGCGTTAAACCCAACTCACTCACTCACTCTAAGATAGCTGGCCTTGTTGACCATGTGTAGATTCACGTTCCAAGAGAGCGCCGTTTTAAACGCGCTTTTAAAATTGTTGTCACGGTAGAATGGAGATAAACATACTGTGTTTTGAAATTCGAGGTTGTCTAACTGTGGATTAGATACCTCTTGTCTAAAGCGCTCGGTTCCAAATTAAAATACTAGCTATCTAATCTTCAGACAAACTATCTCAAATTTCAAAACAGAGCAGATTAATCTCCTCGATGTATCACGACAGTTGCTTGAAGCAATGGACTGGTTGTTTGGCTGTTCCAGGTTCCTCCCAGAGAACAAGCACGAGCTGCACGACTACATGTGGATGCCGTTTGGCGTCGGACCCCGGAACTGTCTGGGAATGAGGCTGGCTTTGTTGGAGGCCAAGATGGCGATAGTGGCCTTGCTACAGAACTTCCGGTTTGTGGTAACTCCGGAGACACAGGTTCGTTTACTTGCTGATTGGCTGATTCCCTCTCAAGATTGTTCATACAATACTATATGTTTCCAGGGAGGTATCTGAAACAACATGGATGAACGGTTACAAGTTTACTGAATATTAGATTCAAATAACACAGCACCTTTCACTACATATGAACATCTTGTCGTAAGAAGCGACTGACAGGATCGGGTGGTCAGGCTCGCTGACTTGTTGATTCATTTTATCGTACCCCAGTTGCGTAGATCGATGCTCATTATGTCAATCACTGGATTGTCTGTCCAGACTCGATTATTTACAGACCGCCGTCATAAAGCTGGAATATTGTCGAGTGTGACGTTAAACAACAAACAAACAAATAATTGTCATGGCGTCGGTATCTTTGTCTTCGGGGGGCACGGGGGACCAAGTCGTCTAAGGCGCCGCAATTCGCTGTGCAGAGTTGCGTCCCTTGGGCACGCCAGAAACCTATGATTGTGGGTTCGAATCCTAGTTCGCCCCCCCCCCATTATGTTTCTAGGTTTGTCAGCACCATACTCGTGTTCGTGGGTTTCACCGAAGTTGGGTAGCCTAGTGGTTCGCACGTCATTCAAACAAACAAACAAACAGAAAAAAGCATATAACGGCAATCGGATCTCTTCGTTCTTCTGTTTTAGATTCCCGTGACCTTGGAGAAGGGGTCATTCACCCGAGCTGCACACGACCTTGATGTGGGCGTGGTCAGAAGGCAGCCAACTGTAAAACGATAGTCATGTTTCGATGATCGATTAATATAGATCGATCTATATTCATTGGGAACCAATTTATCGATTCTAAGTCACGATTGTCTTGGAAGTGCTTTTTAGTGTGCTTCACACCTCATTTGGCAGCGATATGTACGGGAAAATGTACCACAGTATGTTGATCCCCAAGTATGATCAAATCTTCTAGACTTTTATTAAATTGTGTTTTTTTCAAAATGACCCGTTTCTTTCGTTTGAATATTCTAAGGAGATTGTCCCTCATGGTCATATCATCATTGCAGTGTTCTTATCATCCTCGATTAGGCAGGGTTTTATATCTCTATTGAGGCAAAGTGGTCCAGAATATATTCGGATGTGGGTCGTGTGCACAAATATTAAATTATATCCTTATGATATTGGGAGATCTTAAGCACACAACTGTTACATATGTTTGCACATGATGTTAATCACTGTCATGAGTATATTTTGTAGATTGGTTGGTTGGTTGGTTTGTTGTTTAACGCCGCACTCAACAATATCACAGCTATATGCAGCGGTCTTTAAATAATCGAGTCTGGACCAGACAATCCAGTCACTGATATCATGAGCATCGATCCACGCAATTGGGATACGATGACATGCATCAACCAAGTCAGCGAGCCTGACCACCCGATCCCGTTAGTCGCCACTTACGACAAGTATATTTTGTAGATACATGTATGTTACGTTACGTTACGTAAGCGTATATGGACATTTGGACAAGCACTGTCAGATAAGGTTATTCCTCGCATGCTTCAAAGAAGTAAATGTATTCATAATCCTTGAAATGTAAACAGTTCGATCCTATATCAGTTTCTTTGTTTGTTCTACAAGATGGCGACACGTACGGTCGTCTCGACGTCTGCACAGTGCAGAGTTTCTCATTTAACTTCTTTGAGAGGCATTTGGAAGTAGGGGTACGAAGTAAGGATACGATATATGGATGAACTCGCTTGATAAAGGTGTTAGGATCTACACCGAAACGTGGCTCCTAATTGTAATAAAGAAGTTGTTCATCCATAGATGTTATCACGCGAGTGTATTTGAGGATGGTTAATATCCTGTATTGGGAATAAGCATTGCTTTTAGCAAGCTGAATACACAGTGTTTATTCCTAATACAGGATATTTACCATCCCCAACACACACAAGCGTGATAACCTCTTTATCATATAATGTCATTCTTCAATTCCGAGGGGCGGTCGGGTAGCCTACTGGTTAAAGCGTTCGCTCGTTACGCCGAAGACCCGGGTTCGATTCCCGACTTGGGTACAATGTGTGAAGCCCATTTCTGGTGTCCCCCGCCGTGATATTGCTGGAATATTGCTAAAAGCGGCGTAAAACCATACTCACTCACTCACTCACTCACTCACTCTTCAATTCCGTGCTCGACAATCTCTTCCCATCTCTCACAAACATTTTGCAAGTTTTCCTGGAATGTGTGCATTAATATATATTACGTCAGAAGGTAAGTGATGTCAGTCGGACAGTGACTGTAGCCGGTATAGTTCCAACATAAACCTGTTTCTTATAAAGGGACGCAACTACATATATGCAAAACAACAACTGCCTACACAAATTGTTCGCACTTGCCTTTCGCGGCAATCCATCGGTCTGTCCGCTAGAGTAACTGTCCTTTTTCAAAGGGAAGCTACTCTAACTCTACTCTGTAATACGTCACGGCAGCAGTGAGACGTACACACAGCGACAAACCGAAACAAGGTAACAATTCGGACATATTTCAGATGTGGAAGCACAGATGTGGAAGGTGATCCCGCTTGCGTACTTAAGAAACGAACCAAAACAAACATTTAACACACTGGAGCTTATTGTGACAAATAAATCGACACCAAAGAGAGAGAGAGGGAGGATCGTTTCATCGTCAATCTCACGTTCTTATCACAAACATTTCGGTTATGACGCCATCATGACGTCATCGTCCCTCAGCTCGAATTTCTGTACGTTTCGGATCATTTCCATATCATCCTCGGGGATGGTGCCAACTGGCCAGGGGCTTTCAGAACGACTACTGCATCGAGTTTATGTGCAGTGTGTTGGGAAGTCCAGGAACCCTGCAGAGTCATTCGCTTGGAGGATGTCGGCTGGCCTGAAAAGTGGCCTGAAAAGTGAAACAGGAGCTGCAGAGTTGAGCTGTCTTCACACTCTCCGAAACGTTCTGGATGGGGCTCTACGAGGCAGCGCCCCCTAGGAGAAGTCCCATTCGCTCTCTGAGCTGCCTGTAGAGGGGGAAAGAGACCTGATCCTAACCTGTCTGACTGCCAGCATCACCCAAACCCTCTTTACTGCCTTTTATATTTTATTCTGTACATAAGATATACAAGGATTCTGACACTCGTTTCGTAAAATCAGTGTGACACACGCTTGTATAATAATCTCTTTGATTCTCACAGTCTCTTATCCAAAAGCCCCAAATCTCAAGCTTTCGTTTGTAACCAAAACTTGAAATACAACTTCTTTGTAGGTTTAAAAACGCCTACAGACTATGAATGAAAAGTACATACCATTCTTTGGATATTAGCTTCCGCGGTGAATAGGCTGTCACATCGACTGTATCAATCTGATGGGGCTTTATTGTGATTTGATAACCTCTGAATGGCCAATCAGAATATAGAAATCTCCCAATTCTATGAAGAATTTAAATTTAGTGACTGTACTGACAAATACGGGCGAGCACTGTCAGATTTTACGTGCGCATCAGAGGTATGGACGCGAAAGAATCCAGATAATATTCCATTCATGACTGTATTGAATGCTTTGTTTGTTTGTTTGTTGTTTAACGCCGTACTCAGCAATATTCCAGCTATGTGACGACGGTCTGTAAAAAATCGAGTCTTGACCAGACAATCCAGTGATTGATAGCATGACTATCGAACCACGCAACTGGAATATGGGCGTGTGGGCTGTATTTAAGTTTAACATGAATACCCCACTCAGACACAGTATACTGACACCGAGCCAACCAGTCCTTGTTTTAGTCCCTTAATGCCGAGCGCCAGACAGGGTAACAACAAGTACCATCTTTTAACGTCTTTTGGAATGACGCAGCAGGGAATCGAACCCCGGACCTTCCGCTCTACCACTAGACCCCGGAAGCGGTCGTTAATCCTAATAAGATATTAACAGTACATTCACTGGCATCGACGCTACAACCTTCGTTTATGAAATGCTACATACTCAGGTGTTAGAAGGTATACACTTCCTGATCTTTAGCGGAAGGACTAATTACATTAAGCGAATGAAGTTATACAATACACATTCGGTACATACATGTGTATATGTATGTTTAGAACATATGCACCTTTAGAAGTTTAAATAGCATTGAGTCATTGAGCGAGGCTTTTGCACCGGGCATAGTGCGTATACTAGTATATAGGTTAGACGTGTCAGTTCTCAAAAGAGTTCACCTGGCTCGTCTGATTCACAGCCGGTGCGAATGGTCCTAAACACCACTCATGCAGGGGAACGCTGGCGATGCGATGCTCTCTGATTCGTCGCAGTCTAAAGTATGGCGCTTTTCATTGGACAATCATTTATGTCAACACAAGCGGGTGTGCGGTGTGTATTTCTGTGTTCTGAGTCAGGCAGTGGGGTTTCCTCGCGGAGGCAGTGTGAGAGTCAACACTCGAAGGCCAACTGACACAGCTTCTAGCTGACAATGGAATGTTTATCGGTGGAGTTGTGTTCAGTTTCAACCTGTGTTGTTGGATTTGTTGGGCTGGTCATTGCAGTATACAAGTAAGTGTAGCCGACAGCTTGCATGAGTGAGTGAGTGAGTTGTGTTGAACGCCGCTTTTAATAGTATTCCAGTTATATCACGGCGTGTCAGCTTAATGTGGGAGGAAAGCCCAAAGTGATGCACGTCTCAAACGTTTACCACTTCGGTGAAACCAACAAGCACGGGTATGGTGCTGACAAACCTAGAAACATAATCAGGGCTGAACAGGATTCGAACTCACAATCATAAGTTTCTGGCGTAGCCAAGGGATGCTACTCTGCACAGCAAATCGTGGCACCTTAGACGACTAGGCCACACATGCCCCCACAGCTTACATGAAGTCACGATAGGGAAGTTTTGATGATATATACTCTGTCAAGTCAGTACTGTCAGAATATATAGAACCCTACAGTATGTACAAAGGCTGATTAAAACAGTATCTCCTGTCAGTAGGAATGGTGCAGACCAAGGATCATAATCAGGGTGAACCTGGGATCCTTGCATGTCTATGGGAGACAACTCTGTACTGTGAATTGCAGCAACACTAGATCAGACAATCCAGTGATTGACATCATGAGCATCAATCTACGCAATTGGGATACGATGATATGTCAGCGAGCCTGCTAGCCTGAACACCCGATCCCGTTAGTCGCCTCTTACAACAAGCATAGTCACCTTTTATGTCAAGCATGGGTTGCTGAAGACCTATTCTACTCCACATCTTCACAGCATCAGCAGCCAAGCAAGAAGCACCAGCATGGCTGTACTGTTGGGGAATGTCTGTTGTTTATCCACACCTACATGTTGCCATGTTTACATCCTAGGTACATGACATGGACCCACGACACATTCAGGAAGATGGGGATCCCTGGACCGGCACCGGGAATTCTGGGAAACATGTCAGATTTTGCAAAGGATGTAAGTATCAAATATGTTGCTGTTGATCATAACCAAATTGAATATTATAATAAATATTATTTTATAAGATAAACTTCTTGTATCTCTGTCATAAGTATGTAAATCCCATCCATGCAAGATGGCTTTAAAGAATATCACCAAATCAGAGAAACTGGTTGTACTTATGTACAGTAAATGGCAAACCGTGTTTTGAATGTGGTCCCCTGGCCCCTTAGTGAGTGAGTGAGTGAGTGAGTATTGTTTATTTGCTGCTTTTAGCAAAATTACAGCAATATCATGGCGGCGGACACCAGAAATGGGCTTCACACACTGAAACCATGTGGGGAATCGAAGCGGGTCTTTGGTGTGACGAGCGAACGCTTTAACCACAAGGCTACCCAATCGCTCACGGCTCCTAAAACAGAAAAAATCAGAATATGTGAAATTTTCTGAATGAGTATTTTACAATTTGAATATGGTTATTATGTACCCTTTCTCCAAAAATAATACACAAGTATACTCTTGCAAGCGATAATCATAATAATTAACGATAACAAGCTGTTGAAGTTAGATAATTAAGCCACAGTTGACATGCGAGGCCACCACAATTAAGTTTTTTGAAAATCACATCTTTGAATCATTTTAGGCTGAACCATTAAAGTAACAGAAAAAAATGTTTTTGCCAACCCTCAGGACAATTAGTGGAGTACAACTCAAGCCTAGAGTGCTTTATAGAACCAAGGATGGACTAACAGAATCTGAAGTTTTATTAATAAACCCCCCTCTCGATAAATATGTAAATATGACCACCATGAATGGACTGTTACAAGTCAAAATCATTTCACATGAACTGGATTAAATTTGACTTTTGAATATGTTTCAGTATCTCTCTACATGTATTTGTCTATACACTCAAACATTGATCAGTATATAACATAAGGACTTCCCTGGGGCTATCTAGAGTCAAACAATAGTTATTGGAGTCGTTGGCATGAAGATGAGAGACTCCATTGATAAGCAGAACTTCAAGTGGTGCAGATAATATTACTTTACAGTCTGCGACTTTAACCACGAGTCTGTAGCCTGTGTCTAGTAAGATTCTGTTTGGTCTAGTAAGATCAGCTAATAAAATGCCATTTGTTAACAATAAATGATGCTCGGAGCCAAGTTTGGACTACAGGTTCTGGCACGGCGTCCTCCAATCAGTCGGAACGCTTCAGACAACAAACTACAGGGCCGATTGCTAACTGTTACCTCTAGTAAAATGGTTTGGTCCAACAGTTGATAATATTACTGCAGTTGAATCTATGCAGATATCTAGCAGCGTGTAAACATTTTCTACATGTCAAATCATCCCCACCAAATCATGTTATTTATGGTGTATGGAGTAATTATCCATTATCCTTTATCCATTATAGTATAAATAAAATAATTGTAAACTTTGGGGCTCGAATAATATGCTATCAATAGTCTAGCTGTGTAAAATGGTCTTATGATATGCTTCTAAAACTGGCATGTAGACATTTGAAAGTTCTAAAACAAGTTTATGTTCACTATTTAAACCTTCATTTGAACATGAATTTATTTAGGTTGTATGACAATTAACAAGTTTAAAATTTCTTGATGTAGATGTGGGTCACCCAAACTTCGAACTGAAACGGGGCGTTATTGTGAAGAGCCAACAAAACAACAAATTTGTATATTTTGTCACAAAAAATGTGTTGAAAATTGATATCATTTTTCACTTGTACTTGAATACTATTGTTAAATCAGAAACTAAAATATTTTGGGATCATCCCATTTAGATGTGGGTGTTGATCTTACTACTACTATCCTTACTATCGACATGTGTATCGTATCTCAACCTTACTATCGAGATATGTGTCATATTGTAACATAACTATCGGGATATGTACAGTATCGCATAGTATCGCAACCATCCTATGATTACTTTGTGTGTCTGTTTCAGGGATTAACCAAAACTGATGTCCGGTACGTCAGAGAATATGGACGGGTAGTTGGGTAGGTAGAACCATTAGTGATGTCATTTGATTGTGACATTATGGTAACAAATGTCTGCAAAGCATTGTGATGCAATCTGTGCATTCATTCTACAATGTAGATATCGCTTGATCTCACCCAAGCAATATCTGCCATGGGAGCCAGTTTTGGATGATAAATACAATTTTTCCATTTTCTGCTACTGAAGCTTTTAGCAGGACTTTTTACATTTATGACACTGCTTATTACTGTCTAGAAACTGAAAAAGTTAGAAGAATGATGTTGGATGATAAATAAAATCTCACCCTTGTGTCTTTTGATATCAAATATATCAACACTCGTTGATAAAAGTGGAAAAATTCCTCGGCAAGCCTCAGAGTTTTTCCACTTTTCTTAACTTGTGTTGATATATTTCATATCAAAAGACACTCGGGTGAGATTCCCTATGTCATTGATGTTTTGGTTTATTATCTATGATCTCTGCTGCACTGAACTAATCAGCGATAGACTTCGACTATACTCACCACCAAAAGAAACGCAAATCATGGAAACAGAAAAGTATGTACGTTGAGCAGAGATGTTTCCAATGTGTACCACTTAATGACAAAACTAACAATCAGTCACGTGTTACCACAGTGTCTTTATTCTTATCACGATATGCTGCATGTGATTTCCCAACTTTACACACTAATCCTGCACGAGACAAATGGTGTATGTTGATGCATTCATGAGCGTCGGTTAACGCAACATGACAGTATGTCGAACAATCTTAATCTCTTGAATATGAGTAATTCTTTATATATTAACAAACAGATATGGTATTTGCCTTTCTTTAGTTGGTGAGTATATATTGTAAAGTACTGCAATTAATCAATTTGTGCAGTGACGACAAAACCAGAAATCTGTATATTCATGATGTGTGATGATGGCATGTATCGTTATTATGCTTCAGTCTGTTCCATGCTCGCTACACGGTGATGTTGGTGTCGGACCCGGAGATGGTCCGGGAGATCTGCGTCAAACAGTTCGCCAACTTCAACAAGAGAGTGGTAAATACGGGGAAAAGGTTTATAACTTGGGATCAGACTTGTTAACTTTACTTTAGGTCACCGACTGAGGTGTTTCGCTATAAGCTGATTAACATTAATTAATTACAACCCAATTTCTATATGACCACAGGCTTGCATTTCACTGATGAAGAATAGGGGGTAGACTAGGTCTTCAGCAACCCATGCTTGCCGTAAAAGGCGACTATGCTTGTTGAAAGAGCCAACTAATGGGATCAGGTTGTCAGGCTCGCTGACTTGGTTGATGCATGTCATCGTATCCCAATTGCTTTGATCGATGTTCATGATGTCAATCACTGGATGGTCTGGTGCAGCTCGATTATTTACAGACCGCCGTCATGTAGCTGGAATATTGCTGAGTGCGGCATTGAACAACAAATAACCAAACAAACAAACACTGATGGCAGGACAAATACAGAGGCGCTGATTTATGATTATTTTTTAATGCTAACCTCTTCATGAACACTTATGATCACTATTTGTTCATGTTGTTCGTGATTCATTAACACATGCTCATGATATAGATGGAAACATGCAGTGGACACTCTTATAGCAGAGGTTTCTTATGATTAGGGAAAGGGTCATTTTTTCTTCTTTTTTTGCACAAAACTGCATTGACTGAATAATGTTGAACACCTCTAAAAAATCCACATTTTTGACGAAATAATGTTTTTTAGCAAATTTCCTGCCATGGGCTCTTAGTTTGAAATCATAGAAACTATTTACAGTCTGTGCCAAAAAAAATTTCAATCTTCTACTTCGAGCTTGGCCCAAAAGATCATAGTCAGTAGACTTTAATGTTACTGTAATTATGGGCTGTTCTCAGCTGGGCTTACAAGACCAAACATAAGTTTACGAGATGCAGACTTTGGACTAGTGACCATGACTGTATACATCTGTACATTGTCTCTGACAAATGCTTGTCTTGTTGGTGTCAGGACCCAGGGCCAGTGGACAAGTCATTCCGAGGTGCGATCACGGTGGCGGAGGACGACCACTGGAAGTTTATACGCAGTGTTCTCAGCCCCATCTTCAGCTCCAGCAAAATAAAGCAGGTGAGTCTGCCTCAGATAATGCATATCACAAGAGTGTTTTCTTTTTGAATTATTTTACAACTACCATGACTTGAAAACATGCTCCTAATGCTTGTCGTAAGAGGAGACTAACGGGATCAGGTGGTCAGACTCGCTGACTTGGTTGATGCATGTCATCGTGTCCCAATTGCGTGGATTGATGCTCATGATGTCAATCACTGGATTGTCTGATCTGGTGTTGTTAGATTGTGCTCCATTGTCATCTTTATATTGATGTAATAACGTGTGTTCATAAGTTGCCTCTGTGGTTGTCTCTGTCCCCTGTCTGTGTAAGTTGTCTGTGTTCCATTCCGTGAACTTTCAGAATACATTTACCCCTTACCTAGAGAACATATCAATATCATTTCCACATAACATGCTCTACTTGTCCCTGGCTACAACAAAGTAGACTTTTCATTTCATAATTAATGACCCGTGAAAATCCTGGTCAGAAAACATTTTCAGCAACCCATGCTTGCCACAAAAGTCGACTATGCGTGTCGTAAGAGGCGACTAACAGGATTGGGTCGTCAGGCTCGCTGACTTGGTTGATGCATATCATCTTATCCCAATTGCTTAGATTGATGCTCATTATGTCATTCACAGGATTGTCTGGTCTAGGCTCGATTATTTACAGACTGCCGTCATATAGCTGGAATATTGCTGAGTGCGGCGTTAAACATGAAACAAACAAACAAAATTATGACAAGCCACAACAGCAGCTTATGATCCCCTGTTGGAGGGGGATGTGGGAATGGGTGCAATCCGTCCATCCATCACTTTTTGTTTCCTGAGCATTCACTTTAGCCGTAAACTGGAGCCTTTTGCTTTTAGGAAGTTTTCAAAATATTACTTTTCTGTTTTCCATGACTGCATTTCCAGAGCATAACTGGATCATGAATCATTCGTGATTCCTCATGTATCCATTGATGGTAAACTTCTGATTTTTATGCTTTTGAATTTGTTATCTTATATATTTTTTCTTATTCCATCAAAATACAAATGGAAAAACTGATGATAGCCACTTCTGCCAGTGATCTTCTCACAGAAACACTGTCCTACTGACTGAGATGGCTATCAGACAGCGAGCTGCATATTATCAATTTTTCGTCACAAACTATTTAGAACAAGTCCTGTGCAGGTTTCGGGGTCAGATGCTTGAATCTTGCACTCATTAGATCATACCATTTACGTGGGATATGAGTATTTCATGCTTGTGTTTTCTGTAATTTATAGATTTAATACAGCGTATTGATGAGTTTGCAATGTATGAAGCTTGGCATTCTGGTATCCCCCACAGTGATATGGGATGTATTTTAGTGGGACGAGGACCATAAAACCATACTCCCTCCATCAATGCTCAAGTTATCTGCTACACATCTTGTTCTTGTTCATGAAGATGGTCTCTGGCATTGAGAAATGTACAGCGCAGTTGACGAGGAACTTGACGAAGCTCTCGGAGGGAGGGAAAGGTGTTGAAATGAAAAGGTAATTTATCCCTTGTGTCACGTAGATGTTGCCATGGTAACAGAGGTCCATCCACAAATCCTTTTCATCGGTTCATCAGAAAATACTGGTCCACCTTACTGAATCCTACATAAATGACATGACTTATGACAGTTGTGCTGAGATCAGGGCCCTGGCTAATTCATTATATCATCCAAAACTGGCTCCCACAGGCGATATCGCTTGGGTGAGATCATTGTAGATATGACTGCAATGAACTTGCATCACAATGCTTTGCAGACCATTGATGCCCATGAGTGAGTGAGTGAGTGAGTATGGTTTTACGTTGCTTTTAGCAATATTCCAGCAATATCATGGCAGGTGACACCAGAAATGGGCTTCACACATTGTACCCATGTAGGGAATCGAACCCGGGCCTTCGGAGTGCTGAGCAAACGTATTAACCACAAGGCTTCCCCACCCCCTTGGAAGGAGAAGATACAGGTGTAAGATGGTTTTAGTTGTTTCGTGGGGGGCGCCATATTGTTTTCAAAGCCCGTTCGCAGCGGTTTTTGTTTTCAATCTAGGCCCCGTTTAATACCACTGAATTTAGGAAAAATGAAAACTTTGAAACAAATTATTTTGTCTCTATTTGCCTGCCGAGAGCACATTTTTGGGAACTATAGATACATTCTTGTATGTTTGTTTATTTGTTGTTTATATAAGGACATGACCCCATTAGGCGGGGCTCCGCTGTCAAGCATGATAGCGGAGCTTGAAATTAAGACAAGAGATATTATTTTGATGAAATGGTCGCGGATGTGGAGGTACTGGTGGACTGCAGAAATGAGCGTAACTCCTGTTGGCGACCCCAAATGCAGCAACCGCTGCCCTGCAACAAACGTTGCCAAGCAACCCATGTTGCTATGCAGCTAGCGCTGCCAGGCAAGTACCATTGCCAAACCATGAGCGAGGGCAACTATTGTTGCCAAGGTGACCATCCGCTGTAAAGCGGACACTAAGCCATCTGCTGCATTACGGATTGTTTCCATGTATGCCAACATGCCCTGTATGGTAGACTGACAAGAATGTTTTACCACATAAATACTCATATAGATGTGAAAAGCTGACGTCCATTGACTTATGCTTAGTGCCCTGGCGTTAGCCTGCGTGGCTGGTGAGAACCGCAGATTACCCCACGAATCCATCTCCATCTTAAATGCATCGTAATCGTCATGCGACTGGGCGCTTGGCAACAGTGAAGTCAAATCCACAAACTCACCTCTCCATACTTTCTCTCGTACAACTTGACGGACGTGAGCAGTGATAGCATCGGCCTGGAAGTTCAGGGAATCCCCTGTTCCCTGATTGGTTGACCCTGTGCCTGACCCTGCACGTGGTGTAACACCTTCGGCCATCCCCTTGCCTAGCATATTCAGTATGTTGTTGAGTTGGCTAGATATAGCTAGCATCGACGGAACGGTCGACACTACGTGTTGGGGTTCTTCGATGTTGTCTCCGGGATCGACTCACAGGAGAACATTTCAGTCCGCATTATCTGCTTCAAGTAGCCAATTAGCGGCTATTTTCACATTTGGCAATGGAGGTCCGTGCAGTGGAGGTCTAGCTGATTTCCGTGTCTTACCAGTCGATGTTCCTGGCTGAACCGTAGGCTCCATCCTGGGGATCTTCGCACTCCTTACTCCGTCTTTCAGGTGGCATTCTTAATAGTAACTAGGCCTCCTTGCAACAAACTACAGATGAATGCTAGAATAGAAAATATGTGCTTATGGCTAAAAGCTGGAGATCGAGTGCTGCATGAGCCTATGCCACGCTATAAGATGATATAGTAAATATAAACAAACGCTACTATACCGGACGTGTCAAGAGCGGATCTAGGCAAGAGCCGATGCCACACTATAAGATGACATAGTAAATATAAACAAACGCTCCTATACCGGACGTGTCAAGAGCGGATCTAGGCAAGAGCCGATGCCACGCTATAAGATGACATAGTAAATATAAACAAACGCTACTATACCGGACATTTCAAGAGCGGATCTAGGCAAGAGCCGATGCCACACTATAAGATGACATAGTAAATATAAACAAACGCTACTATACCGGACATTTCAAGAGCGGATCTAGGCAAGAGCCGATGCCACGCTATAAGATGACATAGTAAATATAAACAAACGCTACTATACCGGACATTTCAAGAGCAGATCTAGGCAAGAGCCGATGGCATCATGCAAATCAGCACGTAGACGCACAGAATAAAGGTATTTAGCTGTAATAATAATAGCAACGGTGCCAAGTTCTGAACACTAAATGCTATTAACGCCACACTCAGCAATATTTCAGCTATATGACGACAGTCTGTAAATAATCAAGTCTGGACAAGACAATCCAGTGATTGTCATCATGAGCATCGATCTACACAATTTGAAAACGATGACATGCATCAACCAAGTCAGACCACCTGATCCCCTTAGTTGCCTCTTACGACAAGCATAGTCGCCTTTTGCAGCAAGCATGGGTTGCTGAAGACCTATTCTACCCCGGATGTTCACGGGTCAGATACATTCTTGTCTAACATGTAAATCCAGTGTGAGTTTGGGTTAAAGGAGACTAAAACCCTGCACGCGATTCTGTGCCATTTGATTGGCTAACCAAACAAATTTTGTTTCATTTACGTCTCCATAAAAACAATAAAAAATAAGCCATGCCCTCTGCCCCTACTGTTTCCTGATTGGCTGATATAGAATAGAATGTTGCTCTTTGTCTTCATTTTTGTGTGTTAATGATTTAATAAGCATCCTGGGCCTCGATGTGTTTGTGCGTTTACGGAGTTAGAAACCTAAGAACCGGTGTACAATGCAGGTTTATACAGGGTGATTACGGTTATACCTCCATAAACACAAAATAGTGAAAACGTTCCTACTTATCCCAACAGTTTGTATGCTATAGCCTTTCATGTGACTACAAGTACCCGTACGTGATGTTCTTCTTTCATTGTGCCACCTCCGTGGTCCAGTGGTAGAGCGTCTGCCCGGAGAGCGGAAGGTCCGTGGTTCGATCCCTGGCCGCGTCATACCAAAAAGATGTTAAAAGATGGTACTTGTTGTTACCCTGTCTGGCGCTCGGCATTAAGAAGGGGCTTAAAGAAGGATTGGTCGGCTCGGAGTCATGTATTCATGTTAAACTGCGGCACGGTATATCAGTGAGCTAGCACTATAAATCGGCATCAGTTCGGAATAGTACAAGCAGCCACACACACACACACACATGCATGCACGTCGCTATATAAGTGCAATAATCTTGGACATGATGTTAAACCCCATTTCACGTCACCACCTCTTCTTTCATTGTCAGCGTGTTTGGGAATTACACCATGGACGTCATGGCCAGCACTGGGTTTGGGATGGAGATGGACTGTCAAGTCAACGCCGACAATCTCTTTGCCAAGAATGCGAAAGAAGCAATGAAGTTTCTCGATTCCAAAACAAAATTTGTGTGCTGTAAGTTTGAGAGTATTAGGGCTGGGACGGGTAACTCGGGTACTCGGGTCGGTTGGGTACTGAGAAGGACCCGGGTACTCACAGGACTACCCGGACTCATGGTTAATCACATGATATATTGTTTAAAGACAATATAACTCCATGGTTACACTACAAGTCACTAATATTTGCATTTCTTTCTGTCTATGCATCCATTACTTCTTACTTGTATGTTTGAATACAGATAAAACTTCAGTCAACTTGGGTGTGTTCATGGCCAGATCGTTTTATAATGTACCTAAATACATTTTATAATGTACCTCAATACGTTTTTCCAGGGCTAGGGTCAAACTATTCCCAGTGGGTACCCGGGTAGGGTCGGGTAATAGGGGTATGGGTACCCGGGAAGTAAATTTGGACTTGTCCCAAGTAAATGGAGTACGTTTCTGTGTTCGTGGGTGTCTTCAAAGTGGTGAACGTCTATGACCTTCATCATCTTGGGGGTCATCAACAGGTCGTGATGTAGGTGAAGTACTGTTCAAACTGACATTAAAACCAACTCACTCACTCACTCACTCACTCAATCACACTCAAAAACCCACCCACCCACCCACTCACTAACTAACTTACTGGAGAAGACTGCTGCCATGTTTTGTAAAGATGTGATCTAGTTCGGCCAAAACAGAACACTGAATAAGGTCTACATTCGGATAAATGAACTGACTGGTCAGAGAGAATAAATTCATGTGAATATAAAGAAATAGTTTTGTCACATATGAATGGTAAAATGTTGTTGAAAATAAACAAGTTGGCTCTTAGGCGATATAATGAGACCCAGATCTTAGTTTTCGCAACTGCCAAACAAAGATCTGAGGACATCCCATTACGATTTGCATAAGAATGACCTTTCATCCGACCAATCAGATCGTCGTTTACATGATTGGGAGAATGACAGACAGAAAATGTTAACACGGGCTATTCTGAAGGACAGTTACGGTCTGCTCCACTGATTCCGTCAAAATCACTGTCTCGGCTATCTATAAGACATTCTATTTTTTTAATCAAGACTTTTGTCAAACCATATTTCAAAGTATAGTCTGGAATGGGAGACGCCAGTTTGAAACACTACTGCCGTAATGCTCAAGAAAGCTACTTTCTGATTGGCTAATGTCGATTTCTTGCTTGTCATTTCATTGGTCAGTCAAAGTTTGTGAAAGGTCGTTTTGATGTGACCTTGTGATACATTGCCCTCAGATCTTTCTTTAGCGGCAGCAAAAACTAAGATCTCAATGGGATTGGTTCAGATGAAAAGAATTGTCTCCCTTCCATCAGGTATAACTCAGAGGTGTCCGGGGTGAATGGATTGCCTGGGGACACAGCATGGGTGAGGTTTGAGGGGTTTTTCAGTGATGTTCCCCTTCATGAAGTATGTGTTTGAAACTCTGGATGTGGGGGTGCTGTTTGTTTCAGTGATGTTCCCCTTCATGAAGTATGTGTTTGAAACTCTGGATGTGGGGTGCTGTTTGTTTCAGTGATGTTCCCCTTCATGAAGTATGTGTTTGAAACTCTGGATGTGGGGGTGCTGTTTGTTTCAGTGATGTTCCCCTTCATGAAGTATGTGTTTGAGGCTCTGGATGTGGGGTGCTGTTTGTTTCAATGATGTTCCCCTTCATGAAGTATGTATTTGAGGCTCTGGATGTGGGGTGCTGTTTGTTTCAGTGATGTTCCCCTTCATGAAGTATGTGTTTGAAACTCTGGATGTGGGGGTGCTGTTTGTTTCAGTGATGTTCCCCTTCATGAAGTATGTGTTTGAGGCTCTGGATGTGGGGTGCTGTTTGTTTCAGTGATGTTCCCCTTCATGAAGTATGTGTTTGAGGCTCTGGATGTGGGGGTGCTGTTTGTTTCAGTGATGTTCCCCTTCATGAAGTATGTGTTTGAAACTCTGGATGTGGGGGTGCTGTTTGTTTCAGTGATGTTCCCCTTCATGAAGTATGTGTTTGAAACTCTGGATGTGGGGGGTGCTGTTTGTTCCAGTGATGTTCCCCTTCATGAAGTATGTGTTTGAGGCTCTGGATGTGGGGTGGTGTTTGTTCCAGTGATGTTCCCCTTCATGAAGTATGTGTTTGAAACTCTGAATGTGGGGGTGCTGTTTGTTCCAGTGATGTTCCCCTTCATGAAGTATGTGTTTGAGGCTCTGGATGTGGGGTGGTGTTTGTTCCAGTGATGTTCCCCTTCATGAAGTATGTGTTTGAAACTCTGGATGTGGGGGTGCTGTTTGTTCCAGTGATGTTCCCCTTCATGAAGTATGTGTTTGAGGCCCTGGATGTGGGGGTGCTGTTTGTTTCAGTGATGTTCCCCTTCATGAAGTATGTGTTTGAAACTCTGGATGTGGGGGTGCTGTTTGTTCCAGTGATGTTCCCCTTCATGAAGTATGTGTTTGAGGCCCTGGATGTGGGGTGCTGTTTGTTTCAGTGATGTTCCCCTTCATGAAGTATGTGTTTGAGGCTCTGGATGTGGGGGTGATGTTTGTTTCAGTGATGTTCCCCTTCATGAAGTATGTGTTTGAGGCTCTGGATGTGGGGTGCTGTTTGTTTCAGTGATGTTCCCCTTCATGAAGTATGTGTTTGAGGCTCTGGATGTGGGGTGCTGTTTGTTTCAGTGATGTTCCCCTTCATGAAGTATGTGTTTGAGGCTCTGGATGTGGGGTGCTGTTTGTTTCAGTGATGTTCCCCTTCATGAAGTATGTGTTTGAGGCTCTGGATGTGGGGGTGCTGTTTGTTTCAGTGATGTTCCCCTTCATGAAGTATGTGTTTGAGGCTCTGGATGTGGGGTGCTGTTTGTTTCAGTGATGTTCCCCTTCATGAAGTATGTGTTTGAGGCTCTGGATGTGGGGGTGCTGTTTGTTTCAGTGATGTTCCCCTTCATGAAGTATGTGTTTGAGGCTCTGGATGTGGGGTGCTGTTTGTTTCAGTGATGTTCCCCTTCATGAAGTATGTGTTTGAGGCTCTGGATGTGGGGGTGCTTTTTGTTTCAGTGATGTTCCCCTTCATGAAGTATGTGTTTGAGGCTCTGGATGTGGGGTGCTGTTTGTTTCAGTGATGTTCCCCTTCATGAAGTATGTGTTTGAGGCTCTGGATGTGGGGGTGCTGTTTGTTTCAGTGATGTTCCCCTTCATGAAGTATGTGTTTGAGGCTCTGTATGTGGGGGTGGTGTTTGTTTCAGTGATGTTCCCCTTCATGAAGTATGTGTTTGAGGCTCTGGATGTGGGGTGCTGTTTGTTTCAGTGATGTTGCCCTTCATGAAGTATGTGTTTGAGGCTCTGGATGTGGGGTGCTGTTTGTTTCAGTGATGTTCCCCTTCATGAAGTATGTGTTTGAGGCTCTGGATGTGGGGGTGCTGTTTGTTTCAGTGATGTTCCCCTTCATGAAGTATGTGTTTGAGGCTCTGGATGTGGGGGTGCTGTTTGTTTCAGTGATGTTCCCCTTCATGAAGTATGTGTTTGAGGCTCTGGATGTGGGGTGCTGTTTGTTTCAGTGATTTTCCCCTTCATGAAGTATGTGTTTGAGGCTCTGGATGTGGGGTGCTGTTTGTTTCAGTGATGTTCCCCTTCATGAAGTATGTGTTTGAGGCTCTGGATGTGGGGGTGCTGTTTGTTTCAGTGATGTTCCCCTTCATGAAGTATGTGTTTGAGGCTCTGGATGTGGGGTGCTGTTTGTTTCAGTGATGTTCCCCTTCATGAAGTATGTGTTTGAGGCTCTGGATGTGGGGTGCTGTTTGTTTCAGTGATGTTCCCCATGAAGTATGTGTTTGAGGCTCTGGATGTGGGGTGCTGTTTGTTTCAGTGATGTTCCCCATGAAGTATGTGTTTGAGGCTCTGGATGTGGGGGTGCTGTTTGTTTCAGTGATGTTCCCCATGAAGTATGTGTTTGAGGCTCTGGATGTGGGGTGCTGTTTGTTTCAGTGATGTTCCCCATGAAGTATGTGTTTGAGGCTCTGGATGTGGGGTGCTGTTTGTTTCAGTGATGTTCCCCATGAAGTATGTGTTTGAGGCTCTGGATGTGGGGTGCTGTTTGTTTCAGTGATGTTCCCCTTCATGAAGTATGTGTTTGAGGCTCTGGATGTGGGGGTGCTGTTTGTTTCAGTGACGTTCCCCTTCATGAAGTATGTGTTTGAGGCTCTGGATGTGGGGGTGATGTTTGTTTCAGTGATGTTCCCCTTCATGAAGTATGTGTTTGAGGCTCTGGATGTGGGGTGCTGTTTGTTTCAGTGATGTTCCCCTTCATGAAGTATGTGTTTGAGGCTCTGGATGTGGGGGTGCTGTTTGTTTCAGTGATGTTCCCCTTCATGAAGTATGTGTTTGAGGCTCTGGATGTGGGGGTGCTGTTTGTTTCAGTGACGTTCCCCTTCATGAAGTCTGTGTTTGAGGCCCTTGATGTGGGGTGCTGTTTGTTTCAGAGACGTTCCCTTTAATTAAGTATGTCTTTGAGGCCCTAGATATGGGGTAGGTGTTTGTTTCAGTGATGTTCCCCTTCATGAAGTATGTGTTTGAGGCTCTGGATGTGGGGGTGCTGTTTGTTTCAGTGATGTACCCCTTCATGAAGTATGTGTTTGAGGCTCTGGATGTGGGGGTGCTGTTTGTTTCAGTGATGTTCCCCTTCATGAAGTATGTGTTTGAGGCTCTGGATGTGGGGTGCTGTTTGTTTCAGTGATGTTCCCCTTCATGAAGTATGTGTTTGAGGCTCTGGATGTTGGGGTGCTGTTTGTTTCAGTGATGTTCCCCTTCATGAAGTATGTGTTTGAGGCTCTGGATGTGGGGTGCTGTTTGTTTCAGTGATGTTCCCCTTCATGAAGTATGTGTTTGAGGCTCTGGATGTGGGGTGCTGTTTGTTTCAGTGATGTTCCCCTTCATGAAGTATGTGTTTGAGGCTCTGGATGTGGGGGTGCTGTTTGTTTCAGTGATGTTCCCCTTCATGAAGTATGTGTTTGAGGCTCTGGATGTGGGGGTGCTGTTTGTTTCAGTGATGTTCCCCTTCATGAAGTATGTGTTTGAGGCTCTGGATGTGGGGTGCTGTTTGTTTCAGTGATGTTCCCCTTCATGAAGTATGTGTTTGAGGCTCTGGATGTGGGGTGCTGTTTGTTTCAGTGATGTTCCCCTTCATGAAGTATGTGTTTGAGGCTCTGGATGTGGGGGTGCTGTTTGTTTCAGTGACGTTCCCTTTCATGAAGTATGTCTTTGAGGCCCTAGATGTGGGGGTGCTGTTTGTTTCAGTGATGTTCCCCTTCATGAAGTATGTGTTTGAGGCTCTGGATGTGGGGGTGCTGTTTGTTTCAGTGATGTTCCCCTTCATGAAGTATGTGTTTGAGGCTCTGGATGTGGGGGTGCTGTTTGTTTCAGTGATGTTCCCCTTCATAAAGTATGTGTTTGAGGCTCTGGATGTGGGGGTGCTGTTTGTTTCAGTGATGTTCCCCTTCATGAAGTATGTGTTTGAGGCTCTGGATGTGGGGTGCTGTTTGTTTCAGTGATGTTCCCCTTCATGAAGTATGTGTTTGAGGCTCTGGATGTGGGGTGCTGTTTGTTTCAGTGATGTTCCCCTTCATGAAGTATGTGTTTGAGGCCCTGGATGTGGGGGTGCTGTTTGTTTCAGTGATGTTCCCCATGAAGTATGTGTTTGAGGCTCTGGATGTGGGGTGTTGTTTGTTTCAGTGATGTTCCCCTTCATGAAGTATGTGTTTGAGGCTCTGGATGTGGGGGTGCTGTTTGTTTCAGTGATGTTCCCCTTCATGAAGTATGTGTTTGAGGCCCTGGATGTGGGGGTGCTGTTTGTTTCAGTGATGTTCCCCTTCATGAAGTATATGTTTGAGGCTCTGGATGTGGGGGTGCTGTTTGTTTCAGTGATGTTCCCCTTCATGAAGTATGTGTTTGAGGCTCTGTCTGTGAGGGGTGTTTGTTTCAGTGATGTTCCCCTTCATGAAGTATGTGTTTGAGGCTCTGTATGTGGGGGTGCTGTTTGTTTCAGTGATGTTCCCCTTCATGAAGTATGTGTTTGAGGCTCTGGATGTGGGGGTGCTGTTTGTTTCAGTGATGTTGCCCTTCATGAAGTATGTGTTTGAGGCTCTGGATGTGGGGTGCTGTTTGTTTCAGTGATGTTCCCCTTCATGAAGTATGTGTTTGAGGCTCTGGATGTGGGGGTGCTGTTTGTTTCAGTGATGTTCCCCTTCATGAAGTATGTGTTTGAGGCTCTGGATGTGGGGTGCTGTTTGTTTCAGTGATGTTCCCCTTCATGAAGTATGTGTTTGAGGCTCTGGATGTGGGGGTGGTGTCACTGGCACCAAGAAAATTCTTCTTCGGTATGATGAACGAAGTGGTTGAGGACAGACGGAAGTCGGAGTCGGTAGGTGCACATAGCAGGAATTTCTCTTTCACTTTAAATATTGTTATCAATAATGTTATGTTTTGCAATTTCAAGGTCAAAATGTCTAAATATGCTCTGTATTCATTTCTTTCTTGGGAAAAGTTTTTGACTGTGAAACTATTTGCCAACACCTGGCGTCATCACAGATGGGGATACAGAGCACGTGCTTGTGATGAAGTTGGAATCACACAACTCTTTTGGTAGAGATTTCTTATTTTATTGTTAAAGCACGATGCCAAGGTTTTGTTTGAGAATGTAAAACCTGAAGCGAGGGAAAAGCCTTTACAGCAATACATTGTATTTTTAGAGAAAGCCGACGAGCTTGCAGACGAGCATGGTGCTTGTGTTGAACCTTGTCCTTGGTGCATCATTTTAACACAGACTACATCCCTTTATAGACTGTTATAATACTCCAACTATGTGTACAACAAACCACTAAACAAAGCAGGGTAACTAGATATTGATATGTAGATACAGTAAACTACTTGTATAACGAACATGCTTGGAACGACCTGACGGATATAACATACTGTTTTTTCGTCCTGGGCATTTTCTGCATACATACAGTATATATATGCTTATAATGAACTACGGTTATAACGAACTAAAATTAGTGGTCCCTTTGAGTTTGTTATAGCTGTAGTTTACTGTAAAGTGACAATGTCCTTTCCATAACCAATAGGAATCTCTGCCTAAAGCAGAGTCGATTGTACGATTCTGACTATATCATGAGCATGCATTTATGAATCACTGTCAAATAGTAATTATATCAGGTGTTTGCGAAAAGATGAGCGTATACTGCCCTACAAATTCCAACTTTTCTTCCCGTTCATACTGCTGTACATCTCGGGGATGCAAATAAACGTTTGTTTCGTGTAGAACCCGCGGGACATGCTGGACGTGATGCTGACGTCTCACAAGTTAGACAACACCCTGGAGGAGGGTGATTTCAGTGATGCAGCCTTCAAGTTTGACGACAAGAAGAAAAGAGGTAAGTGAAGTGTACCGTGTTAAACCTTTCTATTTTGTGAATAGACTTTTAGAAAGTGGCCTGATGTAACATATGTTATTGTCAGTAAAGTACAAATTCTATAACTTTTTGGGGTGAAATCTCATCTGGAATTCGACCCCCACACTCTCAGAGCTACCTAACTGCCAGTACACAAAGTCAGCGGCCTAACCCACTCTGCCATCAAGTTGGGTTTAATGCCACCAACCCTGCCCCCCTCCTCACCTAGCCAGTAGAGACCTGTTATGTTATTATCAGTTGTGAAGGTAATGCTATATGCGTCGCTTCCTGTCGACATCTTCTATCTTCCTACCAATGTTGTAGTGCCTGTGTTTGGGTAATAAAGTGTTTGATGGTTATCCCCTTGAGGACCTTGTCCCTGGTCAGTGTCTCACCCTGGTGATGATTTCCTGTATATTTTAGTGGTAATAAAAAGTGTGTCATTTGCTGTCATGGCATTTACACCCATAAGGGAGTATCATTAAAAAATATTCTGTGTTCTGCATGTGTTATGATTGCGAAAAAGTAAAGCTGCATTGTTATATTGTTGTCATGACATCATCACCTGAAAAAGGACGTATTATCACGGATAAGTTGTGTTCTGTTGAGTTTTCTTTTGCTGAGATGGAAATATATCAATCAAGGTGATAAAGACATGAAGCTTATATCTGTTTGGCCCAAGAACCCACTTGTGCGTCATTTAGATTGAGAGGGGAAATTTGCAAAGGATTCACGTTCTATGGAGGAGTGTCCGATCTGCAGCGAGGTATCATATCAGATATCCCACTGAAAGCTATTACTTGCATATCCATTGTTCTGTAGAAGGATATAGTCAGTAGAATGGTGTTTTTTTGTTTTGTTTTGTTTTGTTTGTTGTTTAACACCGCACTCAGCAATATTCCAGCAATATGACGGAGGTCTGTAAATAATCAATTCTGGACAAGACAATCCAGTGATTGACATCATGAGCATCGATCCACGCAAATGGGATCAATGACATGCATCCAACCAAGTCAGCGAGCCTGACCACCCAATTCCATTAGTTGCCTCTTACGACAAGCATAGTTGCCTCTTACGACAAGCATAGTTGCCTTTTACGGCAAGCATGGGTTGCTGAAGACCTATTCTACCACGGATCTTCACGGGTCGCGACTGGAATGAGATTGTTTGCTTATCCATGGTAACGTATACGGCTACAGCCAGTAGTACGGTGGTAATGGGGACATATTGTGAGCTGGTTCTCGGTGGGGGGAGAGTTTCAAGGATGTTGTTTACATTTAAACAGGGCTGACCAATGAGGAGGTTCTCGCCAACTCTGTGATATTCTTATTGGCCGGATATGATACAACCTCGACAGCCTTGACCTTTTGTTGCTATCTCCTAGCAACCAACCCTGAGTGCCAGGAACGACTTGTTGAGGAGATTGACACAGAAATTGGAAAAGTAAGGGAGTAATTATATTACGTAACCGTAGGGTCTGTTACGAAAATAAGTTTTTATTACACAAATATTATATACGCAAACATTTTTGATTCTTACATCTTCATTCTATTATCACATATACCCTAGACCAGTTGTCCACCTTAGCATAGATGCCTTTTACAGCAAGCATGGGTTGCTGAAGACCTATTCTACCCCAGGTCTTCACAGGTCGAGATAAAGTGAGGATGAGACACGGGTATTACACCTACTAGAGTGGACACTAATGTTTTCAAAAGCCTTTATTGACGTACCAATCAGTCTATTTTATGCTGTTTGTTTTTTATGAATGTAATTATCACATTAAATTGTAAGCCTTCCTTCAGGACTTACCTACCTATGACATCGTGATGAAGCTGTCCTACCTGGACAGGGTGTTCTCCGAGACCCTCAGAGTGTACCCTGCCGTCACCAGGTGAGTGGGGTGTCTATCAGGGTGGGGTACCTGCCGTCACCAGGTGAGTGGGGTGTCTATCAGGGTGGGGTACCTGCCGTCACCAGGTGAGTGGGGTGTCTGTCAGGGTGGGGTACCTGCCATCACCAGGTGAGTGGGGTGTCTATCAGGGTGGGGTACCTGCCATCACCAGGTGAGTGGGGTGTCTGTCAGGGTGGGGTACCTGCCGTCACAAGGTAAGGGGGGTGTCTATCAGGGTGGGGTACCTGCCGTCACCAGGTGAGTGGGGTGTCTATCAGGGTGGGGTACCTGCCGTCACAAGGTGAGTGGGGTGTCTATCAGGGTGGGGTACCTGCCGTCACCAGGTGAGTGGGGTGTCTATCAGGGTGGGGTACCTGCCGTCACTAGGTGAGTGGGGTGTCTATCAGGGTGGGGTACCTGCCGTCACAAGGTGAGTGGGGTGTCTATCAGGGTGGGGTACCTGCCGTCACAAGGTGAGTGGGGTGTCTATCAGGATGGGGTACCTGCCGTCACCAGGTGAGTGGGGTGTCTATCAGGGTGGGGTACCTGCCGTCACAAGGTGAGTGGGGTATCTATCAGGGTGGGGTACCTGCCGTCACCAGGTGAGTGGGGTGTCTATCAGGGTGGGGTACCTGCCGTCACCAGGTGAGTGGGGTGTCTATCAGGGTGGGGTACCTGCCGTCACCAGGTGAGTGAGGTGTCTATCAGGGTGGGGTACCTGCCGTCACCAGGTGAGTGGGGTGTCTATCAGGGTGGGGTACCTGCCGTCACCAGGTGAGTGGGGTGTCTATCAGGGTGGGGTACCTGCCGTCACAAGGTGTGTGGGGTGTCTGTCAGGGTGGGGTATCTGCCGGGTTCCGGGTGCATTTTTGGGAGACTTGTTAAGGTGCATGTTTTAGGCGATAATTGTGTTCGTCAATATGTCATTTAAGAACTCTGAGAATTAAGATATTCAACAAGGAAAATTGTGTGCCCTTGTGTGAGATAATTCTTATCTCACTCAGCAATGTTTTTCAACCAATCAAATTGATACATACAATTACTGATAATGATGATGATGATGATGATGATGATGCCAGGCGATGACACCAATATTTGTGTCGTGTTTTCCAGGATTGGCCGCAAGACCAAGGAAGCCACCACAATAAAGGGCTACCACATCCCGGCTGGCATGTCCGTCAACTTCCCCATCTTCGCCATGCACCATGACCCAGAGTTCTGGGCCGAACCCGAGAAGTTTGACCCCGACAGGTCAGTGTCAGGGATGTGAACTTGAACACTGCGCTCAGCACTATTCCGACATGTACATTGAGTCTGGACCAGACGATGCAGGCCTTGCAGGGGTTGATATAATGACCAACAAGCCAATCATTGGGTTACAAACAAACACAACCAAATCACTGACTACTTGATCCATAAAGGTGCCTCTTAGGACCAGAATATTTGTTTTGTTTGTTTGTTGTTTAACGCCGCTCTCAGCAATATTTCAGCTATATGACGGCATATATAATCGGCATAAATTTTTTATTTTGGTTGAATAGTTTTGACTTTAGATTTTATTGTTAATGATTCATGCCTTGCTTTACAATGAGGTATGTCTTTTCGTAGGTTCCTCCCAGAGAATAAGGGACAACTTCACAATTATTATTATGCTCCATTTGGCGTTGGACCCAAAAGTTGTATTGGAATGAGGCTAGCGACCCTGACCTTCAAGATGACGGTCGTGAGCATCCTGCAGCACTTCCGCTTGGAGACCACGCCCAACACGGAGGTATGGTAGTCAGCAGTATTCAGCAGTGAACACAAGGAATGGGTTTGTACCCATGTGGGGAGTCGAACCAGGGCCTTTGCTATGGCAGGTGAACACATGAACCACTAGACTACCCCCACACCACCCAACTCAATTGGATGACGATGATGATGATGATGGTGATGATGGTGATGATGGTGATGATGATGATGATGATGATGACGTTGGAGATTTCGCACTCGGGGAATGGATGAATGACTCGAGTGACTGAAAACTTGAAACAAAGTAATTGTTTGGCTCAGGCTTGCAGGGAAACAATTGTTTCTTGTAGCGCCGATTGAAAAAATATTCTCTCAAACAAAACTCCAAGGCCTGATGTTATACAAGTTGTGACATGCTTGACCTACTTTACCAGCTCCCCCTGCTCTTTTATGCATGTTGCCCCCCCCCCCCCCCCACACACACACACAGAGAGTACCTGGCCATCAGTCAACAGAGATCAAGGTTACTTCATCCCATCTGCCTATATGAACTTATTAAGCATCATCACCCTACCTATGTATACTTTATCCTGGGGCGGACAAACGGCCTTGTGGTTAAAGCGTTCGTTTGTTCCAGGTTCAATTCCCGACATGGGTACAATGTGTGATGCCCATTTCTGGTGTCCCCCGCCGTGATATTGCTGGAATATTTCTAAAAGAGGCGTAAAATCAAACTCACTCACTCACTCACTCACTAATCCTTTATAACTGGCTTCCTTTCTTATTAGCTTCCTTCTGTTGTCATTACTTAACCTACTCATGTTTGTATTCAATTGTTGTTCCTGTTAATCCTCCACCTACTATATATACATTCTGTATCATGTTCATTATTGCTAAGGCAGAAGACGTCCTCTTAAACGCTTAAAACAACAACATCATTATTCGGCCTTGCCTGACAACAGTATAAGGATCTATACCAAAACGTCGCCATTACAGTAAAATAAAGAAGTTGTTATCCATAAAATGGTGTCTCCCTTGTCACTTGTAACGGCTCCAACTGCGCTCGGTCTCTAGATGTTCAACAAGTCGTCATAGGTTTTACCTTGGGTTACAACTGAGACTGGCTGCTGGTTGTTGCAGGTGCCCCCGGAGTTGGAGAAGGGAGTGTTCGTGAAGCCGAAGAATGGAATGTTTCTGCAGCTGGTCCAGAGAGGACGATAAGCCTGGCACATCCTCAGGCACTGCCTCCCTACAGCCGTGCAATGGCTGGATCACACTGCTTAACTTGTATTAACTCTAATACATCCAAGAGTGCCATTTTTAATTACCGTATTCGACGTAATAAGTGCCCCGTTCTATTACGCGCCCACGGCAACATTTGCTAAGATATTGGCTAGTGAACAATCCCATTTAGCACCCCTTTCGATTGATCAATGTACACAAGACTTATTTATTCGCATATAATATGCACTCGTGTGTTATATGCACCCTTAATTATTGGCATTTAATTCTGGAAAAATATATCTGTCGTACATAAACATTTCAGACTGTCAGCATAATCCACGAAATTTATCTTTCAACTCTGTTTTTTTTATCAAAATAATATTCGAATAAGAGCCCCCTATTTCTAATTTTGAGAGCGCCCTGGGCACTTATTACGTTGAATATGGTACATGTTCATCAGTGCAAATGTGTTTCATGTTGGAGGAGGAAATTCATCATCCTCTGTGCTGATTGTTCATGTTGTTAATTGGTCTGGTTGTCTGGACCTGAAGCTTACTCACAATACGCCTGCTGTGGTTTTAATAAAGTTCTCTACTGAGAGTTTTTACGCCATAGTTAATGTAGCATGTGCCTACATATTTAATGTGTCAATATGTCTGTGTGAATATTATTTGAGGATTTAATTGTATCCATTTTGAAAATCCACTGTTCATATATTTTCAACCTTATAACGTTTAGTTTTTGTCAACAATATTTTTGTCGGCGGCCTGTAAATAGTTAAAACTATATGGACCAGACAATCCAGCTTTTCAATTTATGAGCAACAATCCATGCCGTTAGGGTATCTTAACATGCAGTCAACAAAGACTTGGGTCTGACCACCCCACCCATCAGTTGCCTCGTATGACTATCATAATTATGTTTCTGAAGACCAATTCCAACCCGGAAACCCCATGGGGCCCTTATAAAGAGATGATTGGCTGTTATTTTTGGGTTGAAATAGACCAAAGCAAACAAATGTTCTGAAGATTTGTTACATATCAAACATGCTTCATGAGGTTTTAATAATGTTCCTGTGTTTTGTAAAAGCATATGAAATCTGTCATGGTTACACCTTAGATTGAACCATGATGGTTATATTTGCCATTTTTAAGCATAATAAACTATTTTCACAACATAAACACTGTTTATTTTTAACTGACCAGGACTGATGATTAGAGATCCCACTGTGTCACAAAAAACACACTTGTGGGGTCCCCAGGGACTAATTTATCATATAGGTAGTGGCATGCAGGAGACTTGACTGTGCAGAGTTGTGTCCCTTAGAGGCCAGAACGAGTTGCCATGGGTTCCAATCACAGCCCAGTATTACATCTCGTTTCTGGACTTTGCTCTTATTTGTAAACAAACATGTTTATTCAGAAATTGGCAGACTAGCCAATGGTAGCTTTTCAGTACACTATACATATTATTTTGCATAGATATGCTTCTACTAACGAGTGAGTGAGGGGTTTAACACCACTTTTAATTGTATTCCAGTTATATCACGGTGTGTCAGCTTAATGTGGGAGGAAAGCCCGAAGTGAAATCCCAAAACACGGATATGGTGTTGACAAACCTAGAAACATATTTGGGGTGCCGTAATTCAAACCCACAATCATAGGTTTCTGGCGTGCCCAAGGGACACAACCCCACAACTGCCAGAGAGAGGAGAATATATCTTCACACATTAGTGACAGTATCACTAGCTCTCCGTAGAGCTTTGATAAAGACAGCATGTGGAACTGTACAACCAATGTAAACAAAAGATAAATATGCAAATGGAAACACTATACCCAGTATAAGATATTTTCTCAATGGAAGTTAACCATTTATTCACATATGTTTATCTAAAAGTGTAAATTTCTTACAAATGAAACTGGTGAAAATCATGAAATTTGATGAATGGACCCTGTAAGATATGACGAATCATCCCATGTAGGTTGACCGCAAGGAACTCTGGGTAGGAGAGTGGGTTCAAATCTCAGATTGATTTGATCTTGATCCATAGTCTGCATCAAGACTGCCAAGCCCTTTGGTTTTATGAAAGTGGTCTAGGGCTGGGATGAGTAACTCGGTTCCTCGGACCAGGTGGGTATGGAGTAGAATACCCAGACCCGTGGTTAGTCACATGATATATTTTTTAATGACAAAAATTATCTAGAACTCCATCGTTACACTAAAGGTCGCTTATGGCATTTCTTTCTGACAATGCATGCACAGCTTCTGACTTTCATATTGTTGAATAAAGATAAAGCTTCAGTCAACTTCAGTGTATACGTGACCAGATCATTTTTCAGTGTAAATACTTTTTGTCAGAGCTCCATTCAAACAATTCTCAGTCGGACATTTTGTACTCTTGAAACCTACAGTGGGTACACGGTTAGGGACGGGTAATAGGGGGTTGGGTACCCAGGTAGTAAATTTGGACTCCTCCTAGCCCTAAATTGGTCACCAATCGGATTCATTACAGCTCGTTCAAATTGTTTCTAAGAAATAAAAAAATAATTGATTTCACTTTCTGTCACTCTTTATTTTCAGTAAGTATTAACATGATTAACACGATAATATATTTTGATAACAAAATATTCAACAATATCACAGTATCCAAATTCATTTTGAGAAGCCATGGATGATGCAGATCTTGTTCATACATTTTATCTGGTTACCCTGGTAACTAAATAATGGCTCGTGAGTTCATTCTCAGAGGGTACCCGGTATCAACAAGATCAATACACTGCAGTTCATTATCTTCACACAGGTCAAGTTTCAGTCCACTCTTCTTTTTTTTCAATTTTGATTGAATTCCTTTACATGAAAAAAAGAATCTTTGTGTGGAAATTTGTTCTGCCACCTGTTGGTGGCAGACAGTACTTGTGTCACCACCTGTTGGTTGCAGACAGTACTTGTGTCGCCACCTGTTGTTCGCAGACAGCACTTGTGTCGCCACCTGTTGGTTGCAGACAGTACTTGTGTCGCCACCTGTTGGTTGCAGACAGTACTTGTGTCGCCACCTGTTGGTTGCAGACAGTACTTGTGTCACCACCTGTTGGTTGCAGACAGTACTTGTGTCGCCACCTGTTGGTTGCAGACAGTACTCTGTCGCCACCTGTTGGTTGCAGACAGTACTTGTGTCACCACCTGTTGGTTGCAGACAGTACTTGTGTCGCCACCTGTTGGTTGCAGACAGTACTTGTGTCGCCACCTGTTAGTTGCAGACAGTACTTGTGTCGCCACCTGTTGATTGCAGACAGTACTTGTGTCGCCACCTGTTGATTGCAGACAGTACTTGTGTCGCCACCTGTTGATTGCAGACAGTACTTGTGTCGCCATCTTTTGGTTGCAGACAGTACTTGTGTCGCCATCTTTTGGTTGCAGACAGTACTTGTGTCACCACCTGTTGGTTGCAGACAGTACTTGTGTCACCACCTGTTGGTTGCAGACAGTACTTGTGTCGCCACCTGTTGGTTGCAGACAGTACTTGTGTCGCCATCTTTTGGTTGTCTCTGTCCAAAGATCCCCAGTCGTCCTCCTCTCTGCCACAACTATGTCCATGCATCAGGAGTCGTCCTCCTCTATGCCGTGGCTCTCTGAGTGGTGCTTGTACATGTTCACCTTCTCACAGGCTGCCTTGATGGAGCGCTGGACCTGGAGCCTCTCCTCTGCAAGGGAAACATCAGGACACTTGAGACACACACCAACATGCTGCCAGCAAGTCCAGGAATAAAACTAAACTTAGTTCCAAAGTGACATTACCAACACACTTCCATTTTGCCTTTTTCCCCACCTGAGAAGACAACTAAAGATGAGTGTGTCTTCCATATTTTCAACTGTGTGTCGGGCAAAACACTGATGAATAGGAACATTTTGCTGTGAGTGTATTAACGCAGTATTGAGTAGTGTATATTTACTCGTGGAGCAGTGTATATTTACCTGCTGTGAAACAGTGTATAATTACCCAGTGCTAAACTGTTCATAATTACCTGTTGCGAAACAGCATATATTTACCCGTTGTGGAGCAGTGTATATTTACCTGATGTGAAACAGTTTATGTTTAACTGGTGTGTAACAGTGAGTATTTACCCGTGTGGACCATTGTATATTTACCCGATGTGTAACAGTGTCTATTTACCCTATGTGAAACAGTTATGGTTAACCAGTGTGTAACAGTGTGTATTTCCCGGTGTGAAACAGTGTGTATTTACCCGGTGTGTAACCGTGTGTATTTACCCGGTGTGAAACAGTGTATATTTACCCGGTGTGGAGCAGTGACGGAGGAAGTCCGGGAGATGTTGTTTGTGAAAACTGATGAGGAACTTCTGACAGGAGCGGATGGTACCTAGGACAGAAGGAGCTCATACAGAAACATGGACTACCATGGAAGACAAACAGGTTTCACAGTGTATACAGATCTTATTCCACTTAATCCCATCAGACTGCTTCATGTTCATTGACTTCCTGTACCACTACCATCAGCCCCGGGAGTTTACCACGACGGTGAAACCCACGAGGAGGGGTATGATGCTGACAAACCTAGAAACATAATCAGGTTGAACCGGGATTCGAAACCACAATGATAGGTTTCCGAGGCGTGTCCAAGGGATGCAACTCTGCACAGTGAATGTAATGCCATGTGGGAGGAAAGCCCTATATCCAGTTTGGCTTATTATGGAATAATAGGAATATCTAAAATTCACCCCCTTCTCCTAACAGCATTCTTCATGCCTGTAGAAAGTAACAAACAAATGTAACATTACCTGCAACATGCAGTGTTGTCATGGTAACGTTGGTGTTGCCAATTTTCTTGACAAATGCAAGTGCTGTCTGCAACAGATGCTGAGCTCCTCGTCTGACTCGTATGAACGCCATCCCTGTCCCAATGTTCAGATATTTTACTGAAACGTGAATGTGACTGATGAAGTTCCACGTCGGTGTATTGTCAGACAGGTTTCATTTTCATAAGCAACTTTTGGCAGATGAAGGCAGAATCATCATGATGAAGGCGACCATTATGTACAATTCTCAAGAATGTTTTCTTCTCATCTATTGATACTTTTTGAAAGGCCCGACTTTGTTTACTTCTAGGATCACTGTAGGGCTGGGATGGTTACTCGGGTCGGTGGGTACTCGGGTCGGTGGGTAATCGGGGTGGTGGGTACTCGGGGTGGTGGGTACTCGGGGCGGTGGGTACTCGGGGCGGTGGGTACTCGGGGTGGTGGGTACTCGGGGCGGTGGGTACTCCGGGCGGTGGGTCCGGAGAAGAACCTGGATACCCACAGGACTACTGGGACCTGTGGTTAGTTGCATGATATGTTGTTCAATGAAAATAAAACATGTTTTCACACAGTCCTTCTGATTTTAATGTATGAGTAAAGATAAACTTCAATGTATGCATGATCAGGGTTTTTTTATACGAGTATCTAAATAGTTTGTCAGGGCTCCAGTGAAACAATTCCTTATCTACGATTTTGTACCCAACTCTGATACCTACAGTGGGTACCCAGGTAGGGTCAGGTACCTGGGTAGCAAATTTGGATTCATCCCAGACCTTGTTTACAGATTTCTTTTCTTTTTACTCTTTATCGTGTTCATTAACCTTGTTGTCAGTGAAATACAAATCACTTTTGCAACACAAGACCATTAGTCATAATAACCAGAAGTTGGAATGTTCGTTATTTCAATGTGGGTATTTTTACATTTGCTGTAGACCCTGGCTAACAGACTGACCATTTAGTGACTTTTTCAAAAGCCCCATGCCGTAGTCTCCGTGGGCTCGGCTGATGGCGTTAGAGACGGCGCGGTACACATCCAGCTCCTTGATGTTCTGCAGTTGTGTGTCCTCCTCCTCCCCCGCAATCACCTCACACACCAGGTACCTGGAGAACAGGGAGTCAGGGAAACAATTACCATGACAAAACTTAGCATATTCTTAATCCCACAATTCACTCTAGTGCAATTCACAGTAGAGGTGAAAGGATACATCAGTGCATTGTGAGTTTTTATGCACCGTTACAATACATGATATGTGTTTTTCTGTATTGAAACACTTGCTAAAATACATTACTGCTCGTTAAATGTCCCCCCCCCCCCCCAACGTTTTTGTCAGTCAAAAATCGCAAAAGTGTTGTAATTAAGTTCACTTCTAAAAATAGCTGAAACGAACATGTGTCTTCAGCTAGCTTTTGAACCTGCTCTGAAATATTTAGAATCAAGACATTTCGACGTGATTTGACGTAAATATGCATATCTCGCTTTGTATTGTATTGTGACCTAAGCGTTGCACATAAGGCATTATCAAAACCATAAACAAATGATTCAGTTACCTAGCCAGTATATGAGGAACAAAGTTCCCATCACTGATACTCACTCACTTACTCACTAACACTAACATAAATAAATTTACAATCTGGTCAAGTATGACCTGCTGCCGTATGGCCTGTGACCGGCACTGACTGTCCACAGGACCGATCTGCCGCTAAAGCACGGGGTATTATATTACTTCATCTTCACATACTTTTCATAGCAGTTGATTTTCACAAGTGAGTGAAGGGTTGATGGGAATCAAACTCAGACAAGTGGCACATACCACTGCACTACTGGTGGCAGAGGTTGTACAACATCGAGTAGAGATAAGAGAAGACATGGGTGACAACTTTTTCATTCTATACTCACCAACAAAAGAAAGGTGAATACCATACATGTTGGTTAATATATAAAGAATTACTCATATTCAAGAGATATTAAATTGGTGCGTCATGAACATACTGGTATGTTGTGTGAACCGACGCTCATGAACGCATCATATGTGACTTTATAGACCCATGACTTGAGATGCACCATTTGTCTCATGCAGGAATAGCGTGTAAAGTTTGGAAATTATGTGATGCATATCATGATAACAATAAAGACACTCAGTAGTTACACTTGACTGATGGTTAGTTTTGTCATTAATTGGTACCCACTGGAAACATCTCTTCTTTACGTACATACTTCTCTGTTTAAATGGTGCACGTTTCTTTTGGCTGTGAGCATATAATGATGACAACCTGTTTGACAACAGTTTTAAGGATCTACACTGAAACATCTCATCATAATAGAATAAAGAAGTTGTCATCCATAAGATCTCTTGTCTAAAGTTACAGTTACTGACCAACTTCTAAAAACGCCCATCAAACGGGTTTTGAAAACTTTGTCAGTTGTTTAACATGTTAAAAGCCACACTCAGCATTATTCAAGCAAAAGGACAACAGTCTGTAAATACTCAAGTATGGATCAGACAAACCCGTGATTGGATATTATGAGCACATAAGTGCGGCTTTTAGCAATATTCCAGCAATATCACGGCGGGGGACGCCAGAAATGGGCTTCACACATTGCCCTCATGCTCGGGAATCGAACCCGGGTTTTCGGCGTGACGAGCGAACGCTTTAACCACTAGGCTACCCCACCGCCTCGTACAGGCTCGGACTTTGAGTGAGACAACTAAAGGAAGAAAACTGGAACTTGGCTACCAGTCTCAGGATCAGCCAATTTGGTCAAACACCATTTGTCTGGTAAAAACAGATCAGTGTAGTCATGACATAACCTAACATAACAGACCAGATGTCTATTAACCAGAACTCAGTTAGCACTTTGTTTACCAAGAGACCATATACCGACCAATGGTTAGGGATTTAATAAAAACAAATAAACTTCCTGGATAAATATGCTAATTGTAAGATAAAGGGTTTACTGTGTCATACACATGTACAGAAATGATGACCTAACACACATGTACCAAATCTGATGACTTAGTAAACATTCTATGAACATGCCACGCTTGTTGTTGAATCTATTACAGTAATGCTGCAGTCCTCGCTTACCAGTTGAGATGGGGAAATAGAATGGAATATTGGAAACATGTACATGAGATATATAGATTAGTCAATGAGTCCCCATTAGATACTGACTTTTTAACCAACTCATTTTCACTCGTTAGATATTTTTTTAAATAACCACAGTATGAACATAACAGCTGAGAATCATTCATGGACTGTTCTCTAATAGGCGACCTGGCAATAAAGTACACAGATTTCTCTGGGACCGATTGTGAGAAAAGAGACCACACAGATGCTAAAAACATAGGAAAGCATGAGTATTTGGGTATTTGGTAATAACCACAACACTGTATCAACCTTCTTTTAACTCGCACCATCCCCGTGGTTCTCTTGCGCTAGTTACTGGCTAACACATGTGTTCCCGATGCAAAAACATAAACACACGTGAATGGTGAGTATACGTTGAGAGTTATCTGCCCCTGGCGGAAGTTTTCATTGCAACGCCCTCTGTATTCCAGCTGAAAATATTGACATTAATCGAATATAACTTATCACGACCTTTAACATTGTATGGTCTTGCTGAATATCATTCTATGTATATATTTATAACTGACAAAGACTGAGAGACATTACGACATGTACATAAAGGATTCATGAGTACCCGTGTGAATCTAAAGTGGTTGACATCGAGTGATCTGCACCGCTTTGACAAAAAGTTGGTAAAAAAACGTCTGCCACTGACACCTTGCTCGGATGAAGCAGCTGCACCCATGGATGTAGCCTGGAGATGGTCTTCAGTAATGCACCAGTGACTTGACAACTGATTCAAGTGAGTATGATATAATTAGTAACAGCTAATTAATCTTTAGGCATATACATAGAATGATAGATAAGTGGTGCACACATGGTCCAGCCATGACATACAGGCAGTACATACATGTTTAGTTAGTTGTGGGGACATAGAAGGCGCCAGGGATGTGTCTGTAAGGCATGCCATAATCTTATGATCATAGGTTTGAATCCCAGATTTGCTCTGATTATGTTTCTGGGTTTGTCTGCTCCCTACCATCCTTACCTGTGGGTTCCACCAAAGTGGCAAACATGAGGGGTGAAACGATACTTCGGTACACCGTGCTTCATGTGACGATAGATACAAGATACGTTTTTCTGTATCGATACAAAACGATACACTTGTCGAAATAAATTACTTCCTACTTGTTTCATGCCCCCTGGCGTTTTTGTCAGTCAGGTAGGCCTCTAGGCCTCTAGCAAAATGTGTTGTAATTAGCATTTCAAGTTCACTACACCACTAAAAATAGCTGTGACGAACCGTCTTTTCTATTTGAACCTGCTCTGAAATGTTTATTGACAAGAAGTTTCCATGTGAATTGATGTAAATATGCATATCACAGTACGTGTATTGTTGGGAGATTTAATGGTTGATTTATGTTTTAGTGTTATGATATGGCAATGCGTATTTCATTATTAGCGGTATGAGAGGACGAGTTACGTCCCTTTTAAGGAAGTGAGGGCGAGAGCACATGTTATGAGTTGAAGAATGCGATGCAGTGACATGTGCTGGATTTGCGATAACGATTGCATTACACATTGAACTTGTCAAGTGAAAGTGTATGTTTGCAACGATGTGTTATGCTCTCATGACTCCTAACAATGATTATTACGTGGCCAACGACGACGGGTCTCAGTGATAAATCCATCAAAATTCATGAAGTGTGTTGCGTTTCATGGTTACATCACGAAGCGCAAGGAACATGATCCAGATTAGTGAAACCACCAAATCAAGAAGCGTTACAGGACGTATCGTATCGTGATACGTATCAAATCGTGACCTTGCTGTATCGTTTCACCCCCAGTAAACATCTAAGATCTGCATCACTTCAGCATGTGTCAGACTTTTTTCCCATATTGCTGACATGTTGGGATACGGCTAGAATACTAGATACCGAAGACTTGAGCTGGAATACTGTTTAAAGCGGTGTTAGGAGAATTAATCCACTCACCCTTTTCGTGAATTAGATGATTTTAGAGTCAGCAAAAAGGATTTTAATCATTAATAATATCTCAATAGGGACACAACGAATGTCCTTTACACATTGAACTCACCCAAACATGTGTAACAACCTGTATGGATTCAGAGTTATAATAGGTCCCAAGTAATCTATGCTACAACTTAGTACAAGGTCACTAATTAGACTTGGCGCTCGGGCTGTGTGCCTTGGTTGATTGTGTGCATTGTCCTGTACAGTGTGGCATGTTGCTTGTATTAATCAATCACTGTTGAGTCAGGCCCAGGATCAGGTGGGTAGGCTGTTTCTGTGTCGTCCTACAACCTGTACCCCTACAGCTGAGAGTGTTGTTCATGCTATCAATCACTGTTTAGTCAGGTCCAGGGATCAGGTCGGCAGGCTGTTTCTGTATCGTCCTACAACCTGTACCCCTACAGCTGAGAGTGTTGTTCATGCTATCAATCACTGTTTAGTCAGGTCCAGGGATCAGGTCGGTAGGCTGTTTCTGTGTCAGCCTACAACCTGTACCCCTACAGCTGAGAGTGTTGTTCATGCTATCAATCACTGTTGAGTCAGGTCCAGGGATCAGGTCGGTAGGCTGTTTCTGTGTCGTCCTACAACCTGTACCCCTACAGCTGAGAGTGTTGTTCATGCTATCAATCACTGTTTAGTCAGGTCCAGGGATCAGATCGGTAGGCTGTTTCTGTGTCGTCCTACAACCTGTACCCCTACAGCGGGGAGGTTGTTCATGCTATCAATCACTGTTTAGTCAGGTCCAGGGATCAGGTCGGTAGGCTGTTGCTGTGTCATCCTACAACCTGTTCCCCTACAGCTGAGAGTGTTGTTCATGCTATCAATCACTGTTGAGTCAGGTCGGTAGGCTGTTTCTATGTCGTCCTACAACCTGTACCCCTACAGCTGAGAGTGTTGTTCATGCTATCAATCACTGTTGAGTCAGGTCGGTAGGCTGTTTCTGTGTCGTCCTACAACCTGTACCCCTACAGCTGAGAGTGTTGTTCATGCTATCAATCGCTGTTGAGTCAGGTCCAGGATCAGGTTGGCAGGCTGTTTCTGTATCGTCTTACGACATGTAATCCTACAGCGAGGGTGTTGTTCATGCTGTCAATAACTGGTTCGTCCAGCACAGACTTTTTAGATCATGTAGATTAAGGCAGTTATCATATCACTTAAATATTAGTCTGGCATTAAACAACAAACAAGTCAAACATTTTGTGCTTCATTTTTTCATGATAAATATAGTTGAATATTTCATTGACAACATTCATCTATCATCTACTATCCAAATTTAGGTGAGGTGAAGTTGGGTTTAACGTCATGTCCAAGATTATTGCACTTATATAGTGGCGTGCATGCGTGTGGGTATGTGTGTGTGGCTGCTTGTACTAGTCTGGGCTGATGCCGATTTATAGTGCTAGCACACTGAGATACCATGCCACAGTTTAACATGAGTCGACCAGTCCTTGTTTTAGCCCCTTAATCGTTAATGCCGAGCATCAGACAGGTACCATCTTTTAACGTCTTTGGATATGAAGCGGCCAAGGATCGAACCCCGGCCCTTCCACTCTCCAGGCGGACACTCTACCACTAGACCATAGAGGCAGTTTGTCCAGCATAAACGTTTTAGATCATGTAGATTAAGGCAGTCATCATCATGATCATAACACTTAAATATGAGTCTTATAATAGTAAACAAACAAACATATCAAACATTTTGTCATAATGACGTTTTGTGGTTCATTTTGTATGATAAAAAATAGCTGATTGTTTTATTGACAAGAGTCATCTATCATTGACTATTGAGTTTGAACCCATTAACATGTTTTGACTAAATGATTTATAAGAGATGCCCTAATTAATAATGCAAAATATTATTAGATATTACTTCTGTAAACATGGTAAATTTCAGGAAAGAACTGGTTTAATATATTTCAGAATGTTTGCTAAAATTGACACAAAGAAAGGTCAGTTTTTGGAACAGACCAAAGCAGCCAGAGCTGAAAGAGCACAGGAGAGGGTGAAAGAAAAGGCTGCACAAAAGATACAGGTAACAGATAAATATTTGAAGAGAGATCACATGATGAAGGATGAGATAGGCATTTAGAAGCTGGAAGAACATTAAGACATATTGATGGATGCTAGCTTCTTTCTTGTGAGCAATAAAGTTCAATAAATCTTCAATCAGTGTTTTCAGGGTAACATTTTAGAACATACTGTGATACATGCTTCTGTTGCGGTCAGTATATGTTGCATTGAAGTTTTCAATGTTCTTGGCATGTCCATGATAGACTAGTGCTTGGTCCCTGAAAGATATATTTTTGATAGAAACAAGCAACTACGTTTAGTTGTAAAGAAGCCCCCGTGATAAGGGTGAGATGGGAAGTACAGAATCTGACCATGTGGGAAATCTAAACTTGCTTAATGTACATGACAGTGATCAGGGTTAGAAACTAACAGTTTTTGTCCACTAGTCCTTATAATGATACCATATAGCAAAACCCTTAAAATGGGCCAATTTCTACTAGTTCTTATGATACCTTTACTATTGGGCAGTTTGGTAAGGACTACAGGACTAGTGCCAATTTCTAACGCTGGCGAGAGAAACTAACAGTTTTAGTCCACTAGTCCTTATATTGATAACATATAGCAAACCCCTTAAACATGTTAAAAAGGGCAAATTTCAACTAGTCCTCATGGTACCTTAACTATTGGGCAGTTTGGCGAGTACCAATTTCTAACACTGCACGATGATGTAGGGCTATAGCATTGCATTAGGGGCTGGCTGGAAGGGGAAATAATATGGTTCAGGGACTGTGAGACATTGACATGTATTGTATTATTCCAGTTGTCCATTTGGTATTTTCCTTAATAAAACGACAGGACATTGTCTATTGATGCAATTGAAACTATTGAAAGTGTGACAGTTAGATGTACGCAATTTTCAATTGCGCTGAATGAATGTTGAAGAGATATCTAAGACAACTATTTGAGAGTATTGCGGAATCACAGCCCAAGTCAGTCCCTGAATTTGCTGCCCTTTCTTCTTGGTGATGTTTCGACACTGTGCTTTTTAAGCTGTAACCTTTGCCATGAATCTAGTCCCCACTCATGTAACCAATGTTGTTGATACGTTGCAGGCTGTGGCTAGAGGCTTCCTATGCAGACAGAGGTTCAAGAAGGGAATAAGGTTTGTCAGGATTCTGTGCCTTGTGGAATTTTGTTTGATCTACTTTCTTGCATCTACCCAAGTTATTTGACTGCATGTTTGACAGGATAACATCAATTTATTTCCTTTCTTTTCCATGCAGTTAACCGGTTTAAATGGTTGAAGTCTTGTTTTCTTGTTTACACCTTTTTTAACTTATCCTATCTTACACGAGTTCTTTCTTTCGATCCTAACTGAAAATGTGTCTGAAATAAAGTTTTTTTGGCCTCTAAAGTTACTTCACCCTGCATACCTCACATCATCATGATCATCTCCCAAGATCTGGGTCATGCCTGTTTTTCATGCTGGTTGACCTACATGCGCTGATCATGTGCTTATCCCGGCCAACTCATTCTGCTTCAAATCGCCACACAGTGGTGACATGTTTGGATGCATAGAGAATACTACGCTCATTCTCGTTAGATAGCATAGAAAGTTCACGAAAAGTTTGGAAACTCTACAATAAATTGTATATTTATAATACTTATCCTATCTCACATGTCATATGCCCACCCGTCCATCCACGCATCACCCAGATCTTGGGAGGTGACGATGGTGATGTGAGGGTACGCACAGGGGAATTAACTTTAGAAGTTGGAATCCTTTATTTTCAGACACATTCCACTTAGGAGTGAAAGAAGAAAAAGAAATGCATAGTATATATATTGTGTATAAATATACAATTTATTGTAAAATTTCCAATTTACATCGTAAATTTCCTAGGATCAATTGATCCAGGGTGAATTTCATTTGCTAGGCGTAATTCTCGTTCATAATTCCAAACAAGAAAGAAGAATTGATTCGAGTGTACAATGATGTTGTCGACTGTCAGGATGTGTTTTATTGAATTACGAATACCATTACTAAAGTAATGTGTTGCCATGGTTTCAGCCACGATGTTGACAAGCTTCTCCAGATACCAGGTGACAAAGAGGAAGAATATAAACCCACACTCTTGCCGGGTAAGATAATCCTGCACATAGTCCAGGCTTCTGACTAATTACATACAGCAAGAGTCAATCTCAGTAGGACAACTCCTGTCTAGAATTGTCTCAGTTGAGACTTTTTCAAAATTAACGAATGGATTCTGCCTACCTTTACAAAGGCAAGGTAGGACTTTCTTTTCTGAAAAGTTGTATTATTTTATTACGCTGAATGTAAACATACATGTTCATCACAGAACAAAATTGTTCTCGCAATATGTATATCATATATACACTATATATACAACATGTACAACATATGTACAACATATGTACAACATATATACATGTACATAATGTACAGCATATATACAACATATATGCAACATGTACAACATATGTACAATATGTATACAACATGTACAACATGTACAGCATATTAACAATATTGTGACATGTACAACTGGTGGTGTGTGTCTGTCCACAGCCCTTGAGGTGTTCCAGACCATCAAGAAGTATTTCTTTGCTGTGGACGAGGGGGACACAGTCAGGTTCGAGTATCTCTGTCGCTATCTCCTCATCTCCGTGGACTCCGACAATCTCAGGGTAAATCCATTTCATAAGTTGAAACCATAAGTTTGGCATAGAAATTGGCATTAGTCGGAAATAGTTGGTTTGTTTGATGTTAAAGATGTCCATCAAACTGTTAGAAAGCCAGGCTGTTTACAGAAAGTCCTGATAGGGTCAGGATTTTTCAGGGTAATTCCTAATTCTGTACAAGTCATATATATGGATGACAATTTCAGTATTTGTCCCCTTTAATGTTTTGATGTATGAATTATTTTCATCTATAAAAGTTCTCCACTCTTGTTTGCTTTTGAAATTTGGATCAAGTGGTAAATGCCTAAAATATTCATCATCTTGAGCTTCCCTTCTACATAAAGCTGGAACACTGTGATGCTACTGAAATACTGGACAAAGTGGCAGTAAGACAAATTAATTCTCTTAAAATCAGAATATGTATACATATCTTTGTAGCTGTGTTTGATGTCTTCTGTGGTATTTCAGTCTTGGGACATCCATTCATTAGGGTTATGACAGGGATGCCTTGACTTTCATTCTCTCATTCATTTCAATACTGTGTGATTAGTTCTGTGTGTATCTATATAGCTCACTGTTTTATAAGGAATAAAGGGTTAGAGAACAGTGTCACAACAGCAGGTGAGGTGAGGTGAAATTGGGTTTAATGTCGCGTCCAAGATTATTGCACTTATATAGCGACTTGCATGTACATGTGTTTGTGTGTGTGGCTGCTTGTACTAGTCTGGGCTGATGCCGATTTATAGTGCTAACCCACTGAGATACCATGCCGCAGTTTAACATGAATACCCTACTCGGACACAGTAGACTGACTCCGAGCCGACCAGTCCTTGCTTTAACCCCTTAATGCCGAGCGCCAGACAGGGTAGCAACAAGTACCATCTTTTAACGTCTTTTGGTATGACGCGGCCGGGGATCGAACCCCGGACTTTCCGCTCTCCACGCAGACGCTCACAATAGCAGGGGTCTCTGCAGGGGATTGTGGGGATTCCAGGTCAAAATAAGGTCCAGTGCCACTTTGTTGTTCAAAGTTCTGCCATTATCATGTGGTCAGGCTGTTGTTGGTGCAGTTGATTCTGAGCCAGGAATTCACTGGCCATTCTGAACGTGCATTTCTACATGTAAAACTGATGCAGCTGTCATAACTGTAGGCCATTGTGTATTATGATTATAGAGAAATTATATATCAACCATGACATGGTTTAAGTCTGAGAAATCTCTTGAATCTTTTGATTCTGGGAGTAGAATCCGGGGGTAGAATCAACAGATTCAAGTGATTTCTCTGATTATTTTTCTGATTATTCAGCTTATTTACAGGCTGCCATGATACAGCTGGAATGTTTCTGACTGCAGCGTAAAACAACATGAACTCTCTTCACTACTGTTGTGTTTGCTCCCCTGTCCTCAGCACATATCACTTATTTTTATTACATATTTACCTGGCTGTTTTATTTATTATTTCAGACATCATATGTTTCGGTTGCCATGACTAAGAAACATGTGTTACCATGGATACAGCAACTGAAAGATATTCTATGGAGAAGTTCTACCATGCTTGGGTGTTTAAAAGTTAGTACTTAATGTTTATGCAACAGCTTAATAAAATAGTAATTTGGTGGTCCTACGTGTTGTCATGGTGATATACAGTAAACTACAGTTATGATGATTTAAATGTATTAAATAAATTGCAAGTGTTTCCATAGCATTTCATTGGCTAACAAAGCAACTGTTTTAACATTTATGTTTCCACAAATCGAAAAAAACAATTCTAATTGGTCGATAAATGAATGTGCGGGGCTTGTATTGCATTATTGCGCTGAATGATGTCACTGGTTTCATGTCTTTGTGTACATTGCTTGTGTGTTAATGATTAAATAAGCAACTATGAAGTTATTATTCCCCGCCACAAAGTGGAAGGGGAACGTAGGAATGGGTGCTGTCCCTTCATCCTTCTGTCCGTCAAGTTTTGTTTCTGGAGCAGAACTCAAAAACCATGAGACATATCTAAACCAAACTTGGCACCTTAAAAAGTCTAGTGGTGAACTTGTGCCTTTTGATAGTTTGGGATTTTATTTTTTTTAAATTCCCAAGTTTACATGGCTACGACTTTGACTTTGACTGAAAATGGCAGTAGTGCTTGAAAACTGTAAATATTTCTTGCCTTGCACACAACCAGAGTTATGAATGTAAAAATCTGGTGTGCACTATGTGCATAGATCCGCTACAACATATTGCAGTCAATTCTAAAACCGCTGACTTGTTGTTTGCAGCCCGAGAGCCACAACGACATGAAGGTGATCACGGTGCACCTCCGCCTCCTCATCACGTTCACCAGCCCTGCATCCTGGAAAATACTCAAAGGAAAAACTGGTCAGATTTACAAATATTTTGACCTGTGAAGATCCGGGCTAGAATAGGTCTTCAGCAGCCCATGCTTGCTATAAAAGGCTACTATGCTTGTTGTAAGGGGCAACTAACAGGATCAGGTGGTCAGGCTCGCTGACTTGTTTGATGATGCATGTCATTGTATCCCAATTGCATGGATTGATGCTCATGATATCAATCACTGGATTGTCTGGTCCAGACTCAATTATTTACAGACTGCTGTCATATAGCTTGAATGTTGCTGAGTGTGGTGTTAAACAACAAACAAAACAAAATTAAAACTATTTCTGTCTTAGTGTGAACATGACTGATGAAACTTGCTAGTCATACCTCGTAAACTTACTGCAACCCATGTTGTTGCTCATTGCTTGATTACAGCTACAGCCGAGAACACCCAGTACTTGTACATAGCACTTGGTATACAACTAGTCACAGTGAACTTCAGACGAGTCTGTTTTTATCAGTTCAGTGGGATATAAGTTGTAGCAGTATCACAAGGGTTAGAATTGGCCTAGCAACCTATGCATTGCTAATACACCTGTGGAGATTCTGGGTTAGAATTGGCCTAGCAACCTATGCATTGCTAATACACCTGTGGAGATTCTGGGTTAGAATTGGCCTAGCAACCTATGCCTGTTGTAAGAGGCGGCTAAATGCATCGGGTGGTCAGGCTCTTTGACTTGGTTGATTTCATATCATCGTGTCCCAGTTGCGTGGTTGAGCTACCTTCCTCCGTACCCCATGAACACACACAGCCATTCTGCGGTGTTGTAGTGACTCATGTCTCTTCTAAGTCCACCAGTGGTCATCTGGGGGAGAATAGGTCTTCAGCAGCACATACTTGCTGTAAAAGGCGACTAGGCTTGTCATACAAGAGGTCACGAACAGGATCGGATGGTCAGACTTGCTGACTTAGTTCCTAATCGTATCGTATCACAATTTCGTGGATCGATGCTCATGATGTCAATCACTAGATTGTCTGGTCCAGACTCGATTATCTACAGACTGCTGTCATATAGCTGGAATATTGTTCAGTGTGGCGATAAATAACAAGCAAACACACAAACTTTTGTAAGTCAAGCACTGAAATGTCGGACTTGATTGAATGTTAAGTGAGCCCTACTCTCTGCATACATGTTTTGTGAACCTCACCGTTGCGAGTGCCGGTCCCTGAACCCCCTGTGCTGTGATTGCAGGAGAAGCCCTGACTCCTGGCATGTCTCAACTCTGCAATAACGTCATGGGACACCTTAACAGTAAAGGCATCTACAAGATACTTCAAGTAAGTCAAACTAACTCTCATCTAGCACCTCTGGGATTCTGGCACAGAATTGGCCCCAGAGTATATCAGGGTGAAACGCACCCCTGGCCAGTTCTTTCCCAGGGAATAAATAGTCTAGGCCAATTCCTTCCCTGGGAATTAATACTCTATGCCAGTTCCTTTCACTGGGAAGTAATAGCCTAGGCCAGTTCCTCCCTCGTTAGGGCGGTCAGGTGGCCTTGTGGTTAAAGCGTTCGCCTCGTCACGCCAAAGACCCGGGTTCGATTCCCGACATGAGTACAATGTGTGAAGCCCATTTCCGGTGTCCCCTGCCATGATATTGCTGGAATATTGCTAAAAGCGGCGTAAAACCATACTCACACACTCTTCCCCATGCAATTAATAACCAGGGCCAGTTTTTCCCCAGGGAATTAATAGCCTAGGCCAGTTTTTCCCAGAATTTGGGTGGGGTGCGGATGGGAGCAGAACTGGCCTGGGATATTTCTTACTTGGGAACGCTGTTTAGCCAAGGCTTTTTTGTCTGCGGACAAACTGTAATAGGTCAAACTTTCCTTTTGGAAGAACTGACCAGGGGAAGTTTTGGCCTGGTTCACGGGTACCCCATACTTGTCTCATTGTGGGAATTCCCTGTCAAATAGGCCTGAGTACCCTATACTTATTTCATTATGGCGACTCCCCTGTCAAATAGGTCCCAGTGCCTCATACTTGTCTCATTGTGGGAATTCCCTGTCAAATAGGTCCCAGTGCCTCATTCTTGTCTCATTGTGGGAATTCCCTGTCAAATAGGTCCCAGTGCCTCATTCTTGTCTCATTGTGGGAATTCCCTGTCAAATAGGTCCCAGTACCTCCTACTTGTCTCATTGTGGGAATTCCCTGTCAAATAGGTCCCAGTGCCTCATACTTGTCTCATTGTGGGGATTCCCTGTCAAATAGGTCCCAGTGCCTCATACTTGTCTCATTGTGGGGATTCACTGATAAATAGGCCCTGGTATCTCGTACTTGTCTCATTGTAAGGATTCCCCTGTCAAATAGGCCCAAGTACCGATATGTCATACTTGTCTCAGCGTCATGATTTCCCTGCCCAATAGGGAATTACAAGGACACCTGTGGGTACTCCAGGGTCAAAATGGCCCCCAGCAACCTGTGCTTGTTCTTAGAGGCGACGTGTTCAGGTGGCCAGGCTCAGTCACAATCATACTCTGATGGCATGGATTGTATCTTGTATTGAAATATATACAACCATGCTTATCCTTGTGCCTGGTATACGGAGGCGGTCGGGTAGCCTAGTGGTTAAAGTGTTCGCTTGTCACGCCGAAGACCCAGGTTAGATTCCCGACATGGGTACAATGTGTGAATCCCATATCTGGTGTCCCCCCCCCCCCCCCCCCATGATATTGCTGGAATATTGCTAAAAGTGGCATAAAACCACACTCACTCACTGACTCACTCACTCACTCACTGACTCACTCACTCACTCACTCACTCACTCACTACTCACTCACTCACTCACTCACTCACTCACTCACTCACTCACTCACTCACTGTTATACATGCCAAGTGAAATGACAAATCATCCGTGTTAACATTTTTCATGATTTACAGGGGCTACTGACGCGAGGTCTAGCTCGACCTAAGCCTGTCTTCACAAGAGCTACATTGACTGCAATCATTACTCTGGCGTTGAGGTAATAGAGCAATATATGCTCAATTTTTTTCCATGTCTTCATACAATTCTTCCTTCTTTGTTTTCTATCCAACATCTTCAGCCATGTATTGTAATGCTTTGTTTATAGACAGATATGCTGTAGACCTGCATCGTACTTGTTTAACAGGGATGTAACAGATGACTGAAATATCAATGTGTTGAGATTGTCTATGGGCTGATTGCAATACATTGAATACAAGTTGAAATATCAATAGGTGACATTCATATTATGCTTGATCAATAGTTGACATCAATACCATACTTGGGTATCAATAATTGACATCGATACCATGCTTAGGTATCTATAATTGACATGGATACCATGCTTGGGTATCGATAATTGACATCAATACCATGCTTGGGTATCGATAATTGACATCGAATTGCCAGTCGAATTACAGGATCAGGTGGTCAGACTTGCTGATGTAGTTGATGCATGACATCGTATCCCAATTTCATTAAAAAACAAACAAACAAAACTTTACCAAGGAATATGTTGATGTGATAGGCCTGACACCTGTTGATAAAGACTGTCAAGTCTGCAGAGGTTAAGATGCTCAGGATACTGTCACAATACTATGACGATAGTTAAATGGTCCAAGGAATTTGTTGATGTTATAGGCCTGACACCTGTTGATAAAGACTGTCAATTCTGCAGAGGTTAAGATGCTCAGGATACTGTCACAATACTATTACGATAGTTAAATGGTCCCAAATAGTCACTTTGTATTGTGTCCTGTGTCCTGTGTCTTGTGTCCTGTGTCACGTGTCCTTTGTCTTGTGTCTTGTGTCCTGTGTCACGTGTCCTGTGTCTTGTGTCCTGTGTCTTGTGTCCTGTGTCTTGTGTCTTGTGTCCTGTGTCCTGTGTCCTGTGTCGTGTGTCTTGTGTCCTGTGTCACGTGTCCTTTGTCTTGTGTCTTGTGTCACGTGTCCTGTGTCTTGTGTCTTGTGTCCTGTGTCACATGTCCTTTGTCTTGTGTCTTGTGTCCTGTGTCTTGTGTCCTGTGTCCTGTGTCTTGTGTCCTGTGTCACGTGTCCTTTGTCTTGTGTCTTGTGTCACGTGTCCTGTGTCTTGTGTCTTGTGTCCTGTGTCCTGTGTCCTGTGTCTTGTGTCCTGTGTCCTGTGTCTTGTGTCACGTGTCCTGTGTCTTGTGTCCTGTGTCTTGTGTCCTGTGTCCTGTGTCCTGTGTCTTGTGTCCTGTGTCACGTGTCGTGTGTCCTGTGTCACGTGTCCTGTGTCCTGTGTCCTGTGTCTTGTGTCCTGTGTCTTGTGTCACGTGTCCTGTGTCTTGTGTCCTGTGTCCTGTGTCTTGTGTCACGTGTCCTGTGTCTTGTGTCCTGTGTCTTGTGTCCTGTGTCCTGTGTCTTGTGTCCTGTGTCCTGTGTCCTGTGTCTTGTGTCCTGTGTCTTGTGTCCTGTGTCCTGTGTCTTGTGTCACGTGTCCTGTGTCTTGTGTCCTGTGTCTTGTGTCCTGTGTCTTGTGTCCTGTGTCCTGTGTCTTGTGTCTTGTGTCCTGTGTCCTGTGTCTTGTGTCCTGTGTCCTGTGTCCTGTGTCCTGTGTCTTGTGTCCTGTGTCCTGTGTCCTGTGTCTTGTGTCCTGTGTCCTGTGTCACGTGTCCTGTGTCACGTGTCCTGTGTCTTGTGTCCTGTGTCTTGTGTCCTGTGTCCTGTGTCACATGTCCTGTGTCCTGTGTCTTGTGTCTTGTGTCACGTGTCGTGTGTCGTGTGTTTCAGGCCGCTGATGTCGGCCAACTTCTCGGACAACCTGTTGACGGTGTTCCTGCTGCACATCCTGTCTGTCCCCGCCATCATCTACCACATCTCCCACACGGCCCACGAGGTGAGGACGACACCAGGTGTCCCAGCATCTCCGCATGCATACTTACTGGTCAAACTAAGGGTGGAACCAGGACTAATTAATTAAGAAACTTCTAGGTTTAGATGATCACCGCAATGGTGCTTTCAGAAATCCAATCTGATCTTCAACGTTGCTGTCATGGACGCTGAAACTCATGCACTTGTGCCATGAAATAGTGCACTGTTAACAGGTTGAGAAGTCATGTTTCGTCAAACATCTATTCTGGTGTATAATTTCTGCCTGGTGTTCATATTGCCCCTACCATCAGTGTAGTCATTTTGGCAATTATTGCACATAACTGGAGTGTCCAGGTGAATCTCTTGTATGAGCAGGATGAGATGTGAACAATTCTAACATGGAAACTGCTGTAGGTTTTGTATGCGTTCATTATGTATGAGAAATAAGGCATTTCAAAAAATATGATTTGGTTTGCAGATTTGTTGACACCAAATTTCACAAACATTGAATAAATTTAAAATTGCTGGAAGCGGTTTTTTTTAAAACTGTGAACCTGTTAACTGTTTCATGTAATAAAAAATGCTTTTAGGCCAATAGTATGCCCAAAGTAGGCCAACACCGTCTCTGGGATTTATGAAAACCCACTAATCCTTAAATCCAATAATTAAAGCAAGTGTAAGTATGTAAGTCCCTCCTGTTCTCAGTGCATGTCTTCACTGATCACACATCGGATCTTCAAGCGGTGCTTGGACCTGATGACCAATGAACAGAGCACGCGTATCATCTTTAACTCACTGGAGGGAAACTATGCCCTTTGTCTCATGGGTGAGTGCTTGTACTTTAGAGTAATCTCCCTTTGACACAGCCCTCTGTCTCATGGGTGAGTGCTTGTACTTTAGAGTAATCTCCCTTTGACACAGCCCTCAGTCTCATGGGTGAGTGCTTGTACTTTAGAGTAATCTCCCTTTGACACAGCCCTCAGTCTCATGGGTGATTGGTTGTACTTTAGACTTATCTCCCTTTGATGCAGCTCTCTCAAGCTCCTTCCCGGCGTGTGACACCTTCATTACACTCTCGGTAACATTGCTGCCGTCAGTGTGGGCGTTGCCATTACAATAATCTTGAAATTTGCCCTCTAACTCCGAATGCAGCTCTCTGTCTCATGGGTGAGAGGGTGTTAGAGTCATCTCCCTTCAATGCAGCTATGTCTCATGGGTGAGAGGGTGTTAGAGTCATCTCCCTTCAATGCAGCTATGTCTCATGGGTGAGAGGGTGTTAGAGTCATCTCCCTTCAATGCAGCTATGTCTCATGGGTGAGAAGGTGTTAGAGTCGTCTCCCTTCAATGCCGCTATGATCAAGCCCCTTCCTGGATGTCACAACTTTGTTACATGAATGTATGTCGGGTTGCCTAGAACAGTTTGTTTACAAAAATATACACGTAAGTGTCCTGCTGAACGTCTTTTTTTAATTTGGATGAAACTTGGCCTCATTCTGTATGTCATGGTAGTTAATGTTTTTCTGTTTCTTTGTTTCAGCCAACCTGATCCACCTGGGCTACACGGAGCTGGAGGTAAGGCAGCAGTGGTGGTGTTAATCCTTCTTAAAACACTGCAGCATATACATCAGCTGAGATCTGTGACCCCCAAGAAGATCCGGGTGTTCAGCAACCCTTGCTTGTCATCTAAGAGGCGACTAATGGGATCGGGTGGTCAGATTCGCTGACTTGGTTAATGCATGTCATTGTATCCCAATTCTGTAGGTCAATACTTATGATGTGAATCACTGGATTGTCTGGTCCAGACTCGGTTAGTTACAGACCACCATCTGTGGCTTCAAACAACAAATGAAAACTAAACAATTGCTGATGTGAGGCCTGTAGGCAGCATTCCCAGGTTTGCAAGTTGCACTTTCGTAAATGCCACGACCTGGATCATAGTAATTGCATTGAATCCTGGTCTGTTTCTACAAGACAACATGGTTACAATTGTTCTTGTCTAGAATGCTTGCCGTAAGAGGCGACAATGGGATCGGGTAGTCAGGCTCGCTGACTTGGTTGATGCATGTCATTGTATCTCATTTGCTTAGATTGATGCTCATGATGTCAATCACCGGATTGTCTTGTCCAGACTCAATTATTTATAGACCGCCATCATACAGCTGGAAGATTGCTACGTGCGGCGTTAAACAACTGACAAATAAACAAAACGATCTGTGAAGTTGGTTTAACAAATCTAAGATTGGTGTATTATTGGGAGTAGACGAGGGCTGATATGCTCTTGTTTGTTACAGGGACTGGTGGAAAACACATTGAACTTCATGGTGAGTAATAATCTTCAAACGTCTTATATATCTTTGTTGTGTACATCATGAAGATGCCCATGGACATATACAGAGGTACCCTTCATGCTTAAAGGGATAGGGTTGTATTTGACTCTCTCGTATCTTGACTGTTAAATGGCAAGCGTCCTTCCCCAAACGGTACAGCTATTGTGTTACCATGGTTTCAGATTGTTATGATCCGCTTACTTGAGAGCTGTAAGATGTACGTCCAAAACAAGCGGTCGAACCTGACACACTGGCACCCTGTCCTGGGCTGGTTCTCCCAGAACACGGATCAGAGGTGAGAACTGAATCAACAGGGACAAACGATAGATCAAAACAACACTTCAGAGGTGGGGTCTGAAACTACAGGGACAAACGATAGATCAAAACAACACGTCAGAGGTTGGGTCTGAATCAACAGGGACAAACGATAGATCAAAACAACACGTCAGAGGTGGGGTCTGAAACTACAGGGACAAATGATAGATCAAAACAACACGTCAGAGGTGGGGTCTGAAACTACAGGGACAAACGATAGATCAAAACAACACGTCAGAGGTGGGGTCTGAAACTACAGGGACAAACGATAGATCAAAACAACATGTCAGAGGTGGGGTCTGAAACTACAGGGACAAACGATAGATCAAAACAACACGTCAGAGGTGGGGTCTGAAACTACAGGGACAAACGATAGATCAAAACAACACGTCAGAGGTGGGGTCTGAATCAACAGGGACAAACGATAGATCAAAACAACACATCAGAGGTGGGGTCTGAAACTACAGGGACAAATGATAGATCAAAACAACACGTCAGAGGTGGGGTCTGAAAGTACAGGGACAAACGATAGATCAAAACAACACGTCAGAGGTGGGGTCTGAATCAACAGGGACAAACGATAGATCAAAACAACGCGTCAGAGGTGGGGTCTGAAAGTACAGGGACAAACGATAGATCAAAACAACACATCAGAGGTGGGGTCTGAATCAACAGGGACAAACGATAGATCAAAACAACACGTCAGAGGTGAGAACAAAAACTACAGGGACAAATGATAGATCAAAACAACACGTCAGAGGTGGGGTCTGAATCAACAGGGACAAACAATAGATCAAAACAACACGTCAGAGGTGGAGTCTGAAACTACAGGGACAAACGATAGATCAAAACAACACGTCAGAGGTGGGGTCTGAAACTACAGGGACAAACGATAGATCAAAACAACACGTCAGAGGTGGGGTCTGAATCAACAGGGACAAACGATAGATCAAAACAACACGTCAGAGGTGGGGTCTGAAACTACAGGGACAAACGATAGATCAAAACAACACGTCAGAGGTGGGGTCTGAAACTACAGGGACAAACGATAGATCAAAACAACACGTCAGAGGTGGGGTCTGAAACTACAGGGACAAACGATAGATCAAAACAACACGTCAGAGGTGGGGTCTGAAAGTACAGGGACAAACGATAGATCAAAACAACACATCAGAGGTGGGGTCTGAAACTACAGGGACAAACAATAGATCAAAACAACACGTCAGAGGTGGGGTCTGAAACTACAGGGACAAACGATAGATCAAAACAACACATCAGAGGTGGGGTCTGAAACTACAGGGACAAACGATAGATCAAAACAACACGTCAGAGGTGGGGTCTGAAACTACAGGGACAAACGATAGATCAAAACAACACGTCAGAGGTGGGGTCTGAAACTACAGGGACAAACGATAGATCAAAACAACACGTCAGAGGTGGGAACTGAAACTACAGGGACAAATGATAGATCAAAACAACACGTCAGAGGTGGGAACTGAAACTACAGGGACAAACGATAGATCAAAACAACACGTCAGAGGTGGGGTCTGAAACTACAGGGACAAACGATAGATCAAAACAACACGTCAGAGGTGGGAACTGAAACTACAGGGACAAACGATAGATCAAAACAACACGTCAGAGGTGGGGTCTGAAACTACAGGGACAAACGATAGATCAAAACAACACGTCAGAGGTGGGGTCTGAATCAACAGGTGAAAAAAGCATGTCTCAGGTGATAACTATATTCCCTTCTAAAGGGTGTAGATATGTTATGTTGTATTCTTTGATTAAGGGGGTAGATATGTTGTATTCCTTGATTAAAGGAGGAGGTATTTTCTATTCCTTAATTAAAGGGGTAGGAATGTTGTATTCCTTAATTAGAGGGGTAGGAATGTTGTATTCCTTAATTAGAGGGGTAGAAATGTTATATTCCTTAATTAGAGGGGTAAGAATGTTGTATTCCTTAATTAGAGGGGTAGGTATGTTGTGTTCCTTAATTAGAGGAGTAGGAATGTTGTGTTCCTTAATTAAAGGGGTAGGAATGTTGTATTCCTTAATTAGAGGGGTAGGAATGTTGTATTCCTTAATTAGAGGGGTAGGAATGTTGTATTCCTTAATTAAAGGGGTAGGAATGTTGTATTCCTTAATTAGAGGGGTAGGAATGTTGTATTCCTTAATTAGAGGGGTAGGAATGTTGTATTCCTTAATTAGAGGGGTAGGTATGTTGTGTTCCTAGATTAGAGGGGTAAGTGTGTTGTATTCTTTGATTAAGAGGGTAGATGTCTTGTATATTTTCTGATGCCGGTGTTGTGTTCTGCCAGCCTGCATGAGGCAATGCCGTACGTTGTGAAGCAGCTGCAGCTACTGTGGAGTGAGAGGATGATCCGCCTCTTGTTCTCCGTCCTCCTGGAGTACGTGGAGGCCACACAGAACAACTCCACGGCACACTCTCCCAGCTCACCCACCAGAAGTAAGTCGCCACGTGCACGCACCCAGCTCACCCACAAGAAGTAAGTTGCCACACACACACCCAGCTCATCCACCAGAAGTAAGTTGCCATATACACTCATCCCCTCACCCACAAGAAGTAAGTTGCCACACGCACTCACCCAGCTCACCCGCAAGAAGTAGACCACCACAAACACTCACCCAGCTCACCCACAAGAAGTAGGCCACCACACGCACTCACCCAGGTCACCTACAAGAAGTAAGTTGCCACAAGCACTCAGACAGCTCACCCACAAGAAGTAAGTTGCCACACGCACTCACCCAGCTCACCCACCAGAAGTAAGTCGCCACGTGCACGCACCCAGCTCAACCACAAGAAGTAGGTTACCACACACACACCCAGCTCATCCACCAGAAGTAAGTTGCCATATACACTCATCCCCTCACCCACCAGAAGTAAGTTGCCACACACACTCACCCAGCTCACCCGCAAGAAGTAGGCCGCCACAAGCACTCAGACAGCTCACCCACCAGAAGTAAGTTGCCACACGCACTCACCCAGCTCACCCGCAAGAAGTAGGCCACCACACGCACTCACCCAGGTCACCTACAAGAAGTAAGTTGCCACAAGCACTCAGACAGCTCACCCACAAGAAGTAAGTCGCCACATGCACTCACCCAGCTCACCCACCAGAAGTAAGTTGCCACAAGCACTCAGAGAGCTCATCCACAAGAAGTAGGCCGCCACACACTCACCCAGCTCACCCACAAGAAGTAGGTCACCACACACACTCACCCAGCTCACCCACAAGAAGTAGGCCGCCACACACACTCACCCAGGTCACCTACAAGAAGTAGGCCGCCACACACACTCACCCAGCTCACCCACAAGAAGTAGGCCGCCACACACACTCACCCAGCTCACCCACAAGAAGTAAGTCGCCACACACACTCACCCAGCTCACCCACAAGAAGTAGGCCGCCACACACACTCACCTAGCTCACCAACAAGAAGTAGGTCACACACGCATTCACCCAGCTCACCCACGAGAAGTAGGCCACTACACGCACTCACCCAGCTCACCCACAAGAAGTAGGTCACACACGCACTCACCCAGCTCACCCACAAGAAGCAGGCCACCACATGCACTCACCCAGCTCACCCACAAGAAGTAGGTCACACACGCACTCACCCAGCTTACCCACAAGAAATAGGTCACCCACGCACTCACCCACAAGAAGTAAGTCACCACACACACACTCACCCAGCTCACACACAAGAAGTAGGTCACACACTCAGTTGTTTTAGCATCTACTGAAATGAGGATGATTTTGTTTCATTGCTCATGCTGTGAACATATTCTCGGCCTTGTGATTTATTATCAACAGGCTGATGTTGCATTTATTTTGTTGACTGCATTGTTAATGAATTCGGAATCCTTGATGGTGTGCAGATATCCTGAAGAAAGCCCTGGTCAAGGCATCGTCATCAAAGACTGTCAACCCCAAGATCAAACTGGACAGCTCCGTAGCGACGTCGACGTGCATGCCGTGTGCCTTGTATCGAACAGCCTTACAAACCCTCTCACAGCTCAGGTCGGACATCCTTGGAGGTAGGACACCAGCCAACAGAAAACACCCGAAAGGGATTTCTGGTTAGAATAGATCCCCAGCAACAGATGCTGGTGAAGAAAGAGGCAGCTATTGATTGCATAACATCATGCCCTGTTGTCTTTGATTGCTGATCACTGGAATGTCAGGTCCATTTTTGATTATGTAGAGCGGACTGTCCGAGTAAGTCTCCATTCCTTAAAAATAATGGAGCTGAGTCGCCGCAGATAAATGATGGCGTGCTCAAACAATACAATTATGTCACAGACCTTATTTGCAGGACAGACATCAAGTAGCTGGAATATTGCTGAGTACCGCAGCAAACAGTACACAACAAACAAACTAACCGTGAAGATCCGGGGTAGAATAAGTCTTCAGCAACCCATGCTTGCCGTAGAAGGCGACTATGCTTGTCGTAAGAGGCAACTAACTGGATCGGGTGGTCAGGCTCACTGACTTGGTTGATGCATGTCATCGTATCCCAATTACGTAGATCGATGCTCATGATGTCAATCACTGGATTGTCTGGTCCAAACTTGATTATTTACAGACCGCCACATGCATTAAGGAACAATCAAACAAAACAAGTACTTAATTTGAGCTATGAAGGGAAATAGTTTGACCTGATAAGTACATGTAGTGTGTTTGTAGTGTGTTTGTAGTGTGTATGTAGTGTGTATGTAGTGTGTAGTGTGTTTGCTTTACATTTGTGCAGGTCTGAGCTATAACGAAACCCTCCTGCCCATCCTGTGGCGCTTCCTGTCCGACTTGGGCCCCAGTTGTGGGTTGAAGACATTCCTGGATCTGTTAGGCCAGGCGCCCAACTCGACCATCCACCCCGTGTTCAGTCTCCTCACCCTCTTCTGTGAAACATCCAGCCATCTCATCATGTAAGTAGGGGGACCAGTGGTCTGAGGTGTTGTAATGTATTGTGTAGAGTTGCCTCCCTTAGACTATAAGGATCTGATGATGTAACTCGACCATCCACCCCGTGTTCAGTCTCCTCACCCTCTTCTGTGAAACATCCAGCCATCTCATCATGTAAGTAGGGGGACCAGTGGTCTGAGGTGTTGTAATGTATTGTGTAGAGTTGCCTCCCTTAGACTATAAGGATCTGATGATGTAACTCGACCATCCACCCCGTGTTCAGTCTCCTCACCCTCTTCTGTGAAACATCCAGCCATCTCATCATGTAAGTAGGGGGACCAGTGGTCTGAGGTGTTGTAATGTATTGTGTAGAGTTGCCTCCCTTAGACTATAAGGATCTGATGATGTAACTCAACCATCCACCCCGTGTTCAGTCTCCTCACCCTCTTCTGTGAAACATCCAGTCATCTCATCATGTAAGTAGGGGGAACAGTGGTCTGAGGTGTTGCAGTATGTAGAGTTGCCTCCCTTAGACATGTCAGGATCTGATGATGGTGGGTTCAAATCCTAGATTCTCCCTCATTATAACCTTTCGTTTGTCAGTACATGAGCTGCTAGGATTCACCAAAGTATGAAATCTGAAACCACGTTTGTTCTGATGATGTGGGTTTGCATCTCTGATAAGCCCCAAATAATATCCTATATCACCCACTCACTCCCTCTGCGTTGCAGCACTCTGGATGACATGGAGATGTACGAACAGCAGAAGGTATTCAAGATGCCCGACTTTGTCAAGATGAGCGAGTTCCTCAACCTGTTTGTGTTCCGTGTCATCTGGCACGGCCTCATGGGTAGGTGAAATTCTCACAAACAATGGCTGCTCCATTCAAACAATATCCATAACAGAATATTTGCAAGCATGAAATACCGTCACCAATATGACATGTCTGGTTTGTGCACAAGGCATTAGCCCTCCGGAACGAGCGCTATTGCCATTTTCAGAGTTGTTGCTATGGAAACTTGAAAAATAATAAAAAAATTTAATCCCCAACTATCAAAAGGCACCAGTTCAACACTAGACCTATCATTGAGCCAAGTTTGGTTAAGATATCTCTCATGTTTTTTTAGTTCTGCTCTGGAAACGAAACATGACGGACAGCACCCATTCCTATATCCCCCTTCCACTTCATGGCGGGATAATAATGCATGGATGGCAGAGTATAGCTAACACATCTCTCACTGACACTGTGTTAATTCAGTTGCTTTGTTTTCCAGACATCCAGACCGCAGGCTGGAGCGATGTCTTTTCCTCGTCCTGGAACCTGCTGATGATCCTACACGAGCGTGATGCTCGCCGCAGCTACACCCAGAACCACCACTGGCTGGTCCGGTAGGCGTTACCCATGACCATGCTGCACCTGATTAATTAACCCTCTTTCACATGAACTCTGTTACAATCTTCCTTGTAAATTCCCAATCCCTTTCTTAGTGTTATGGGTGAACATGAGTTAGGAACCATAATTTGTTGTACAGAGTTGCATCCCTTAGGCATGTCAGGATCTGATGATGATGTGTTTGATTTGCCAGATTTGTCCTCATTCTGTTCCTTTGTTTTCCATTACCCGAGCTTAAAGGATTCACCAATGTATTAAACCTGCATCACGTACGTCTTGCCTCTATTTGGTTCGTCTGTCACTGAGGGCCTGTGTTTGCTGTTGCAGGGACGTGAAGGCGAGTCACTTCATGGGGGAGCTGGAGAGGGGCAGGAAGACGGTGCAGTTCCTCATGCAGAAAGTCCCCCATATCATTCCATTCCACGAGGTGAGGGGGCGAGTAGGACATGTTGGTTGTGTGGAGTTGTTTGCTTAATATCAAGACCTCATTGTGATACCCTGTGAGTGTAATGGCTGAAGCCTAGTACTGGTGTCTTCATGCCAGGTGACGGTTATGTTGGAATCTAATGGTGTTCAACTAGAGAAATCTTACCACGGAGAGTTGGCCCTAGCACCAGTAGATGTGGCAGACTCAGCCATGATGGGGGACTGATGGAACAGCTGTTGTTATCAGGGCATGTCAATAAAAGAGTTCATCTAGCTTCTCGTCTGTATATCTTAAAGTAGATTTGTAAATCTGGTGTTTGTTTCAGAGAGTTATATTATTCCGCAAGAATGTGGCGAAGGAGAAGGATGCCTTGGGTCTGACGGAGTCGGTGTGCACGTCCCCCCAGTCAACACTCATCACCGTGCACAGGAGTCGCATCGTTGAGGTAGGGTGTGCATCCAGATTTGTAAAGGCCTTGAGTATGGGGTGACTCACTGACAAGTTGGCACTTAGGATTAGCATGGACTATTGGGGATTTGACTAGGCAGAGCTTCCTGGGAGAAGTCCCATTCGCTGTCTGGGCTGCGTGTAGAGGGGACAAGGGCCCTGAGCGGATGATAAGCCTAATCAGCCAGACTGTGTCAGGATCACCCAAACCCTCTTTGATGCATTTATTTATTTTTTAAACGGATCACTGTGCACTCTTATTTCAGTCTCAACTCCCTGGGGAGTGTACAAATAAAGATATCTATGAGGCATTCACTGCTGGGTGAACAGAGGCATATTTTGAACAAAGTATGTTGCTTAAAGAAACACCACATGTGTTTCAGTGTGGGACGGGACTGAAGCCCCAGATATTCCCAGGAGTCAAACTTCACCAGATGTGTGGCCAGTGTACTGTTCACGTGGCCACGTTCCACCATTAGTGAGATATATGTCTGTAGTTGTATCATGTGCCTTCCTGAGTGTTTCCTCCTGCTTGTGTTCCAGGACGGGTATCGTCAGCTGGCCCAGCTGCCGTCTCGAGCCATGAAGGGGGTCATCCGGGTCAAGTTCATCAACGAGCAGGTGAGGGACAATATACATCACTGACTAATCCTACCCAGGTAAATCATTCAGGTCTGTTAACAACAACCCTCTTTCATGGAAGATATCAGTAATTTGGTCAATGTTTCTTTTTATCAGTGCTTCCCTCTTTCACTGATCTCTCTGTGTGTACATCTCACTGTGTGTGTCACTGTGTGTGTCACTGTGTGTTTCACTGTGTGTGTCACTGTGTGTCTCACTGTGTGTGTCACTGTGTGTGTCACTGTGTGTCTCTCACTGCATGTCTCACTGTGTGTCTCTCACTGCATGTCTCACTGTGTGTCTCTCACTGCATGTCTCACTGTGTGTCTCACTGTGTGTCTCACTGTGTGTCTCTCACTGCATGTCTCACTGTGTGTCTCTCACTGCATGTCTCACTGTGTCTCTCACTGCATGTTTCACTGTGTGTGTCACTGTGTGTCTCACTGCATGTCTCACTGTGTGTCTCACTGTGTGTCTCACTGCATGTCTCACTGTGTGTCTCTCACTGCATGTCTCACTGTGTGTGTCACTGTGTGTCTCACTGCATGTCTCACTGCATGTCTCACTGTGTGTCTCACTGTGTGTCTCTCACTGCATGTCTCACTGTGTGTGTCACTGTGTGTCTCACTGCATGTCTCACTGCATGTCTCACTGTGTGTCTCACTGTGTGTCTCTCACTGCAGGGGCTGGACGAGGCTGGTATCGACCAGGATGGAGTGTTTAAGGAGTTCCTGGAAGAGACCATTGCCAGAGTGTTTGATCCTGCACTCAACCTGTTCAAGGTAAGTGGACCAAGATGTGTAACTTATTGAATACTTCTGTCATCTTGATATTTAACTGGAAACCTACAATTATTATTATACGCTGGAATATCGTTACCTGCAGCTGTCCTTATGTGGTGAGATCCAGTCTGCATAAACTGAAGAAGTGTTTACACCCATGGGATGTGAATATGTCCCCAGGTCACAATGGTTTGCTCCCATCGGAACTCCAGCCCAAACTAGATACAGGGGCTATGTAACCACACCTGACCTACCCCTATAATTGATAATGGAACGGCCTCTCTGGTCCCATTAGAACTACAGTAATTATTCAGTAATCAATATGAATGAATATAAGAAAGTACATATATTGATTAAATAAATTAAATTTATTAATAGAAGAAAAAATTAAGTAAATTAATGTATTAAACAATAAATAAATTAAGTAAATTAAACAAATAAATACATATATTTTTCCTAGTGATGTTATTATGTATTATGTGATTGGTGAGTGGCTTGTCACAGAAACCAGCCTAGGTTGCCGGGGACTCCCCTCACAGTGTGCTCTCTGTTGCAGGTGACCAGTGAGCAGAAGCTGTACCCCTCGTCCACATCCTACATCCAGGAGAACCACCTGGCGCTGTTTGAGTTCGTGGGCAAGATGCTGGCCAAGGCTCTCTACGAGGTGGGTACAGTGACTGCAACAGGCTTATGATAATTCAGTTGTCGTTTCAGATTTACTCCTTAGTTTAATGTGGGAAAGACTGTAAGATAATATCTGTGACCCACCAGGAGAAAAGGGACCTTATGGGTGCTAGGATACAATTGTGCTGTGACGTCATAAAGACATTTTACGACATGTAGTCCTTATGGGTGCTAGGATACAATTGTGCTGTGATGTCATAAAGACGTTTGATGCCATAAAAAATATAAATTGAATCTTGTGAATTGTATTTTTGTGTTCTGAAGATGCTGTAGTTTAAAAATATAATGAAGTGTTTGATTTTTAACACATAATGTCCCTTATCTCATGGTTTGTCTCGTATATTTTTCAAATTTTGAACCCCAAAATCTCGGGTAAAACTGTTCACACATCTCAGTTTGAAGACCAGAGTTTGATATCCCGCTTTTGTACAATGAGTGCCCCAGTTGGACAGTGTTATTCGGTAGCCTTGCGGTTCAGGTGGTAGCTTGTTAGGCTAAAGGCCATTTGTTCATGCCCCAAAATTGGTGCAATGTGTGAAGTCCATTCCATTGTGATGTACAGTCAAGTCCCGTTAATCCAACATGGTTGGTTGCATGTGATTATGTCGGATTGACGAGTATGTCGGATAAACGAAATTGGTATCAACATTCATGATCATAAATCGGACAACTACAGGATAGATAACGGTACAAACTTGTAACCAAAAAATGGGAAAATGTAATATTCATATTGTTATGTTACATTGTTAGTGGAATATGTTTTCTAAACAGGCAACCTCTGAAGATTAACACAAAACAACTGTTACGGACTGTATGCCAAATTTAAAATACTTTAAAAAGCATAGTCTGGAATGGAAGTCGCCAGTTTGAAAAAAAGCTCATGACAGCTGCTTTCTTAGTGGCTAATGGCTACTTCCTGTTAGTCATTTCATTGGTCGGTCATAGTTCGCGAAAGGTTGTTCTGACGTGACCAGTAATGGGATGTCCTCAGCGGTAGCAAGGACTTGTATCTGATTTTAATGAGATTGAAGTAATCTAGGCTTTTGATTAATATTGTTTTGTTTATTGAAAGCATTAATTGTTTATTGTTAAGCAAGTTTATCTCTGCAGCTTCCAGCTGACTTGTCTCGCACGAAAACACGGGCTGTGTACTCGCGGGCAGATGACCACTGAGTACACTGATCACCGTGTCAGATTAACGACGCTGATTAATGCAAATTAGGTGTGGCAGAGTTGGAGTGCGAGACTCTCTGAATAATGGGTCTAAATAGTACTGATTTATTCGGTTCCTATCATATAGTGTCGGAATAAAGCCAATAGTCAGATTAACAAGTGTTGGATTAACGGGATTTGACTGTATTTGTTCTCTCTCCCCAGGGTATTGTTGTAGACATTCCATTCGCCCCCTTCTTCCTGACGCAGCTCCTGGGGCGCCAACAGAGCTCCACCTACAGCTCGCTGGATGAGCTGCCGTCCCTGGACCCGGAACTGGCAAAGAGTCTCACCTACATCAAGGTGAGATGCACACAGTACGGGTGTCACAAAGGGCCTTACCATGCCTAGTCTTTTCCTTGCCACTTTGAACCCATGGTTAGCTACCCTGCAACCTGTGCTTGTGGAGGGAACAAGATGGATCAGGTGGTCAGACTCCGTAACTTGGTAGACTGTCATTGATGTCAATCACTGGATTGTCTGGTCCAGACTCAACTATTGTCAGACTTGCCGTCATATAAGTAGAATATTTCTGAGTTAAGCATTAACAAAGCAACAAACAAACAAGTCTTTTCCACTATCATATTCTCTGATATCCTTCTGTGTGTTTGGTAGCACTATGATGGAGACATGTGTGACCTTGAGCTGACCTTCTCCTGTGACGAGGATTGCATGGGGCGGCTGGAGACGCACGAGTTGGTCCCTGGAGGGAAGGCCATCTCCGTCACCAACGAGAACAAGTAAGCCAGGAGCATGTGTGTAGTCTAACATACAGAAGTGCCTCTTGGTGTGAAATGTGAAGTCAAACTTGCTAGGATTCATGAATGAGGAAACCAGTTTTGGAAAATATTCTAAGATGTGTGACCCTGTGCATTAATTGTTGTATGACCTGCTGCAACAAAGTGTCTGTCACGATCTGACTCGTAAATGTTTGTCGTTAAGTTCGACTGGCAGATACAGGATGTGACACAGTTCATGGCATGTCATCGTACCTGACGATGTGCGACAGTGTTCAGGAAATCACTGGTTTGTCAGGCCCCGACCTGATTATTTAGAGGCCGCTGTAAAATAACTGGAATTTTGCTGAGCGTAGTGTTAAACAAGAAACACACTTGCACCACATGAACAATATGAGCTCACTTTATATGTGCCCGACTGGTGTCTTCACAATGCTTCATTGACTGTTGTCATTTGCAGACATCTGCCTCAGGGCTCAAATTGGACATATAAAACATGCCCCCGTGCAAACTATCCTTGAAAAATGCAACCTAATATTTATCTCTGAATGTACCAAGTGCATGTCGATATCTTTTAAATTTGTGTCTAATTCTTGCGTTTTACCGCACAACATCGATCTTTGACCACATGCAATACCCATAGGCTATGTTTACCATACTTCATCAGTAGTCCCTTGTTATGTGTTATTTGTCATGCTTTTAAGGGCTTGACATCAATTGTGGGTACTCCAACTCACGCACCCACCCACGCACACATGCTCGCTCACTCACTCACTCACTCTACTTGTTGTGTCGCCAGGATCCGCTACGTGCACCTGATGGCCCACTTCCGCATGTACCGCCAGATCAAGGAGCAGACCTTGGCCTTCATCAGAGGGTTCAAGGCCGTTGTCAACCCTGACTGGTTACAGATGTTCTCCGCCCCTGAGCTCCAGAAACTCATCTCTGGGGACAACATGGAGGTCGATATCGAGGACCTCAGGTAGGCTGCTAGTTCAGAGTTGTCTAGGACAACATGGAGGTCGATATCTGGGACCTCAGGTAGGGTGCTAGTTCAGAGTTGTCTAGGACAACATGGAGGTCGACATCGAGGACCTGAGGTAGGGTGTTCGTTCAGAGTTGTCTAGGACAACATGGAGGTCGATATCGAGGACCTGAGGTAGGGTGCTAGTTCAGAGTTGTCTAGGACAACATGGAGGTCGATATTGAGGACCTCAGGTAGGGTGCTAGTTCAGAGTTGTCTAGGACAACATGGAGGTCGACATCGAGGACCTGAGGTAGGGTGTTCGTTCAGAGTTGTCTAGGACAACATGGAGGTCGATATCTAGGACCTCAGGTAGGGTGCTAGTTCAGAGTTGTCTAGGACAACATGGAGGTCGATATCGAGGACCTGAGGTAGGGTGCTAGTTCAGAGTTGTCTAGGACAACATGGAGGTCGATATCGAGGACCTGAGGTAGGGTGCTAGTTTAGAGTTGTCTAAGACAACATGGAGGTCGATATCGAGGACCTGAGGTAGGGTGCTAGTTCAGAGTTGTCTAGGACAACATGGAGGTCGATATCGAGGACCTGAGGTAGGGTGCTAGTTCAGAGTTGTCTTTGACAACATGGAGGTTGATATCGAGGACCTGAGGTAGGGTGCTAGTTCAGAGTTGTCTAGGACAACATGGAGGTCGATATCGAGGACCTGAGGTAGGGCGCTAGTTCAGAGTTGTCTAGGACAACATGGAGGTCGATATCGAGGACTGAGGTAGGGTGCTAGTTCAGAGTTGTGTAGGACAACATGGAGGTCGATATCAAATTGTTACCTTGAACTCTGAAACCAAAGGTTGCTTTGATCTGTTGTTTCAAATTGTCTAAGATGTCAAATTGTTAGACATTTGTGTTATTCCTTCTGACACGGATTGACATAGAGATTAAGTCCAATCACACTCACATTCTTTAGTCTGCAATGTCAGACTCAGTTTGACAAGCACTTTACAGTGTTCAAAATTAAAGGATGTCCTGGTTTCCTTGAGATTTGCCCAATAGCTTTTCTAATCTATGGCTTCAGTCAAATATCATGTAATGGCCCCCTTGACTTTCATGCTTAATGCTCAACACTGATGTAGGTAGCTGGATATTGATAGTTTTATCATTTTGATTTTGTGATTTCTACATCTGTTTGTCTGTTGTCAGTGTTCATTGGGTGTAAGTAGTCAGCTATTGTCTATTACAGGAGACACACCCAGTACTACGGTGGTTACCATAACAACCACAAGGTGATCAACTGGCTGTGGGATATCCTGGAGAAGGACCTCACATTCCCAGAGAAGGGACTCTTTCTGAAGGTGAGATAACTCTTCCTCAAGGTCAGATAACTCTTTCCCCAAGGTCAGATAACTCTTCCTCAAGGTCTGATCAATCTTCCTCGAGGTCAGATATATTTTTCCCATAACTGATATATATTTTTTAAGCTGTCATGTCCATTGTCTTTGTCATCAATATGAATGATTTTATATGAAATTCAATCTGAAACTGAATTGTTTAATTCAGCCAGTAATGTTTTAAAGTGCTGTTGTGCTGACATCCTTACACTTCCTCAATCCTGCACCCCTCACTCACTCCTCCCCTTTTTCCCTCCCCCTCCAGTCTTCCCTCTCGGTAATCATGTCTGATGCCCATGGATGATGATGATGATGATAATGATGATTATGATGATGATGATGATTATGATGATGATTATGATGATGATGATGCATCTGTCCCCAGTTTGTGACCAGCTGTTCCAAGCCCCCTCTGCTGGGATTTGCCAACCTGGAGCCACCCTTCTCCATCCGGTGTGTGGAGGTCAGCGATGACCAGGTCAGTACGGTCTCCTGTGTGAGGGGGAACCGACCAGGGGGGTTGTAGTTCAGCGATGACCAGGTCGGTACGGTCTCCTGTGTGAGGGGGAACCGACCAGGGGGGTTGTAGTTCAGCGATGACCAGGTCAGTACGGTCTCCTGTGGGAGGGGGAACCGACCAGGGGGGTTGTAGTTCAGCGATGACCAGGTCGGTACGGTCTCCTGTGTGAGGGGGAACTGACCAGGGGGAATGGGGTGGAGGTCATCGATGACCAGGTCAGTACTGTCTCCTGTGTGAGGGGGAACTGACCAGGGGGAATGGGGTGGAGGTCATCGATGACCAGGTCAGTACTGTCTCCTGTGTGAGGGGGAACCAACCAGGGGGTTGGGGGTGGAGGTCAGCCATGACCAGGTCAGTACGGTCTCCTGTGTGAGGGGGAACCGACCAGGGGGGTTGGGGTGGAGGTCAGCCATGACCAGGTCAGTACTGTCTCCTGTGTGAGGGGGAACCAATCTGGGGGTTTGGGTGTGTCTGGATCCCAAGGCCAGATCATTTTATTTTCATGTTTTGTTTACTGACTCTTATTATGAGTGACTCATTAGATTGGGTGGTCAGGCTCAATGAATTGGTTGATGGCCTGTCAAAGTACCCGGATGGGGTGGATCATTGTTCATAATATCAAGCACTAGATTGTCTGGTCCAGCCACATTTTTATGACCCGCTCTTGACAGTACATAAAAACAATAAACTCAATAATACACAAGTTTAAACATAATTAGATTACTCCCATTTCAACTGCTAAAGATGGACAGTGTTCAAAACTGTGGTCTTTGCCGATGTGAAATTGAGTTTTCTGGTAAATACCAAAAAGGTATAATACTATCAAGTTTTCAAGGTATTCGATAAGTGCATCTACTGGAACAGAAGGAACAGGATCCCCTGTGTATTGGTATACTTTGTTTCAGTTCATTTAGATTTACATCTTCCCGAGGCAAGGGCGTTAACTCACTATAAAAGTCTAGTTTCCACCCTTGCCGAACTAGGTTGGAATTTCCATGCTCAGTTTCTATTAGGAATTATGTTCCTTCTATGCCCCTCCTATGGACCAATCAGATTCCACCTCATCCATATCATTTACAATTTCTTCAAACAAAAAGGCGGCGCCAAGTCAAGATGATCTGATCGATAATCAAGATCTATATTGTAATAAAACGGGTCTTACCTTATCAAGTCACTTGAGCACCTTGATTAAAAACATGAAAAGATTTGGAAAATATCTATAAACGTCCAGTGTGCGGTACACGTTCCTTGCGAATCATTCTGTTGACTGAAATCTGCACATTGAAATCCATGATGTTTACGAACCAGATGTCTAGATCGTGACACAATTTTTATTAGACTATGCATAGACTCGTTAGTCCAGGCAAAATGTAACTCCAGAATGTCAACCTAGTTCGGCAAGGGTGGAACTGGACTTTTATAGTCAGTTAACACCTTTGCTTCGGGAATACGTTAGATTTATCTTAGAACAAAGTTTAATGTTTTTACTGCATTCTGTGTCTTGCCAGGACACCGGAGACACGGTGGGCAGCGTCCTCAAAGGCTTTTTCAACATCAAGAAGAAGGATGCTGGTGGTCGCCTCCCGACGTCCTCGACATGCTTCAACCTTCTCAAGCTCCCGAACTACTCCAAGAAGAGCATTCTCCGTGACAAGCTCCGCTATGCCATTCACTCACACTCAGGATTTGAAATATCATGATGTCATCGTTCTACATCTTCCTACCCATCGACTTGCATCTCAGCTGTTTAGAAGAAGAAGCTTTTGTTTTGGTCTTGAAAATGTTTAAATAATGGATTTAGATTCGCTTAGGTCACAAGATATGGAGGGGGAAGTGGTAATCAAAGGTGGTACCTGTATCAGTGTGGCTTTCCTCCCACATTAAGCTGATGTGATATGATATGATTGTTCAGAGCGGCATTAAACCCACTTCACTCGTAGACACATGTATTTCAATTTACGAAATATGAATGCAAATCTGAACCAATTATTTTGTTCATTTTGAATGCCTTAAATTTTGGACTGAAAAAGAAATTGTATATAGGTCTTCAGAAACATACCCTCCATGAAAGTCTTGTCCTGCTCCTACAGCATGTAGTCTGATCCCTAATAGGACACTTGTCAATACAACAGAGTTGCTTCCCTTTGCTGTGCTAGGATGATGGGTTCAAATCCAAAATTTTGCCTGTAATATTTGATATTGAAGCACCCTAGTTGATATTTTCCCAAGTTATTTTGAGCGATCCTATCACTTTCAGCCAACAGTGTTATTATTTACTGTGCACCTTGTGTTCAGCAACGTTCAAAAGCACATGTCACTCACTATTGTTAACTATTGTTGTTTTAGCCTCTCTAAAATTGGTATGATGTCATATTAGGCCTAGGAGTTGAAAGATGTACATGTGTACTTTAGCAATTCTCGTACTTACCAAAGCCATGGATTGTCATATAACGTAGGGATGATCCTATTCCAACAGATTCTGTCAATACTGATTAGACCACCTCCGTAGTGTAGTGGATAGAGCGTCTTCATTGAGAGTGGAAGGTCTTTGCTTCGATACCTGACCACATCATACCAAAAGATGATGAAAGAGGATATTTGTTGTTACCCTGCCTTGTGCTCGGCATTAAGGGGGTAAAACATGTACTGGTCAGCTCGGAGTCAGTATAGTGTGTCTGAGTGGGGTATTCATGTGAAAACTGCAGCGTGGTGTCTCAGGGGGCTAGCACGATAAACCAGCATTAGTCCGGACTAGGACAAGGCACCTCCGACCCAATTCACCCACCCATAAACACACGCACGCACGCACGCACGCAGGCACGCACACACACATGCATGTCACTATATAAGTGCAATTGGAACAGTCTTGAGAGCACGTTGTTCAGCCCTATTTCACCTCATCTCAAACTTGAGCTTGACAAACTCCAGTTCTCAGTTCATATACTCAAGTCCAATAATCCCGCAGCTAGTATTTCCTGGTATGTACTCAGGTGATGAGATTCTTCCATATTCCCCGACATACACACCACACTGAACCATCTGCTTCACCTCCCACAGATGAGATTCTTCCATATTCCCCGACATAAACACCACACAGGACCATCTGCTTCACCTCCCACAGATGAGATTCTTCCATATTCCCCGACATAAACACCACACAGGACCATCTGCTTCACCTCCCACAGATGAGATTCTTCTCACAATGTGTCGTCAACAGAGGCTGGATGTTACTTTGGGTGTGTATTGCACTGGTGTCTCATGTTGTAAATACATTGTAGAGTTCAAGTGTGACATGACACTTGGTTCCAGATTGAATGTACGGTATTCCGGGGTGTCCTATTTATTGTGATGTTACAGCGAGATGATCTAGTCCACACGTCCATGTGTATGTCGCCACGTATGTATGACACGTTTCCATGGTGATGGTGTCAAAATGTCCTGTAAAATCAGTCAACTTACAGTGGAACGTCCTTTCTCTGGATCCTGTTATTCCAGAAACCTCCCTTCCTTCTCATGGGGAACTACGTCAATGTATAACACATTCAGATAAATTCTTCAGAAATGGTATCGTCCAGATTAACAAAGTTTCATTTATAATGCTAAGTCTTTTCAGAACAGTGGAACATTTTCACATGACCATGTCAGTTGCCTGAAACAGGACTTTTGAAGCAACAAATACCGTAAATCCTGGAATAGACGCCTAAGTAGAGCCTTGTCACACATTGGATGGAAAAAAAATGAGACATTTGAAACAAAATTGAAAAGCTAACCTTGATGAATTTCTCTGAGAACAGTAAAAGCTGCCTTGACTACGCTGGGTGTGAAGACCTGCTGTAAATAAAAGCCCGGCAGTTATTCATAAACCTAAATGTTGTACCATAGATCCTTGATCTTGTGCCGCCATTGTCATGTTCACCATGTGGCTGTTTATGCCACACTGTATATAATAATCTACTGTAAATATATGTTATGTTTCGTCGATCCAGGGGTAAATACTACATGTAGTCTTGACCCTAGAAATTCAGACTAGTTACTGCATGTCATGGACATGGACAGATGAACCCTACCTTGTAGAGTTAGTGACTCCACACATACACAATATAGATGAACATATATATGCAATGACGCAACTGGTGTACTAGTCCCTGTGCAGAGTTTAGTCCCCTGCTCGTTGCAGGATCCGACGATCATGGTTTTGTGCATGACTCTTGTCCTGGTGATGGTCTTGGTTTGTCAGCACCATACTTGTGTTTGTGGGTTTCCCCCAAGTGGTAAGTGCATACAACCAGCATTGCTAGCCTGGTGAGTTTTCTAAGCTGACAGGTGTATCAGCACTTGCCATGAACTTTGTAACCCCTGCACTGACTGTAGCCTATTGTTACATTGTAGTCAGCACTGACTGTAGCCTAGTGTTACATTGTAGTCAGTGCTGACTGTTGCCTAGTGTTACATTGTAGTCAGTGCTGACTGTTGCCTAGTGTTACATTGTAGTCAGCACTGACTGTAGCCTAGTGTTACATTGTAGTCAGTGCTGACTGTTGCCTAGTGTTACATTGTAGTCAGCACTGACTGTAGCCTAGTGTTACATTGTAGTCAGCACTGACTGTAGCCTAGTGTTACATTGTAGTCAGCACTGACTGTAGCCTAGTGTTACATTGTAGTCAGCACTGACTGTTGCCTAGTGTTACATTGTAGTCAGCACTGACTGTTGCCTAGTGTTACATTGTAGTCAGCACTGACTGTTGCCTAGTGTTACATTGTAGTCAGCACTGACTGTTGCCTAGTGTTACATTGTAGTCAGCACTGACAGTAGCCTAGTGTTACATTGTAGTCAGCACTGACTGTAGCCTAGTGTTACATTGTAGTCAGCACTGACTGTAGCCTAGTGTTACATTGTAGTCAGCACTGACTGTTGCCTAGTGTTACATTGTAGTCAGCACTGATTGTAGCCTGGTGTTACATTGTAGTCAGCACTGACTGTTGCCTAGTGTTACATTGTAGTCAGCACTGATTGTAGCCTAGTGTTACATTGTAGTCAGCACTGACTGTTGCCTAGTGTTACATTGTAGTCAGCACTGACTGTTGCCTAGTGTTACATTGTAGTCAGCACTGACTGTTGCCTAGTGTTACATTGTAGTCAGCACTGACTGTTGCCTAGTGTTACATTGTAGTCAGCACTGACAGTAGCCTAGTGCTACATTGTAGTCAGCACTGACTGTAGCCTAGTGTTACATTGTAGTCAGCACTGACTGTTGCCTAGTGTTACATTGTAGTCAGCACTGACTGTTGCCTAGTGTTACATTGTAGTCAGCACTGATTGTAGCCTGGTGTTACATTGTAGTCAGCACTGACTGTTGCCTAGTGTTACATTGTAGTCAGCACTGATTGTAGCCTGGTGTTACATTGTAGTCAGCACTGACTGTAGCCTAGTGTTACATTGTAGTCAGCATTGACTGTAGCCTAGTGTTACATTGTAGTCAGTGCTGACTGTAGCCTAGTGTTACATTGTAGTCAGCACTGACTGTAGCCTAGTGTTACATTGTAGTCAGCACTGACTGTTGCCTAGTGTTACATTGTAGTCAGCACTGACTGTTGCCTAGTGTTACATTGTAGTCAGCACTGACTGTTGCCTAGTGTTACATTGTAGTCAGCACTGACTGTTGCCTAGTGTTACATTGTAGTCAGCACTGACTGTTGCCTAGTGTTACATTGTAGTCAGCACTGACTGTAGCCTAGTGTTACATTGTAGTCAGTGCTGACTGTAGCCTAGTGTTACATTGTAGTCAGCACTGACTGTTGCCTAGTGTTACATTGTAGTCAGCACTGACTGTAGCCTAGTGTTACATTGTAGTCAGCACTGACTGTAGCCTAGTGTTACATTGTAGTCAGCACTGACTGTTGCCTAGTGTTACATTGTAGTCAGCAATGACTGTAGCCTAGTGTTACATTGTAGTCAGCACTGACTGTAGCCTAGTGTCACATTGTAGTCAGCACTGACTGTAGCCTAGTGTTACATTGTAGTCAGCACTGACTGTAGCCTAGTGTTACATTGTAGTCAGCACTGACTGTTGCCTAGTGTTACATTGTAGTCAGTACTGACTGTTGCCTAGTGTTACATTGTAGTCAGCAATGACTGTAGCCTAGTGTTACATTGTAGTCAGTGCTGACTGTAGCCTAGTGTTACATTGTAGTCAGCACCGACTGTAGCCTAGTGTTACATTGTAGTCAGCACTGACTGTAGCCTAGTGTTACATTGTAGTCAGCACTGACTGTAGCCTAGTGTTACATTGTAGTCAGCACTGACTGTAGCCTAGTGTTACATTGTAGTCAGCACTGACTGTTGCCTAGTGTTACATTGTAGTCAGCACTGACTGTAGCCTAGTGTTACATTGTAGTCAGCACTGACTGTAGCCTAGTGTTACATTGTAGTCAGCACTGACTGTAGCCTAGTGTTACATTGTAGTCGGCACTGACTGTAGCCTAGTGTTACATTGTAGTCAGCACTGACTGTTGCCTAGTGTTACATTGTAGTCAGTACTGACTGTAGCCTAGTGTTACATTGTAGTCAGCAATGACTGTAGCCTAGTGTTACATTGTAGTCAGTGCTGACTGTAGCCTAGTGTTACATTGTAGTCAGCACCTACTGTAGCCTAGTGTTACATTGTAGTCAGCACTGACTGTAGCCTAGTGTTACATTGTAGTCAGCATTGACTGTAGCCTAGTGTTACATTGTAGTCAGCATTGACTGTAGCCTAGTGTTACATTGTAGTCAGCACTGACTGTAGCCTAGTGTTACATTGTAGTCAGCACCGACTGTAGCCTAGTGTTACATTGTAGTCAGCACTGACTGTAGCCTAGTGTTACATTGTAGTCAGTGCTGACTGTAGCCTAGTGTTACATTGTAGTCAGCACTGACTGTAGCCTAGTGTTACATTGTAGTCAGCACTGACTGTAGCCTAGTGTTACATTGTAGTCAGCACTGACTGTAGCCTAGTGTTACATTGTAGTCAGCACTGACTGTTGCCTAGTGTTACATTGTAGTCAGCACTGACTGTAGCCTAGTGTTACATTGTAGTCAGCACTGACTGTTGCCTAGTGTTACATTGTAGTCAGCACTGACTGTTGCCTAGTGTTACATTGTAGTCAGCACTGATTGTAGCCTAGTGTTACATTGTAGTCAGCACTGACTGGAGCCTAGTGTTACATTGTAGTCAGCACTGACTGTAGCCTAGTGTTACATTGTAGTCAGCACTGACTGTTGCCTAGTGTTACATTGTAGTCAGCACTGACTGTTGCCTAGTGTTACATTGTAGTCAGCACTGATTGTAGCCTAGTGTTACATTGTAGTCAGCACTGACTGTAGCCTAGTGTTACATTGTAGTCAGCACTGACTGTAGCCTAGTGTTACATTGTAGTCAGCATTGACTGTAGCCTAGTGTTACATTGTAGTCAGCATTGACTGTAGCCTAGTGTTACATTGTAGTCAGTGCTGACTGTAGCCTAGTGTTACATTGTAGTCAGCGTTCACCAACATTGTGTCTGCTAATGTGTGTTTTACATGTGAATGAGTTATCAGATCATGTCTAGATGAAAGTCAAACAAATTATAGAGTACATTGGGGTTTTTTATTTTTGAAATTGTATACTCACAAATGTCATTCCTTGCACACTGCAAGTCAGTTTGTAGCTGCAGATTCCATGGCCCTGTAATACCTCACAGTACTTCTAGTCGTAGCACCTTCACTTTAATAATTATTCGTGTTCTCCACATACTCTCTTCCTGATCCGGAACTGCCTGGATGTGTTTTTAGTCACTCCGAGGTTTACAAGATCCACGAAGCCATCGGTATTTTATTGCGTGTTCCTCATCACCAACTGCTTCTAAGTTACCGCCCTGCTCGTTTTTATACCCATGGATTCACCTGCTAGAAAATATATATCATCCCTCCCTGGAAACAATTCATGAATTTCCCGATGTCATGAAAGAAATCCACTGTATTTTGTTGAAATGATATTTGAAGAAGAAAACTACTCTGGTTATTGGTTGTATCTGTCTCTAACTTCCCACACCGATAACACAACCATTGCACTTCAAATGTAGTACAAACACCAAATTGTGCACTTTTCTTTAACAACACATCTTTTCAGTGGTATACGACCCAATTAAAGCAGGGCGGTCGGGTAGCCTAGTGGTTAAAGTGTTGGCTCGTCACGCCAAAGACCCCGGGTTAGATTCCCCACACAGGTACAATGTGTGAAGCCCATTTCTGATGTTCCCCGCCATGATATTGCTGGAATATTGCTAAAAACAGCATAAAACCATACTCACTCACTCATCCAAAGTCAGGTTTTTTTTGCCAACTGAATGAAGGTGAGAATCACACAATATTGTATGGATGGCCTGACTCCATGTATGGTGTGAACCTATGTTAGTAAGGAGAGACGGGGGTAGGCAAGCAGGTCAAGTGGGCCCTCATCAAGCTGGAGTTTCATTCCCTGTGTTTGAAGCTCATGCCTCTTGTGAAGTTCTACAAAATCAGTTTATGTTTGGTTATTGCCAACACCATGTTTACGCCGACATTGGAGGACTGCTAGATCTGTTGCAGGGTTATGGAATGTGTAGCACCTAGTCTCCTAGAGAGAACATATCTCAGGTTTGTGTTTTTTCTTTATGACATTCCGTTCAACTATGGTGGCAAAGACTTACATTCACTTTATCCATGGTGACAAGTTGACTTGATTCATGGTGACAAGTTGACTTCATCAACCATGGTGACAAGTTGACTTCATCAACCATGGTGACAAGTTGACTTCATCAACCATGGTAAAAAAGTTGACTTCATCCTTGGTGACAAGTTGATGTAACCATGGTGACAAGTTGACTTCATCAACCATGGTGACAAGTTGACTTCATCAACCATGGTGACAAGTTGACTTCATCAACCATGGTAAAAAAGTTGACTTCATCCTTGGTGACAAGTTGACGTAACCATGGTGACAAGTTGACTTCAACCAAGGAGACAAGTTGACGTAACCATGGAGACAAGTTGACAGCATCCAGGGTGACAAGTTGACTTAACCATTGGACAAGTTGACTTCATGTAGCAGTGTTTGCATTGTCAAAACTTCACGGGTGATGGAGGTAGGTCATGTATACAAAGGTGAAGTACTGATGCGGTGTTTGTTGAGGTTAGATATTGTAAATCTGTAGAAGCTTGTTATTTGCCAAATGCATGTGTACAGAGGGGAGCAGTGGTTGCATTGTTCCTGACATCAGATCCTTTACTCCGACTCGATAGCTCTACAGTACTTTCAGACCAACCCTGACGAGTCTTGGGAACCTGGAGCAAAGATTGGATGACCAATCGAAATGGAATGTATGTGGGTGTTTGTGCCGCATTCCTTTAGACAAGTCAACTTCATTCTGAGTTTTGAACATGATCTGTTGTCAGTCAATTTCTGGTTGATGAACTTAAAGATGTAAATACGTCTTTGATTAATTCTTTGTTGAAATTTGGCAACAGAACAAACCCACACCACACAAATGTTCCCTTGATAGATGCCCTATTGGATTTAGATGCATTCACTGTCAAAGAGAAGACTAGCCGCAACAGTGTGTTTATAGTAATATTCTCCATTTGGAGCTGCACTGTGCAGGTTCATTTAAAGATACAGCAGGCAGGGAGACAGTGGTAGAATAGGTCAACAGCAACCCATGCTTGCCGTAAAAGGCGACTAGGCTTGTCGTAAGAGGCGACTAACAAGATCAGGTGGTCAGGCTGGCATTGTCATTGTACCCAATTATGTATGTCAATACTCATGATGTCAATCACTGGAATGTCTGGACCAGACTCAATTATTAAAAGACCGCTGTCATATGGCTTGAATATTGCTGAAGTGAGGCGTTAAACAACAAACACAAGGCCGTAGGTAACTTTTTTTTTGACAGGGGGGGGGGGGGGGGGGGGGGGCAAATAAGATTATTCATTTCTTATCCAAGTTAACTTTCACAAGGAAAAATGTTACCTATAAAAAATCCAGGGGGGCAACTGCACCCCCGGCTGGCTACGGCACTGAAACACATGAATGTTAAGCTTCTGCTTGGCTGACTAGGTTCACCTGAAGTGACCTATGAAGGGTTTGTCTGATGTTGATGGAGAGGGTATCGAGTTGGAGTAGATGGGACGGTGCTGTACAGTGTACAACTGTGATGAGCTGTTGGTTGTTTCTTGTTGAGTCTGTGTGCCATGACCGAATGATGTTTTGTGCCAAATGTTAGTTGAAGAGTTAGCTGTCACTGTGTCTGACAGAACTGCATTCATAGTGAGGAGTTTGGTTACAGTGAAGCCCTGTTACCATGGAAACCTGCCTTCCAGACAGTTCAAGATGGTTGTTATTAAGGGATTTCCAAATTGAAACAAGAGGATTAACCCCGAAATTTGTTTCTACAGAACTTAATTGTGAAATCAGTAAATAACTCCACACGAACAAGGAGTAATCCACAAATTATGTTGAAGCACAAAATTTCAGGTTCACAAAGGCAATAAAATGGTTCATAAAGAGGCAGCACCAGTTAGTAACAGGCAGGCTTCACTGCTGAATGTCTTGAAAACGGAACTGTGTAATTTAAGACAATTTGAATGGGAATGCTTCCATCTGGACTGTGTTTCACTGTACATTAAGAAGCCTTGACCTATGGGCAGATAACTCTGACCATGTATTGTTGCTTGTTACAGTGGTTGAAGGGAGTAGATGTAGTGAGAAGTAGTTGGTGTCTGGCAGTCTGTAGTTTCAGCGTTGATGATGTACCTGGTCTGGGAGGATCAATTTACTGCCAGTGATAATGTGCTGCACGATGTAAGGAGTTCAGGCCAGTTGGTGAAAGTACTGAGAGTTTGGGCATTTCCATGACATTTGTGCTTTTAGGTTTAGGACAAATGTCCACTACTATTTGACTAAATACGTAACACAATGCTCACTCAACTTGGCACGGTTGCCCAGTCATCTAAGGCGCTGCTATTTGCCGTGCAGAGTTGCGTCCCTTGGTCGTGCCAGAAAGGTGTGATCATCTCCATCAAACTGGCAATCCGTGATATAACTGAAATACTGTTCAAACATGGTTAATCCTGATTCACTGTCATACATTGTGATTCATGGCATTAGTAGAGATGCCGTGTCAAAAATTAGAAATACAAGAAAAATAATAATTCATCAAAATGAAGAATAAAAAGACAAGTAAACGAACCGATTCAATTTTGAAAATTGGATGATTGGATTTTTAAGAGTAATTTTTCAATGCCAAATACAGAACTGCACCTGTACCTGGCTTCCACAAGTTGTCTTCTATCAGCAGGACCACCCCAGGTCTGCTGGTCTGGGCCCATATGCACAAAGCTATCTTAGCACTAAGAGGATCGTAACTCCCATACTTTAACGTAGGCTTACGATAGTCTTAGCGCTTAGATCACTTTGTGCAAGTGGGCCCTGGAGAACTTGGCAAGCTCATGGCAATACATCCCAGACGTCCTCAGCAAGTGCTTTCTTTGTTTTACAAATGTTGATCTGATGTGTGTGTTATGTGTGTGTTATGTGTGTGTTATGTGTGTGTGTGTGAGCATCAAGCAGGATGTAGACCTGGGCCAGGGTCATAGAAGATTACTACAGAACGTCTACAACATCATCGTTAAAGTGGGCCTGGACCAGGGTCATAGAAGATTACCACAGAACGTCTGCAACATCATCGTTAAGATGTTTAATATATCTTACCTCTGTATTACAAGTATGTCTGCCATTGCTGTCTATTAATTCTAAGTTATGCCAAGTACATTTTCAGTAGCCAGTTGGACCACATGAACTATCAAAAGTCCAAGTATTTACTGGTATGTCTTGTGCGCCTGCGTATTTGTTGAATGTTGATGTACAGAGGCATCATTTTCTCACCACATCACTTCAGTGTCAAGGAGAATGTTATGTTATATCCTTGAGTCAACAAACATTGAACTGAGGTTGTTGTTTATCTGTTATTGTGGCCTCCAGCCATTTCCAGAGTGCAGAACCAACTGCTGCTGGAAGCACTCGTACAATCTTCTGTAGATGAGAAACACTATCCAGAGCTCGAGTTTTTATTGTGTGCCAACTGATATCTGTCTGGTCATACAGAAGTTGTTTTTGAATGTCTTGCTTGTGAAAACACACAAAAATATATATATTTCAATGTTTTGGGAAAAGGTATTATCATAGGTGTTATTCTTTGCCAATAATATGCACTTTTTGCAAAATATTTTGAAACGCCGCTATTTAACAAGGGATAAAAACAGTTGATTATTAAGAGTGCAGAATTAATGGCAAAGTTAACATACTTCTTAAACAAAGTTAAGCACCACTGGATTGTGTCAGATTTACTGTAGTAACATGAAAGAATCCAGTGGCCCTTAACTTCTTTTGAGTAGTATAGAAACTTTCTTTTTGTCCTTGTCCTAGTTTTCATATTGAAACAATCACCCTGGTTATTCCACTGGCTGGATTTGTGTATAGATTGTTTGTTGTGTACATAGAGACTCTATGAAATGTTATGCCAGAAATGTATTTTAATATGAATGTGAATAAAAACAGAAAATAAAGAGAGAAATATTTGCTTTTATTTTTGTAAAAATCCTTCAATATAATGTTTTATAAAGATGTACACACATGGAACAACAAGCATAGTCGCCTTGTGATGGGATGTGTGTGAGTGAGTTAAAATTTGATGTTGTATCAGCATTATTTCAGCCATATAGCGACGATGGAATGTGAGAATAATGCCCTCAAGAATACGAACATGGCAGTTAGATACTAAATAAATCAAATATCGGATCTCTAAGTGTAATCTTTAGCTTTCTTGGTAAAGACAGGTATGATATTGATTTCAATTTCTTGTTGAAAGAAACGAGTTTAAATCCATGTCCTGACTGCCTTCACATCAATGACTGACAACAGCCTGCTGTAACAAATACGAAATACTAGGACTGTCACGATATATACTGAACAAAAAAAGTTAGGGATCATGAATATTTTGGGGAATATTTTTTGCAGGGAAGACTAAACACAGAATTTCATATCCCCAAAATATTCACGATCCCAACTTTTTCTGTTCAGTATATAACTAAATGATGACACCTGGCAAAATGCGTCCACACACACAGCATGGTAACAACACGGGATTCAATACAATACATGGAAACTACATAATACAAGAGCTATATCTGACAATCAGATGAATACAATCTTGTATACCTTGTAAACTAACAATGGCTAGAAAAATGTAACATCTGGAAAATTGTACATCATTTTGTATTGATACTGAGACCGAACATTTGATAATTGGAGGAAGGGAGGCCTTGGATTTTATAGGAAAATAAAGAAAGAAAAGGATTGTACTAGAAAGTACTTGAAAATAATCATTATGCTTCACAGTATTGAAAAAAATTAAAATTGTCTGTCACAAAGTAACTTTGTTGCAAAAATAAAAAAATATATATACTAGTATATAATATAATATATAAAAGTAATAAACTATAAAGGTGGCTCATAGCTTTAATTAAAAACATATCTCGTTTTGTGGCTGAAAAAATATCTTGTATCCATACAAAATACTTGGCACCTGGCAGGATATCCCTTAGAGCACAGCAAAGTGACAGGGACCAATCAACATTTGTCATTTATGTGCCATGCAGTACAATTACATCCCGATACTATTCTCCTACAAACACAGTGTATGTAACAGTGCTGATAGAGTTGCATGTCGGGACATAGACAACTTCCTGGAATGTACATACAAAGTATAACATTAGTCTGCCCTTGAACACACAGCACAGATGTATCAATGATAATACAACCAGAGTAAGTCAAGTCTAAAGCTA